CTTTCTCTTTTGGATAAGAGAACAGTCCACTGATTGGAGACATGAACGGACTAACTCAGTCAAGTCGTTGCCCCGGAGTGTGATAGTGATAGATTTCGCGAGCCTGCTTCTATCGAAGAACCATGGAGTACGGAGTACAGAGTAGAGAAAGGGGATGATAACATCATCCCTCCAGAGCAGAACACTGTTTGCCAGTTGCCACCAACCTGATGTCCGCCCATCAATCATCAATCGTTGCCTATCTTTCCTACCACTGTGTCTCGAATTCTCAATCCCTGTCGGCCTGTGTCTTCTGGTGTTGATCCACCGGGCCGCGTTGAAGGATCCTGACCCTTGCATACGGACCTCGCCACGTGAGGGGCGTCAGAGCCAACAAGCCAGCGTGAACGATCGTGTTTGCTTGTGGTGAGGGCGAACTGGCGAAGTATGTATCCAGTGCGTGATGAGTGATGAGTGATGACCAAGCAGGCTCATGACGGCATGGCTTCTGCGGACCAGGAAAACCTGGATTGCTGAGTGGCCTTTTGTAAAGTTCAAGCATGTCTCTACCTGAATGGACTGCGGAATAATAGTCTTCTGAGGGATTGGCATCCTGAGGCACTAATTGCCAATCGGATACTCCTTGGGTAGGTATGAGCTGCGCCCTTTCAATTTCTCCTCGCCCTGAGGGAAACCCCTGTCTGTATACTCTACGGAGTATGGCGTTAAGTCTCGCATGAGATGACTTGCAATCGTGGTGGTACGCCATCTGACATCTAATCTACCCAGTACCTTACCGACGTACCGTATATGTTGCGCACTCCCTACGTATGCAATCTCCTGCAGAGGGTGTCCATGTGGGGGGGGGGGAGGGATGATCATTCTTCGTTGGAAATTTGTTGGGGTTAAGCAATTGTCAGCTCCCTGTCACCAGGCCAGATGAATAACCTGTCATTCATTCAGATATCTCCTCAGGGGCCAACCGCTTGTCCCGACTCTCGAGTCATTGGCCAGGTTTTGGAACCAGGGTTGGCTGCAGAATGCTGACTATGACTTATGGTGGTGGAAAGTGAGTATGAGGTAATCCTCCTGGAACCAACAATGGCCCTACGAATTCCGACATCGATGCCAGATCAATTGTCGATTGTTGGCCAACAAAGCAATGGACACGCAAACAATAAGAAGGATGTCAGTAGCATGCATGGTATGGGATCAACAGTGTCTCGGAACAACCTTCCGAGACCAACAAATTCCAACGATAGATATCAAAAGAGATCAGGCAATAGATAGTTCATTATTATCTGGATAGACATCGGCACCGTGAATCGTGAAATGAACCTTCTGCAGTTGCATTCCCCCGGGCAAATCTACGCTTTGACTTTCCAGCAGATTCCTTCTTCCTTCCATCAGGAGATACAAACTATGTAACTATGTAACTAAGGCTCTGCGGAGTACTCCTTTTTTTCTACTCTCACCCAGTCACCCTATCTCTTAAGGTTCATCAGAGAAGCCAAATTTTTCGATGGCGCTCTGGATCCTCGAGGTGAAACAAGCTAGATCCGTCGTCGGGCAGGGCTATCCATGTCCCTTGGCCGTGTTATTCTCTAGTTCGAAAGAGGGGCGGCGGTCCGTTGTTGCTCACACTGCTGACTGCACAAGCTGACAGACTGACAAACTGACAGATGAGATGAGAACCATCAATCATCCCCACAGGGCTGGACAGTGTGTTGAAACCTGACCTGATCAACCATGGAGAACATCTTAATTTCTAAGATGGGCTGGAAATTAATTATCTGGTACTACCGTCCTGGTAGTCTAAGCTATGTACCTAGATACATACTATCTACGGAGTGTCCACACTCCAACCGCCCCTTATCTTTTTTTTTTTTTTCCTGTTGTCTTTTTTGTTACTTCTACTACGTAGACAGAGAGACCCACCGGAGATTTAGTTAGGATTGCCGGAACCCCGATGGCATACTGTGTAGGTATTGACTATTGGCCCATAACTTGATCTGCTCTGTACATAGTAGGTCGTACAGTTGATGGGATACTACTATGTACCACACTGTAGAGTAGTGTACTACAACTACTGATGGAAGAAGGTAAAGGATGCAAGGTGCTTATCATTCTGCACGTGGCCTTTTGTCCACGTTCATTGTTCCACAGAGAGTGATGAAGTACGGTACGGTGTGCTACCTGTCCAATCCGGGGATGCAAGGTAGCATTACCTGTATTCCTTGAAGGAAAATATTTGATTTTGGGTTCCGAGTACCAAGAGACCGTAGTAGGTGACTTAGATGTCAACGATCTAGGAGAAGGGGTGGGCGGAGGGAGGTGTCTCAAGCAACCCTTCTGTTCTATGAGCGTAGGATCCTAGACAGAGGAGCTCCTCCAGAAACGCCTGCCGTCGAGAGATGAAACCAAATCAGCCTTGCTATAGATAGCAGAGACTCGGTTTGGGGTCCTGCAGCTCGCAGTTTGCGTCGTTGCGGCCCCCCGGGAAAATTAGTTGGGAGTTGAGAAGAGGAAGAAAAAAAAAAGGGGGATTGCGCGAATAACTATGGAGTCTTGTTTGAGGAAGAACGGTAAGAAGCCAAGTGAGCCTGCCGTGTAGGTCCACAGGAGCATCTAGCTTTAATTCGAACCGGTGAGGGCTAGGAGAGTGAAGTTTGAGCTATGCTGAAGCTTTTTTTCTCATGGTTGTTTTCAACGAGGATTTCACGATAAGTAGATACTCTGGGGACTGCTTGGTATCTCCGTGGGACGTGGGTAAGTGAATCAAGTGGATATGTCTCAATTCCCCAAGACTGACAATCTGATTGTGACTACGAGGATCGTTCTATCAGCACCGTGCATGGGAGTAGTCTGGGATGAATTCCCAAGAGGGAAAAAAGCCTAGGAAAAGCCTGGAAGCCTGAGGGCTGAGGCCCATCAGGCACTCAGACGGGAGCCGAACTAGCCCGCGGGAGAAGTGAAAAAAAAAGCACATAATATTCTTAGTAGCCACCAATTAGGCTAGATCACACGAGCAAGAATGGAGTATAATTAGCACACATTCTCGAGATAATTCACCCAAGTATTTCCCACAGAGCCAATCAGATCTCGCACTTCCCACGGGCATTGTTGGATTTCTATTATTACCCACTTCCATGGTTTTGATTTTGCCATGCTCTGCAGTCTTCAGGTGAGCTGTTACTGTTAGCCTGTTGGCCCGGAATGGCTTCTGCACACCCATGCCTGCTAGAAACCTCTCCCATCGTCATGGACCTGGTTGTTTGATGTTGGTGCTGTTGGGGCGGGAGGAGATATTACAGCCCCTCCGACTCCCTTAGTGGAAGGCACATTTGACGTCTGCAATTGAGGAGTCAATTCGGTTGCAAAAATGATTTCATGAGGCATCTACATTTTGTACTGAATAAAATGAGTGTCTTGAATCTTCCACTTGGTGACTACGGAGTACTAGCTGGATGAAGATCCAAAAGCCTGGCTGGTCTATGGCCCTCTCATGCATAAGAAGCAGACTAGCTGCAAACCGTTGAAGTATATTTGGGACTTGTTTAATCCCGGCTGTACACGTTGTTGACTCGATGACAAAAATATTTCACATCGCTGCATATGCAAGGTGTATTTTTTTTTTTTTTTTCTTTCTTTTTTTGTGATTGTTGATTTATTTATTTTCCGGATTATTTGTTGGTTTTCCCCTCCATGTTGACAATTGCGCCTCAGCCGCACAAGCCAATACGGGTGGCCTGCTTATATTATGGCCTCGTGAATCTGATTAGTGGGTGATAATCATCAGTAGTGCAGTGTCAATGTAGGTAATAGAATGTGGATAGTAGATAGCAGACCACAGTCAGGATGGGACAGAGATATCCATGGATGGGATGGAATTCCGATTGAGAATTTGAGAATTACAACACTGTAGGAGGTATTGTCGTTATCGATCTGGCAGATTTGCAGTACAATAGTCACCATGAAATATCAACATCCTCCGCAAATTAGCTTCTGGATCCACCCAGCTTAATCTAATTTATTTGACTTTGGAGGTGTTTTTAAATAATACTACTATAATATACTATACTTAATACTCCCAATATGTAATGATGCTTCACTCCAGGCAGTATTTTTATGCTAGTTTCACACTAATTCTGCAGCCGGAAACTGGTCAGCCATGCTTTTTTACCGGACAAGTACGAAATAGCTAACTTGTTAGTATCCAGTAGTATCTACTCCGTAGTGTCTGTCTAGCTAGTAGCTCGATGGACTGGACATAGCCATGCTTGCTTGTATGATCACCCTGCAGATTGTTCATCCAAAACTATACCTCTCGCTTACCTACGTGATTGTTTTCGATGTTGGACCAAAAATAATTATCCCCATTGTTTCAGGATTTTCTTTAAATTCCTCACTCTCATCTTTAATATCGAACCCTCCAATTGTTGGCCCGCGTGGGAAAGTAGATCTGCTGGGGACCAGGCTGACTTGGTACCTTGCCTATCCACTGTGACGGTTCGATTATTATCTATATCAGTTCCTTAGCTCTCACCTCCCCTCGACTTGACTTCACTTGAATTGACTTGACTCGACTTCCAGACGTTTGCCACCATTTCCGTCCGTTTCATCTTGTCTCTGTACCTTTTCCCTTTCCCCCCCCTGCATCTGTCTGCTGCTCCCTCCATCACCTGCAGATGCAAGTTATGTTTTGATAACATCTGATCTCATCTTTGGCATCATCGTCCAATCCCACCAGTAGAACCTTCTATACTTGCGTGCATCACAGCCTTCCTGGCTGCTCACTGCTTTCCCCTTCCCCAACATCGTTCCTGGGTACCTGCGGCATGACTAGAGGTTCCTCTTCAATCCTCCAAAGTATATCTTGCAGTCCATCGCCGTTCGATCTTCTGTCTGGCCAACGTGCCTCAACGTCTTCAGAAACACTCGTGTCTCCCGTTCCTCAACCACACCCTACTTCTACCAACATGTTATCATCTACCACTGCTCGTAGACAGAGCTCGGCAATCATGCATCGAAACAACCCTGCTACGGATATCCCTCTGCCCATCACCTACACACCTACCACGCACCGTATCAGCAAAGCTAAGAAGGGCAAGCGTGTACATGCCTGTGAACACCCCGGATGCAACAAAGTAGGTCCTCTTGTCCTTTCCTCTTTGACTCATACTGACGGGCTCTGTACTAGGTATTTACAAGAGCAGAACATAGAAGGTAGCGATGATCACGCCTTGAATGATCCCAGGCAATACTAATTTAACTACTATAGACGCCATGAATTGAACCACAAGCCCGAAGCCCTGTACCGATGTCCCCACCAGGGCTGTAAGAAAACATTTCATCGTGCAGACTTGCTCACCAGACATATGGCACGACAGTAAGTCTTTTTTCTAACTCAAATTCGAAAAACACAGCTGACCCCACCCACCCCTAGTGAGCTCGAGGCACAGATGGAAAACACCACGCAATGGGAGAGACAGACTCATATCCCCATGGTATCGTCGCCCCTTCAGGCATCCAAATGTGCCCAGGTGGACCCCTCCATGACCACCTATCTGGGCGCAACACATCCCCAAGACTCCATGTCTATCGGAGCCCTCGTGGGCTCGCCTATCCACCCAGACCTCGCAAATGACTGCGGTCTCATGTGGAATCCAATGGACATGGCCTCAAATCCCCATGTGCCAATGTTCAACAGCCACCACGTCTACGAGTCCGTCGAGGACACTCGCTTCTATGCCACACCTGAAACCTGTCCGTCACCCGCGTCGGACGGCGCGGGGCTGTCCTTACCCGGCCAGAGTCGCTCGTCGCTCTCCTCAACCCCCGCTACAATGATCGACTCATACCCGAGCAGTATTGTGGAGTCTGATCTGACATCGTCGCCGGTATCAATGCATTCCCACCTGCATGGCTGGGATCCGGCAGAGGGTCATCTCACCGCCATGGTACCGATCACCCTGCACGAGAGTCTGATGCAAGCAGTAAGGGACACCTCATCTCTCTTTGACGCCTCGCCTGTACTAACAGATGGCAGCCGATCGCCTGTCAATACCCCTCTCCTACGTGGACGCCGATACACCATGTCACATATGATGAACAGCATCATCTGCCTACCGTACCGTTTCAGCCGATACCCTGGAGGTCATGGACATTGTGATCTCCAGACAAAGGACCTTCGCAGATACACGATGCGATGACAGATGTACGGCAGGCACCGACACGATGATATCACCTATTTAATGAATTTGTTCTCTCATAACCCTCCTCAATCTCTCCATGAACAGCCACCTCATAGGGTTTGCGAATTCCATGGCTACCCGTTTAGCATTCTCACGATCTACCATGGAGACACTCCTCTGTTGTCTCCATTCTTCCTGCTTCGATAGAAAAAGCATGGTCTCCCTTGATGCTCTTATGATCCTCCCGTTTCCCTTTGTTAGGTTGCCGTCCGCTTCACGAGTCAATACCCATGAGTTACTGAGTTACCATTGAAAAAAAAAGACCATGTACGACTACTGTACATATACTCCATTCATTTTTTTTCCTTTCTCTGTTACGATGTCCATTCATAGAGCGAGAATCACGATTTTCTGCAAGCCGCATTGCTCACACTAGCAGCGTTAGTCATGCTAAGCTAACCTGCTAGACACGTACTCCATAGAGTCCTTCGGAAAGAAAATCTATCTCCGAGGCCATGTGGACCCAGCAAGCCTATCTAGTATCTACTGAGGAGCAAGGAGCATGGTTGCCTGACACAAAGAGACAGGGCCCTTCGATAGGTGATCTGTACTCACTACTCGCAGTGTGGTCATAGGACTGAGTAGGTCCTGAATAGCCTAGCCAGTATCATGGGCCATGGCAGGCACTACTACACTCTGAGTCTACTCCACAGTTCTCCACCACAAAAAAAGGCCATTCTAGGTATTTTCCCAGCGTCACAGAGACACAGACTCACAGAATTGACAACAATCGACCACAGTGCCACCGCTGGTCTTCTTTGCCCCATTTCGGTAATTGGTATGGAAGTGTTTGATTGGCGGAGAGCATTAGGCCATTAGGGGTTGCAGAACTATACTGTGTAGATTAGTACTAGTTGGTCTACAATGACCTAGGTATTACTAGTAGTCTAGTACTGGGCCCATAGGTAGGTAGTCTCTCCACCCTGATACGATACATTGACATGATTGATTCGGGTGATAGGATAGTGTTATGGGGTAGATAGATACCGTAGGATGCAGAATTGTAAGTGTAGAGTGTAGAATGCATGTGCTTCAAAGCACCTTCACGCTACTAATAACTATAGTACAGAGTATGGAGCAGAGCTACAGCCCCGGAGCTGTCCAGGATGCTTTAACCTATACACACTAAATTCTAGCACAGCAGACAGGGGGATAAACGAACAACCCCAAGCACGTCCTTTGAAGAATGATAAGGGTGGATTCCACGTCACCCTACGGAGTATATGTTCCGGTACCTCCTGAGAAAGAGTAAGTATACTCCCCCCCCCCCCCCCCTACCAGTTGAAGAAATCTTTATCCTCACTGACTGCAATGCGTAGTAGCTCGCGGTGAAGAGGAGATCCCCTATTGTTCCAAAATCCCCCAATAGAGGAATCGATCTGCGCCCTATACAGAGCGACGATTCTTGAACACCATGTTTCCTAGCTAGGGCCATGGTCTTCTTGCACCTTGGTTGCCTGGAAGGTATGTTACTCCTCTTCTCACGCGAAGACATTCATTCTAATATATAGGCAGAATGATAGTCCTGGATCAAGGCCGAACTTAGGGTTTAGCATTTTCAGTATACTAAACAAAGCGAAACTAGTAGAGCCGTGGAGAGACATGAATGAGGCCGGTTTCTGATGGAACCAGAGACTGAGGGTTCCGATAGTCTATGTGACTATCCTTGCAGGCATACCCAGGCATACCCAGACTGTCGTACGGAAGGCTGGCGCTTATGCCCCGACTGGTCGATACATCGAAGCCACTTGAGTCATTCGCAGCAGAGCAGAAGACCAGGTGGTTTAGCGCGGAAGATGATGAGATAGTAGGACATGGTAAGTCACGAACCAAAAACCTCTAGCTTCTTCTCCCTGTCGACCAGCCGTTCGCTAACGTCGGTCGAGCCCTCGCGTAGACTACCGTATCTTGTTGACTTTGCTGGGTGCAGTGGATCGCCCAATGTCTAACGCTTGATAGAAAATGGGCTGGATCAGGTGACTTAAGCTTTTGGACCCTTGATCTTTCCAACGAGGATCCCGCCGTTGTGGTTGGGCGTTTCGCGGACTTGGTTACACGCATGTGCCAGAACCGGAGGGGGATGGGATGGCATACTGTGCTCCCTTGCACCTTGCATGAGCGACGCCAACGTCAATGGTTCTCGCGGTAGCCTCACTCGTCGACGAAGCAGGGAATCGAAATCAATAAGGTTTTTCGAAGGCATTCCCGACTCTGGCAGCCTGACTTTTGTCGCGAACAGGATGTCCTTTCTGGAGAGGAGCCATCGCACGCTGGTGACTGCGTATAGGCCATTCGTCCCGGGTCCTGGGTGTCGGTCCCCGTTGGTTCCCGTCAGTCGTTTGGACCGAGTCGATTCATGCCGTTCCTCCTTTGGGCTGGGTGTTGGCGACGCTCCAACATGGCTTCTCTCTGTGATTTGCAAGCATGGGATATCATCGAAATGCAGAGTTCCTGCTTCCCTGGCTGCTCTCGACGTTCGATGCGAGTTGAAGGATACGGGGATAGATGCGAATCGCCAGACTCTTGGTGGTATAAATGTCGCCTACCTCCCCGCTGAAATGCTGAGGTGTATCCCCCCTTGGTTAAGAGATACGGACTTTAGAATTCAAAGCTTCATCATTCCACTTCCTCATCCAGACCCGTAAAGATGTCTGCCATCCCGCAGACAAATGCATCCGCGTTTGTACGTCCCCGGGGTTCTCTCCAGGGCTCAGACGAACTCCCTCCCTCCTGGAACGACCCGAGAGTGGCATGGAAGCCACTCATCCATCCTCGCGCAGACCAGATCTGCCGCGAGCACGACGACTACTTTCTGCAACACTGGCCATTCCCCGACGACAAGAGTCGCCAGGCATTTGTCCAAGCCGAGTTCGCCCGATTCCCTTGTCTGGCTCTACCGCTGGGCCATGACGACCGTCTCCCCCCCCGCGTGCAAGTTGGTGACCATGTTGTTCTTGATGGATGGTGAGATATGCGATGGTGCCGCTCTGGGTGCTGATGTTGGATCTTCCGCTTATTGTGCTCCCTCTTTTCTTAGACGTTCTGGAGGAAATGTCCCTCTCGGACGGAGAAGCCTACAACGCCCGACTCATGCCCATCATGCGCGGCGACGTGCGCCCCAACCGTAAGTAAGCCGTCCCATTTCTATCTGACTGCGCGCCCCCATAAGACTGAGGACCCCCCTCAACAGGCACAAAACCCGTTGAGTACATACTGTATGACCTGTGGGAGGACATGCGGCGGAAAAACAGGACCCAGGCGGATGAGATGCTCGAGGCCACCTTTTGCCTCATGAGGGCGCAGACGAACAAAGTCCGTCTGTCGATCACCCAGCTAGACGAGTATCTCAAGTATCGGGCGCAGGATGTAGGCATAGCGTGAGTATCCTCCCCCCCTCCGGCGGTCTCCGGTAGGAGCTCCCATGCAACCCTGGTCCATATAGTTGCCTAACCCGTGATGTGTTGGTTCTTGGGTAGTATGCTCTGCGGCCTGACGGGATTCGCCATGGACGTCGAGTTGACCGCCGAAGAGCAGGATGCCATGATCCCGCTGGAGCGGAACTTCGGACGGCAGATCTCGGTGGTCAACGACCTCTGGAGCTGGGAGAAGGAGTTCCGGGCCTCGCAGGCAGGCCATAAAGAAGGGGCGGCCATCAGTTCGGCCGTCAACGTGCTTTCTATGGAGGCTGGGCTAGGCTTCACGGCGGCCAGGCGGGTGCTCCAGGCGATGGTGCTGGAATGGGACATGGCGCATAACGAACTTGTGGCTGAGCAGTTGGCACGGCCCGGTGGATGTCGTCCTGCGGTCCAGCTGTACATGAAGGGACTGGAGTATCACATGAGCGGCAACGAGGTCTGGAGTCGGACCACGCGGCGCTACGTTGATAGCGTTGATACGGACTGCACGGTTCATGTTGCAGAGGGTCAGGTAGTATCGTCTTAAGGGCTCTTGGCTAGGATTGGACACAAACGGGACATGTCCGTCCTCTATATATCGCGCGGTGGTGATATTTATCGTGATAGTGAAATTGATCATCCCAAAACTCGACATACGACCAAACGGATCTTGTTTGTTTCCACATGTATGTCTATGGACGGATGGGATTACACACCTGGCCCCGTAATGGAAAATTGCCTCTTACCTCTACCCGCTATCGAAAATGGCAGTAAGTATATCAGAGGATTGAACAGGAGGGGGTGGCTGACTAGTCTTGCTATCCTCCTTGGATTTAATTCGCTATGTCCAATGTATTGTAGCGAAAGGCCCAAGGCTAGGGACGTGGGAATAATCCTGTCATAATGGTCCGATATGTCGAGCACAACCTGCTATCATATACAAGACTACACACTCTCATTAAGCCAAGTCATCCTTCGACGGAATGACCCGCCAACACCATCCGCACCAACTCCTGTTGGTCCTCTGCTCCTCGCGAGTAAGAAACTGATCTGTATCCCGCTCATCTTCATATTCAACCACGCAGGCCCCGACAGTCACGCGCTTCTTCGCCTTCTGTTTGACTCGTCCGCCAATACCGATGATCTCTTGCCGAAAATACCCCGGTTTCTCTTCATCGTGGTCGGTGTGCCTTTCCGCTGATGGGTCGCGCAGGAAATTGTTGTGAGAACTGAGATTGGCGTGCCCTGGGTGGTTATGTGGGGTACCCAATGGCGATGCCTCGTCTGCCTCGCATTCTACTTCCAGTTCGATATCCTGAGCAGCTAAGCATTCCTCTTCCCGTCCGCACTTCACCCCTTGGCAACCTTCACCGATCCCGGTCCCAAGGCCACCGAGATAGCTGCTATACCGGGTACGCCAGCTCCACACCCGTCGGTAGGTAGTATCACTGTTGCGTAATGTTTGACCACATGGATAGCAGAGCCAGATATTGTCTTCACACGTGCAAGGTGAATGCATAAAAGCAGGTGCCGTAAACTGCGATAGATCCAGCGGCGATTCCCTGTCAAGGGAAGGTGACGTGGAAGGATACCAGGTGAGGTGAGCAGCCAAGGGAGCAGTGCGACAGGGGGTACAAAGGCGACGGACGCGGGTTTTGAGCATGGTTCTACTTGGAGGTTTGATGGTGCAGTTCTATGCTTCGTCAGCATCGGAACTAATGCTATGCAGAGGCCCAACATACCCTGCAGACCACTCGGGAGCATCTCCGGCATTCCCCTACCATATCCCGGGCACATTTGCCCACTTTTCCCCGGACCAGCCTTCCAGGGCCTCTGGTACCTTGGCTGACTAGTCGAAGCACTGATTTTACGCTCTCAGGAATCGGCGTGCCGCCGTCCAACAAGTCTGCCAAGGTCTCCACATATTCATTCTCGCAACGCAGCGTCTGTTTGACAAGCTGGTGTCGATATGGTGCTAGATTCGCATGAAATTGACGACACGTCCTGGAAAGGGCGTGAAGGGTGTTGAGGTCCACCTGTCGGGCAATCTCTTTGACAACGCTACAGTTTCGAGTCAGCAACAACGGGAACGCCACCAAGACCGCTTGGTCAAGTATGCGTACGGATAGCAGCTTAGAGCAGCCGAAAAACCATTCCGGTTGGGCGTCACCTGGTCCTCAGAAGGCTGACTAGCCTCATAGACGGGATCTGCACGGTGACCATCGTCGGTTACCATCCCCGCATCGTGCGAAGGCAGGCCAGAGCTAGCCGCATTCAACTTCGACAGTACAGGCTTCTCTGGCTGAAGGTATGGCTGAAATGCACTGCCGTGAGGGTCAGGAAAGCGATCCTTATTGAAGACATCGCGGTCATAGTCGATGAACACCACCATTATACCATGCGATACAGGAGAGAAGGATGTCCACACAGCCTCAGAAGTCCACAGAATCGTATGCTCAAAGCAACCAAATATACAACATCAAACCAGGTGTCAATAATAGAAACAGTGACTGGGAGCTTCAACCACAATGGGCCATAGCTTTTGAGGCTAATCTTGCAATTGGGTTGCTGCGGGGCAATATAGTCATATAGTCCCTCTGTGACACGAGGTAAAAAAGACCGGTGAATGGTTCCTTTTGATGTAAGGAAGCCAGCAACCGATATTTAGGTCTAGGTAAAACCAGAACCCCTGTTGCAGACTAATACAGTCTGCCTGTCTGTCTGTCTGTCTGTCTGTCTGTCTATTCTCGAGGTTGGTGGAAGACGGCGGCTCCGATGAAGAGGCCAGTGTCAGCTCTTATCGCGGGTCACGTGCCATATCCATATCGGGCACGTGTACCCCACCTGCCCAAAGGGGAAAGTGACCCCATCTTCTCCAACTTCTTCTTCTGTTTTCCTCGGAAAGAGTCAAAAAAAGAGCATCAACCGAGGAGAGGGACAGCGGTAGCATTCGGATGTTGACCATGATGAAAAGAGAGATCTCCCATGCCCGTCGTGTGGTCTCGGGACAATTGTGACAATCTCAAACCAAGTTCGTGAGATTCCAGCCTATTTCCGACAAGTTTCCCCAGAACTCAGAAGTCTCCCAAATCCAAATAATGGACTAAATCTCCGGGGCGAAATAGCGGGGTCATCACGATAACAGAACCGAGTCATATAATACTTAGACAAGATGACTAGGCTCTAGAATAATGGTCATATTCATCTATCGTTGTTGCTAGGCAGCGTGGCTTATATATTGCTCTTGAGACCCCGCTCTCCATTCTGTCAACCTTCGTCTCTCAACTCGCTCAAAATGCCTCTCAACCCCCAAGCCGTTTACTCTAGATCGCGCCCCGATTTCGCTCCCTTTGCGAGTCGGAGGAGCACGGTGCATAGTACAAATGGCATTGTGTCTTGTACGCAGCCATTGGCGGCGGCTGCGGGCCAAAGGATTCTCATGGAAGGAGGAAATGCTGCTGTATGTGATGAGGGGACTGGAACCTTGCCTTGGGCTAGCTTTACTGACTCACTCTTCCTCAGGATGCTGCGGTAGCTGTGGGTATGTGATTGATGGTACTGTGCTTGGAGCAAATCTAACCTACCGCGAATGACAGCCGCCGCGTTGAACGTCAGCGAACCATCGTCGACTGGTATTGGCGGGGATATGTTCTGTCTCTTCTACGAGGCCAAAACAAAGAAGGTTCATTCGCTCAATGGTTCTGGTCGCTATCCTGGCAATGTGACGCTTGAGCAAGTGAGAAAAGACTTGAACCTTGGCCCGGATGAGAAGAAGAGCATCCCCATGCCCAGCGTGTTGGCAGCAACCACGCCGGGAGCAGCTGCAGGCTGGGTAGACACGGTGGAGAGGTTTGGGAGTGGCAAGCTATCTTTGGAGCAGATCCTAGCGCCTGCCATTGACATGGCAGAGAAAGGATTCATTGTGTCCGAATTGGCTTCTTATTTTGTAAGTGAATCTCGAGGGTTTTCTATCAGATGACCCCCCAACTAACTCCCAGAACAGTGGCAAGAAGGCGAGGAATTGATTCGAAATGCCTCACCAAATTTCCGCGAACTTCTTAAGCCGGACCCTAACGCCAAGGATGGAGTCAGAAGCCCTCGTCCAGGTGAAATCATGAAGAAGCCAGGGTTGGCAAAGGTCTTCCGGCTGCTCGCCGCGGAGGGCAAGAAGGGCTTTTACGAAGGCCCAGTTGCAGAAGCGATTGTCCAAGTGGTTAAGGATTTGGGCGGATATCTGAGTCTGGACGATCTCAAATATCATGCCGAGACGGGAAGCCAGGAAACTGAAGCGATCTCCCTCAAGTTCACAGGACAAGACATTGTGAAGAAACAGACCCCGGGAACGGATGGTGAAACCAATGAGGGCGTCGAAATCTGGGAGCACCCGCCCAACGGCCAAGGCATCGTGGCCCTCATGGCCTTGGGCATCCTAGAGGAGCTGGAACGCACGGGAAAGATTCCCCTGTTCACCGAGGACCAGCACAACTCGACCGAATACCTGCACGCTATTATCGAGAGTCTTCGGATTGCTTTTGCTGATGCTGCCTGGTGGGTGACCGACCCGGATGTGGAAAAGGTGCCCTCGAAGGAGCTGATCTCACGGGAATACTTGGCCGAGCGCGCGAAATTGTTCAACCCTGAGAAGGCGGCAGACATCGTTGATCATGGCAGCCCCGCCCACAACCACTGCGATACCGTCTATCTGGCTGTAACCGACAAGGAGGGCAACGGGATCTCCTTCATCAACAGTACCTACTCCGGATTCGGGACCGGCATTATTCCCCAAGGATGTGGCTTTACGCTGCAGAATCGCGGCGCGAACTTCTCGCTGGATCCTGGCCACCCTAACGCTCTGGCTCCTCGGAAGCGACCCTACCACACCATTATTCCGGCGATGATCACCAACTGCTCGGACGGCTCTCTTCACTCGGTCTACGGTGTTATGGGCGGATTCATGCAGCCCCAAGGCCACGTCCAGGTCCTGCTTAACATGGTTGCGTTCAACTACCATCCTCAAGCGGCCCTTGATGCGCCGCGAATCTGCATCGCCGCTGGATCTTCCGAGTCAGGTAACCGAACGGTCTACGTCGAGGAAGGAATCAGCGAGGAGACTGTTGAAGGCCTCAAGCGCCTTGGACACGAAATTCAAGTCCTGAAGGGATGGGAGAGGGGCATGTTTGGCCGAGGACAGGTCATTCGTTGTCACCACGACGATGGCCATCTGATTTACAGTGCTGGCAGTGACCCACGAGGAGATGGAATGTCGATTCCTGTGGTATAATACCGCTGAAGACCATGTGAATAAAGGCCAATTTAGTTAGAGTGATCCATAGCTTTGTGATATACGGATTTTGCTGCAACTCCGCCCACCATACTTAGACAGCTTTTCCGAGCCAAAGACTGCTTGGGTGTCTCTCGAACGACCGGAATTTCCCCCTCCGAATAAGATAGCCGAATCGTTCCTCAAATGTGTCAACCAAAAAAAAAAAAAAAAATCAAATCCAGCCTCTAGACCTCAAAACCCTCTTGGTAAAGCGGGTCTCCCATTATCTTCATAGTCCGTCGACGATAACAACGCTATAGCGGCGATGGCGTGCTCAGGTGGAGTGCAGAGTCATAGATCCAGCGCAAGCAAATAAATCCCCTTGCCCAAGACAAGACACCAGTGCACACGCCCAGAAACTCTTCCCATTGCTTATCCCGCAGCCTACAACACCACCGACAGCGGCTGGGCAGCGTAGCCATGTCGTCCAGCATCGAAAAAGCACCCCCCGCAGAACCCGCCCTAGAGCTCAGCACGGAGAAGGAACCTCCCCCGCCAGCATGCGCTCCAGCACGCCAGAAGTGGTACCAATGGTTCGCGCCGACGGATACGCCCGCGGAGCGCCGGCTGATCCTGAAACTGGACGGGCTCATCGTCGTCTTCGTGTTTCTGGCGTACTGGGCGAAGGTGCTTGATTCCTCGGCGACGAGTACGGCGTATGTGAGCGGGATGAAGGAGGATTTGCAGCTGCTTGGGAACCAGCTGAATTATCTCAATACGGTGTATATGTGAGTGGAAGGTGTTTTTTTTTTTTTTTTTTGTGTATGGTTTAGGAGGAGCGGATTGCTGATGGTTGGATGCAGGGTGGGCTTCATTACGATGCAGATACCGCTCACGTTGCTGGTTTGTTCTATCTATCATTGATCCCCTGGTGCGCTGCACTGAGGAGCTGATTGGATTCCTCCCCAGATGACCCGATGTCCCGTCAACTATTTCCTCCCCGCCGCGGACCTCCTCTGGGGTGTCTTCACCTTGGCGCAGTACAAGGCGAGCAGCGTCACGCAGCTCTACGCCTTGCGCTTCTTTGTCGGAGCGCTGGGCGGCTTCTTCTTCCCGGCTGTGCAGTGGTACCTCGGCAGCTGGTATAAGCGGTCCGAGCTGGGCCGTCGCGGGGCCATATTCTTCATTGCGAGCCAGGTCGGGAGCATGAGCTCGGGGTACATCCAGGCTGGCGCATACGCGCGGCTGGATGGGCGGTACGGGATTGAAGGCTGGAGGTGGCTGTACATCATCTGTGAGTTTGGCCGTTGCAAGACTTGATTTTCCCGTCTGGGGACAGTTTTTCCTGAATACCTGTATGTGCGAAAAAAAAACCAGGCTTTGCGTGCACCATCCCCATCGCATTCCTGGGTCTCTGTTTGCTCCCGAGCACGCCGGAGAAATGCAACTCGCGGTTCCTCAGCGACGAGGAGATCCAGCTGGCGCGGGAGCGCATGGCCGCCGAGCACCGCGAACCGCGCCAGCCCTTCACGAAGCAGCGGATCATGACGATCCTCCAGAGCTGGCGGATCTGGGTGCTGGTCGGCTTCGCGTTCTTCTTCTCGCAGGCGGACGGCGTCTCCTCCAACAGCGGCCTGCCCATCTGGCTGAAAGAAGAAAACTACTCCGTGGAGGCCATCAACACCATCACCACCGTGTCGCCCGCCGTGACCATCGTCTCCTCCGTCCTCTGCGGCATCCTCTCCGACGCATACGACGCAAAGGTGGCCCTGATCGCGACCACGGCGCTGCTGAACATCTTCGCCTGCGTAGTGCTCGCCATCTGGAACGTACCAACGGGACTGAAGTTCTCTGCGTTTTTCCTGTCCGGCACGGCCGACGGCATCGCTGCCATCATCTATGCCTGGGCAAATGAGATCTGCGCCCACAGCGCAGAGGAGCGCGCCATCGTGATCAGCTGCATGAATACCATCGGCAACACGTTCGGGGCTTGGCTGCCTCTCTTGTAAGTCTAGCGTCGCGTTTTTCTTTCTTTTTGTGTCTGTTTACTGATCACTCTTTTTTTTTTCTTTTGGCAGCGTGTGGAAGACCGTCGATGCACCGAGGTATTTGATCGGGTATAACTGGACGATTGCTCTTGACGTCTGTATGCTAGGGATGTTGGTTGTCTTGCGGCATTTCTGGAATCGCGAGAAAAAACTGGGTCGAGGGCCTGCTGGGGGGGTATGAGATGAAGCTTCAGTCTCAGTTCTAAGATATTTAATTAAAATTATTCTTTCTAGAAGAACCTTTGATAGAGCTGTAGGACTCTTGGAGACACAACTGTCCCCGGTATGGAGAAGGGATACATCTGGTTAGCAGTCCTGCAGGATACATAGTTTGCCTCTACTCGATGGCTTCTTTCAGCAGGCACAGAAGCTGATGATAGGGCCTGAATGGTTATATCGACTAAGGTATTTATTTCTGTCTGCTCAAGCATCATAAGGGATGAATCAGACCATTCGATATCACGATCAAATTCAATATTCAACGGCCACCCGAGAAACGACGGCTTTTGCCAGATAGTACAGAAATCATCAAAAGCCCGTACCCGAAAAGATTGCTGTACAAGAGCCTTCTAAATGCTGTCAACACAGGAAATATCGAATACATGAGAAGAAGGACGAATGCAGTGAAAGATGCAAAAGAACACCAAGTATGCCAATGCTAATCAACCAAAAATACTTCCGCTATGATGCTGCAAGGTGTGGAAAAATAAGATGGAACGACAAGCCCGAAATGGTGAAGTAGAAAAGGTCGTATCAAAGTGATGAAATGGTGAGACGGTCAATGGGCTGCAATTGATTTGATAAAACTCTTGAGTCTGGACTCCTCGCGTGGAGGAGGCTCTTCACGCCTGTGCCTGTGATGGCGCTGGCGTGTCTCTCCGCTATGGCGATGGCGATGATGGTCCGATTTCTCTTTCGCTCTTTCCTGCTCCTCTTCCTCCGCCCTTCGTCGGGCTCTTCTTTCGCGACGGGCTCTGTCTTCCTCATCATCGCGACGGGACCTCTGCCGTCGAATATTCTCTCCCTCATCATCACGACGAGATCTTTCGCGTCGAATGTTCTCTTCCCCATCGTCGCGACGAGAACCGATGGACCGATCCGTTGAGCCCCTGCCATCGTGCGAGGAGCGGTGGCTGCGAGAGTGGCTGGTGGAAGATCTCCTAGCGGGCTCGTAAACGTTGGCCGAAGCCTTGTTGCCATTGATCTTGAGAAGAGGGCCATTCGTCTCGGACTCCGCTTCAGTCATGTACTTCAAAAAGGCTCGCGGCTTTGAACCCGATGCTTGGATATCCCTAGAGGAAGAGCTCCTTCGCTCGTCTCGGTTGCCACTCGAGTGTTCAGAGCCACGGCGACTAGACTTCACAGCCACGGGAGCATCATCCTTCAAAGAGCGTTCCCCATCGTGACTACCAGAGTTCTCAGAATGCCGGTGGCGGGGGTGGTCATCCTTAGTCGTCTTCTCTTTCGAGGAACGCTCGCCTCGCCTCGGCCGCTCGCGCTCTAGGGAGTGTCTCTCTCTCTCTGTCTTTTCAATCGTACGGGCTCTCCGCTTTTCCTCCTGTCTGATTTTATCCTCGTGCTGTCTCTTAGCTTCTTCGAGCGATTGAGTCCACCGACTGAGGAGACTTCCACTCCGCTCGAGCTTCTGGCGTGGTGCAGGTCTCCGTACATCCTCGGAATGCTTCGAATGACGGTGTTCCCGATCCGCATCCTGGGTCCGTCTCTTTCTGCGTCGTGAGGCTTGTTCGGCTGCTACAGCAGCAGGTAAGACTGCGGCTGCGGCCACAAGGGGATCGACACCGTCAGAGGATTCATCGGGTGTTTCAGCGGGAATCTCTTCAACGAGCTCGCGATCGGTAGCAGGTTCCTCCGCTGGTGCATCTTCGGCCGGAGCTGGGTCCTCAGAGATGACTTCCTCAGCTGGCAGTTCACGAGTGGCCGTAGGTTCTGGCTCCGGAGAAGGATCCTCTGGAGTAAATTCTTCGACGGGTGTGGGCGCAGCCTCTTCCACAGGAGCAGGAGTTTCCTCAACAGTGACAGGTTCTTCAACAGGAGCCGGAGCCTCTTCTGGAGTCGGAGGTTCTTCAGTAGGAGCTGAAACCTCCTCAGTGGGAGCAGGCGCTTCTTCAGCCGGAGCAGGTGCCTCCTCAGCAGCAACTTCTCCAACAGACGCAGGCTCCTCGCCAACAGGATTCTCTGCAGAAGCTGGTTCCTCTACTGGTGTAGATTCCTCAACTGGGGCCGAAATTTCTTCAGCTGGCGCTGCTTCTGGGGCAGCGGGCTCTTCAGCAGGAACATCCTTCGCAGCAGCAGCCTCCTCCTCAATAGGTGCTTCTGCAGGAGTCTCCTCTGCCTTTTCCTCTGCAGGGGCTTCCGCTGTGTTTTCCTCTTCAGCAGCAGCCTCCTCGCTTGGCATTCCTTCTGTGACCTCTGTGGCAACCGCATCTTCAACCGCCACCTCTGGGGCAGTGGTTTCCGAAATGGGTTCCTCGGCAGACTTTTCCTCAACTGGCTCAGCCGCCTGTGGCTCTTCAGGCGCTTTTTCGCCGGTAGGTTCTTCAGCTGGGGCACTGTCTTCAACACATTCCGCTGGCGGAACAACTTCAGCAGCGGGCTCCTCAGGAGCAGATTCTTCGGGAGTGGATTCTGCTCTGGGAGTCTCTGTGGCAGCTGGTTCTGTGGCGGGTTCGGCAGTAGGTGGCTCAGGGGCTGGTTCTTCAACAGCCGGGGCTTCAACAGCAATCTCCTCAACTACTTGCTCTACAGCTGGTTCAGTAACAGGCTCAGTAACAGGCTCAGGAGCGGCTTCAGCAGCAGGTTCTTCAGCGGCAGGTTCTTCAGCGGCAGGTTCTTCAGCGGCGGGCTCTTCAACAGCGGGCTCTTCAACGGCGGGCTCTTCAACAACGGGTTCAGCAGCAGGAGGCTCCTCCACACTAGGTTGTACACCTGCAGGATTTTCAGTTGCCTCTTCAGCCACCTCAGCCACTGCAGCCTCGGCCCCATCATCGACTACTTCGGGCTCTTTGGATGGTTGATCTGCCGGTTCATCAGATACTTTGCCTGCTTCGGCCTCTGTCGTATCTTCGGCCCCTGCATCCGCTGGCGCCCCCTCTGGCGCTTTATCGGCAGGCGAATCCTCATACTCAATATCCACATCGACGATTTCAGGCACAGTAGCGGCTACTGCGGCCTCCTCTGCTTCTGCTTTGGCGTCTTCCTCCGCTTGTCGCGCGGCTTCTTCCTTCTCTGCCTCGATCTTGTCAAGCTCGGCGGTGGGATCGCATTCTGGAAAGTCAGTCTCTGGTGATTAGGTCAGCTGGCTTTGCACATCTTCAGTACCCACGAGCATACCGTCATTGACTTCGTTGTTCTCCACTGGAGGTTCTAGATCTACAGGAGCAGCCTCTTCGACTGCCGCTGGTGCCGGGTCCTCAGGCTTGTCTTCAGAGGCTGTCTCAGCTGCAGGCTCAGTATTAGCTTCACCTGCAGAAGTTTCAGCCGCAGGCTCTGCGGAAGCTTCTGCTGGAGGTTCAGAAGTGGCTTCAACTACAGGCTCTTCAGCTACAGGAGCTTCAGATGCAGGCTCTGGGGTGGGAGTTTCAGTGGGCGCTTCAGTAGAGGATTCGGCGGTGGCATCGGTAGTGGGCTCAGTAGCAGGTACAGTGGCGGGCTCTTCAGGGGCAGCAGGATCAGCAGTGGCTTCTTCAGTTGCCGGAGCTTCAGAGGCAGGCTCGTCATGAGATGTTTCAGTGGGCGTCTCAGTAGTCGGTTCGGCAACGGGCTCAGCAGCAGGCTCGTCTGCAGGTGTTTCAGTGGGCGTCTCAGTAGTCGTTTCAGCGACCGGCTCAGGCTCTTCAGCAGCTGTCTCGGCGGGCGTCTCGGTAGTCGGTTCAGCGACGGGCTCAGCAGCAGGTTCTTCAGCAGCTGTCTCGGCGGGCGTCTCGGTGAGCGTCTCAGTAGTCGGTTCAGCGACGGTTGCAGCAAGGGGCTCGGCGGGCTCTTCGGTGGGAGTTTCAGCGGGCGCCTCGGCGTCAGGCTGATTGGCAGGCTCTGTGGAAACTTCTGCATTGGCTTCAGGCGTGGGTTCTTCGGTCGGTGCTGTAGTAGCAGGTGCGGGGGCGGGCTCCTCAACAGTATCAGCAGTAGCTTCAGGAGCAGGCTCTTCAGCTGTAGGAGCTTCGGGGGCAGTCTCTTCAGCGGGTGCTTCGGCAGTGGGTTCAGGAGGAAGCTCTTCAGCTGCAGGAATTTCAGGGGCAGGCTCTTCAGCGGGTGCTTCAGCGGCGGGTGCTCCAGGCTCTTCAGCGGGTGCTTCGGCGGCGGGTTCGTCCGAGCTACCTCCCTCTTCCTCCTTTGGCGTAGAATCTTCTGCCCCCGGTGCAGGTGGTGCATCTTCCTTGTTCTCTGGGGCTGGAGCGTCGGAAGGTTCGGTCGAAGCTGGAGCTGCGTCCGCTTCAGGAGACGCTGTGTGACCGTCAGCAAGGTGCAACAGAGAGTGACGAAAGGGTCCAGGCCCTCTCTTCGGGAGCGTAAGTACCTTCAGGTTCAGCAGCGGGGGCCGCTTCATCAGGCGAACTACTTGATCCTTCTACGGGAGCACTTTCCGGAACTGATTCTTTCTCTGGGTCGGTGGCGGCATTGTCGGTGGTGTCCTGATCCTTATCCGATGTCAGACCATCCGAAGAAGCATTAACGGGATAATATGAAAATTGCAAAGTGTGACGGTCAAAGGTCTGATATCGACTCTCGAAAGTCTGGTACTTAAACTTGGGAAGCTGTGCATACTGAGGGTTGGCCATGGTCCCCGGACTCGGCCGCCTGTTCAAGGCCAGGCTCGGGTTTAGGGGTGTCCTCTGAAGGGGCGGAGAGTTTATTGTCGTTCACCGGTTGACGTTGTTTATTGTTGGCGTTCTTCTTATTATTCTTCTTTTTTCCGTTTTTGGCCATAGCATCGAATCAGCAGCAGCAGCAGTGTGTCAAACTATGAAATCCTCTAGCTCCCGGCCAGCCGACGATAGATCGATTTATATAAAAGAGAGATCGGAAATGACAATTCCCTGTCGGGGTCTAGGCAAGGTAGAAGTATTCAGGGGTATGGGATTGATCAATCAGATAAAAAGAAAAAGGAAAGAAAAAGATGCAATGCAATGGAACACAATGGAAAATCAAACGAGTACAGAGCCGGACAGCCAGGGTTCATCAAGCACAGACTCATGTGTTAGGAGACCAAAGGGGAAACGAAGAGGGCAGGCAGGACACGTCTTGTCCCTCCGCCAACAGCATGATGGTTCCGCCTGAGGACCAACGCGAGGCGACGTATAACCATCTGTCCGTCGTTACCCATTGGGAGGGGATTCTGTCGCACTCCACGCAGGACTGGGAACGGTCTCGGGCTGGAGGCCGTGGGACGTCATTCGCGAACTACCCAACGGCAAGCCTTTTGATTGGGCCACGTCTCACGCAGCCCCGATACATGGCTCCGGACGGCGAGCAATAGGGAGCTCGAAACTCCCCTCCATAAAGCATGACTAGGGCCGGGCAAAAGCAGGAGGGTTGCCATCTGCAGGAAGAGCTTGCAGGGACGAAAATCGTACATATTATTGACAAGAGGAAAGAAGGGAAAGCAGTCCACTTCCCAGTCCGTAGTGGAGTGGTGGGTGCGTGGTTGACTGGATACCGCAGAGTTTGGTGGGGGTGGTGCCACCGATCACTAAAGTTAATGGAGATGGGAGGAACTTACACAGTAGGTTGAGTTGTTATTTTTTTTTTCACTATTCTCTGTTAATTCTAGGGATTTTCTGGTCACAACCCGCAATAGCCTCTGTTTTGGTTAGCTGACGCGCGTAGACGAAAAGAGAGCAGCGCCTCGATGATGCATCATGTTCCTATGTTGGACATCACGATCTAATGGCATCACGGACTGACAAGCAGATCAGGCGCTGTATGGAATGAGGGTTGTGTTGTTATTTCTCGTTTCGAAGAGCAATGAGCCGCCAGTGAAGGCGAGAATGATCGCGATGATCATGCCTTGACACAATAGTTAATTGGGGAATCATCTTCAACCATCACCAAGCACATCAGTCCCCGATTCCTGCCCAACGCAAATTGCGGGCGGCGGCAGGAATTGGATGCATGATGCGTGGAGGAGGGTGGCCGAAACCCCGGCCAGAAGGACTGTGATCTGGTGTGCATGACCATTGCTCTGATTTGATTTACTGCCGTTCTGTAATAATCTGTAGACCATCAGCATCAGCATCAGCATCAGCATCGCTGTCGATGATGAAGCGAGATGAGATGCTTGCTGTGAATCATCACAGAAGGAGAGAAGAAAGAGGAGAGAAGGTCCGGCTGTTGGACAATTCCATCAACCTGCAGATCACTGGACTCGGTGACTTTCCACCAAGCCTTTTCCGGCAATCCCAGACACCTCAGGCCTGGCCCATTCCCAGAGTCTTCATCACTGTCCATCTAGATAGATCCTCTGTAGATAATATCAAATTTACTATCTCAAGCTCAATCCCAATCGCAGAGCACGAAAACACCATCTCAATTCCAGCTGAAACATAAAACGACGATGTCCCCATTCCCAAAATCCCAGACCCAACCTACTGCACCTAAAAAAAAAAAATGAGGCGTGGGAACGCGATTCCATTGCTGTTTTGGCAGTCCATGAGTGGTCAAGTTCAATCTCAACCTGCTCCCAAGGTATAGTCTGGGGCCCACATGGTCGATAAGAATAAACAATTTCTCTTCCCTTTCATGATCGGAGGCAGCAAAGCCAACAAACCTTTGAGCAAGAACGGTATGAGCCTTGACAGAGCCGACAGCGTCGTTGGTTGAAATATACCCCCCATCAGCTAGCTCCCTCTCTCAGCATCACAGATGCCCAGTCGAGACAAAAAGCCCCGGGGCTGCGGTAGAAATGCTCATCAGACTATGGCTATTATCATTACTATCTAGTAAGACAGTATCTGGTATCTACGGAGTACCCTCTCAAGGTGATAGATGCACCAGGGATCGCCGCATGGATATGCAAGTTACCGCATTGATCCAAAGCCGAAGTTGTCAAACAAAAACCACACTTGCCAACGACTCGCTGATTTAGGCCAACTGGGCTGTATGATTCGTGGCCCTGCTTTTCAGGACTTGGCTTTGATTGTTGGGTTCTGGATGCGATCGAATACGCGAGATCCGTATTTAGTGTAGTCTATAATGTTAGGTATGTATCTATAGCATCAGCAGGATGTCAGTGAGCATTGATCATTCATCGTGTTTTTTTTTTTTTTTTTTTTTCGTCTTACGGGAATTTCGTCGAGTCTCCCTGGCATCTGTCACTGTCAGTGTCCCCTCCCTGTAATGAATTAAGGAAGATAGACCCGCAGAACTGTGAGGTACTCATGTCGGGGGCCCAATCTCTTCGTCTCCTTCCGGGCAACCTCCGTCGTCTGGACCTGTACGTGTACTCCGTATGATCCTGCTTGCTTCTCTGTCAGACGCCGGGCCATCTGCTTCACAGATGACCAGTTGACTTGGGACTTGAGGCCAGCTGCTGCGTTCCGATTCAGCACGACTTTGTCCCGTGGGTATATGAGAGACAGTCTTCCCTGCGCCCAATTCGGCCTATGCGGCCAAGGCGGCGAGAAATAAGGCAACCCCCCGATTTACCCAACGTTCCTGATACTTCGTCTGCCACTCTAGGCCACCCATCATGAATTAGAAGCCTTAATCTAGGCATAGCTTCTAGGCCCTCGGGCTCTAGCGTTAGCCTTTACATGTACTGTACTAACTTGGTAACGCCGCTGCCTCTCTAGCCCTCTCTACAGCTCCCAGGCTCCTAGGTAGAAGATCTTCTGAGCTCCATATAGTTTTTGACTACTTCTTATTCTAGTGTCCTATCACCTAGACATAGTTGTTTGATTACCTGGAATCATAATTCTTTGAAAGACTATGGACTCTCCTGATTCTGCTGGTATTTGCGACATCAGGCCGAGGACAATAGGTGACTATTAGGAGCGTTGGGAAAATAGGGATGACCAAAGATAAACATCAGTCCAAAGTGCGCAGAGCATTCCTAACCACGCTGAATGTGCCTGGAGAGTACAATTGGTGGATCTAAATTCTAAAGTGCTGATCATATTCAAAACGACACGGACCACTACTCAATCTAACAATACGATCCTGGACACTTAGACACCTAAAAAAAGCCCTCTCGGTTGACATGTGTCCCTCACGCAGGGTTGACCCAATTTCGCCTAATGACTCAGACCATCCATCGACTTCCTCCAGCGAGGCCCGAATACCTTCATGGCGAAGATCACCGAGCTGCTGGCGAATGCCACCAGCCCAAGGATCGTGAACAACCAGCCGTTGCCGATGGCGTCGATGATGGGCGCCGTCACGAGCGAACCAATACAGGAGAAGATATTCCGCATAAAGTTGTTCAGGGCAACCCCGGCGGAGGACTTTTTAGGCATGAACTCGGTTAGCATAGTGGTCGCCATGCTGAAAATAAGCATGGACCCGACACCGAAGAAGAAATTGGCCACCATCTGAACATACAAGCATTAGTTTGCATAGGATTCCGATCGTCCAGGATAATACGCACCGGTGCAAACCAGAATACCCCCTTCTCGGCCGTCCAACCATACCAGATCAATGCGGCCGGATAGAGGAAAGCACCGAGCCACGCGTTCTCACGCATGCGGTCCTCTGGACGATAGATCAACTTGCCTTTCTCATCATATCGATTGGCCCGTTTCGCCTCGCGCTGCATGATGTTGTCCATCCACCGACCTCCAAAGGTGCTGGCTGTGATGTAGCCCAGCGAGTTTGGGATGTAGAGACACCCAACGATGAGCGTACTGAAGTTATAGGGGCTTGCCCCGAAGGTATGTTCAACACTGACATTCAACACATAGAGAGAGCCGAAGGTGATGCTGGCGTAATATACGGTCAGCAAAACCGGTGGGTAGCGCAAGTAGAGCACGATCTTGAGGGGATCAATCAAGATCATCTTCAGGACCTTCAGCCATCGGGCAGTGAAATGAACGACCTGACGAGATGATATTCGACTAAGATGCCGCTCTACCGGGGCGCGGCTGTCATCTTCGGCTACTGGGCTCTTCCGAGCCAGTGTTTCGGGGAGGGCTAGGAAGATGAAAATGACCAGAATACCGCCGTAGACTGCCGAAAACCACATCGTACTCCGCCATCCCCACCTCTCTGCCAGAGCGCCGCCGACGATGGGGGCAATCAAAGGGCCACATAGAGGCCCCAGATAGAAGATGCCCATCGCGCGCCCTCGCTCTTGAGGATCCCACATATCCGCGATTGTGCCTGCACCGACAGCCTGCACCGAGGCCGACGCCCCACCGCTCAGCATTCGCATGACTATCAGCATGGCGATTGAGCTGGAAAGGGCGCTAAGAACATTGAATATGACAAATAGGCAGAATGAGACGAGGTATATCGTTCGCCTCCCTAGCCTCTCGCTAAAAGATGACCACCAAAGGGGGAAAATTGACATGCTAAGCATGTAGAGGGAAATATTCAGGTTGGCCACGGTGGTGCTCGCATTCATCTCTTTCGATATCTGGGAAAGTGAAGCTAATGGAGGCTGATTAACGTAGGGGTTCGACTTCTGCCATGAAACAATGACTCACGAAACAATATCGCGCTACCCATAGGAGCGGTCGACCCTGCCATTGCAACGATGAATGTGATGAACCATTTGGTCTTTCGAGGATAAACCTTCGGATTCTCAACCTCTGCCAGCAGAGTGAGCTGTCCAAACAGTCCTCGGCGCTTCAGTCTTGGTACCGTTACCGGAGGATCATTTTCCGCATCGGACGAAGATGGAGGATAATTGGTCTCAATATCCTTTCCTTCCATCGCGGTATGTGAATCATGGAGTTCCTTGTCGACATCGTTGTTGCCGTCTTCCGTGGACTGGGGGACTGTATTCAGAGCATCGGTATATGCGGTTTCGGACGACTTGAGTTCTTGGATCCCCTCATTCCCCAGCTTCGAGGATGGCATTTTATGTTCTGGTACCTATGTGCAATTCGTCTCCCACAATAGATGGGGTGTTGTTGATATGCCGAGTCTGAAAACGGGAGTGTAGGGTGTGTCAATGACGCAACAGCCGGGCGATCTAGCATCAGAGTCTCAACCACAAGGGATATTGTGTGTGGAATGTGGATGCAATAATGGATCTTAGGGAATAATGTATGCGAATTTATAAAGGCACCTAACACAAGATAGGCTCACGTTCTGGCAATGATAGCAATGTCAATGATTACGTCTGGAGGTGGAAAAGAACAGCTAACACTCCTCCATGGTCCCAACATGAGTCAACAGAGGAATCACACGACCAGGAGCTGGACAAATGATTTCTGAGAGGGAAAGAAGCGAAGAAGAAAAGCAAGATTGAAGGAAAGAGAAAACAAAAAAAAAAAAAGTCTGCACCATGACTTGTTGATCCCGATAAGGCAGGCGTAGATCTACTACTGTAGTACTACATACTAATCTTACTAATACTACTTAAGTCCTTGCTGGCCAGACAAGAATCCGCGGGTGTTGTGAACTTGTGACCCTACTGAGTAATGATTGTCTATCAATCGCAGCCTTTCGACAAGGATACTCTTGTGGTGATGAGCTTGATCATAGGTTGGTAGGGATTTCATACTTCATGCACTATATGAACCGCTCTGTTTCATTTACGCACATCCCAATTCAAAACCCCTCATTGTTATCATGAAATTTGTGCCTGTGGATATTTCTCCGCATGTCACAATTCCACCATTGTCAATGATAATAATACATAGTTAATAATAATAATAATGCTACCAGTCAGTACCAAGTACTTAGTTAGATATCAGCTCAGTTCATGAGTCAGTGGTGCCCAGTCACAGTCAAGAGATTGTGTGCCGACTCATCCGTAGTAGGAGTGAGCACTGCGGAAGATCCCGCCCTTGGCTATTTTCTCAGTGCATAGTACTATTTTCGGGGGGAAAAAACATCTTTTCGGAAAGAAAAATATTTTTTTTCCAGAGGAAAATTACATATTATAAAATGCCTATTTCTTATTCTCTCCGCCTACCTATTTTAGTAAAATAAGAAATTATTCTTAACTAAATCATGACCAGTTGGCGTCCTGTAGCCTCAAATTTTCGAAGAGAAAAATTCATGAATTTTAAGGGGGAAAATGTTAAATACTCTATAAAATCTAATGGTTTTTTGGGCTCCTCACTGCTAGTAGGGACCTTGCTGGTGATAGGGACACTCGCTGACAATGGGGACCTTGCTAGCAATAGAGACACTTGCTGATGGTAGGGACCTTGATGATGGTAAGGGCCTCGCTGGTGCTGGGTGGTAAAAGCCTTGCGAGTATTAAGGCATATTTTATTACTGATTTTAGATCTAAATATATTCTGAGTAAGACTGTATATATATTCGTATGTGAGCTTACTTCTCTAGATTTAAAAATAGTAAATAATAGTAAATCTAGTGAGGTTTTTATGGTAGATGGTGGAAGTTGATGATTTCTCATGTACAGAGTATAAAGATATATATTTTGATGTTGTTAGGTGAAATCTACTACTATCTCCCAGAGCATGTATACTACTTTCCCAGGCAATAAGGCACCCACTAGCTACTGATTCTGATTAGTCTATTCTAGTGGGGTGGTGAAAATTAAAGGCTCTGATTAGTTAAAGAAGTCTTGGCATTCTTATCAGATTAGGGGGGTTCAACTGCTGGAAAGAAAAAAAAATCATTGGAAAATTCCGAAAGAAAGAAAATGTTGTTTTTTTTCAACTTTTTGATGACCCTAGTGCATAGTTTGCCCGAGGTCAAGCCTTGTCTATCTAACCGACCGTTTTGATCATTTGATGGCCAGCAGTTAGTGAGTAATGTTGTAGTGGATATTATTCGATCGACAGGGTAGATACTAGATAATACTCTGTAATCCTCAACATAGTTGCCAGATCTGTGGGTTCATACTTCATAGCCATGGCAGTCACAGTGTGCCTCGAATTCTCTAGGTGGTCAAACCATCAACGGCAAGCCGAGAATGTCTGGACCGAGCAAGTAGGTAGTCTCCCGCGCCACAAGTCGCCATCACTTTGACAGTCTTATATGTCCATATGATATATCATATCACTCATATGGGCTTCGAGGATAGGTCTGGTTAGTGGTTACACCGTCACACTCCACGGACTGACCCACTGCCGTGTGAGCTTGTCTTAAGGTTATCGTCACTTGAGGCGGCATCTGATCATATTCATAGCTCCTCAAGACCATGGTCAAATCTTGGGCCAGTTGTATCAAATACTGACAAGGAGCCCTAGAATGTTCAATGTTGAGGGTAGAGATCAAGTTGCTAAGGTGGCGGGTGTGGTAGGACGGGGAACAGCTGCCACACCTTCCCCACATTATTTCGAAGCAGTTCAACTTGTCTTCCTCGTAAACGTGCTCAATATTCTGGGATAGAAAATCCAAAGAGTTCGAGACTTCCATTCAACCATCCAGCTTATAAATCATTAGTCATTGCTCTCATCCTCTCTCTCTCTGGGTTGATAGACTCGGGGATTGAAATTTAGAAACCTCGGGGAAGAAGTGGATAAACCCCAACTGATCGGAACGGATGGCTCGACCGCCCAGAACCAGTCGCCAACTCTGTAATTCGTATTCACAGATATCGTTCTAGATATATGAACACAGATACCCCAGGCTCTCAGGTCCCCCAGTTCTAAGCTGTAACCGAACCCATAGCACTCAAAGTTGAATGATCCTCTACACACGACTCTTCGCATCTTTCCGATCCCGCGTAGCAACCATGTCCACGCCTTCTCTCATCCCCTCCGGCGTCCACGAAGTCCTCGCCAAATACAAAGACGGAAACTATGTCGATGGATGGGCCGAGCTCTGGGACAAGAGCAAAGGCGACCGTCTACCCTGGGATAGAGGATTCCCCAACCCCGCGCTGGAAGACACCCTGATCCAGAAACGCGCGATCATCGGCGGCCCCCTCGGCCAAGACGCACAGGGCAAGACGTACCGCAAGAAGGCGCTGGTACCGGGCTGCGGTCGCGGTGTGGACGTGTTGCTGTTGGCGAGCTTCGGGTACGATGCCTATGGTTTGGAGTACAGCGCCACTGCGGTGGATGTGTGTCAGGAGGAGCAGGCGAAGAACGGGGATCAATACCCCGTGCGGGATGCGGAGATCGGACAGGGCAAGATCACCTTTGTGCAGGGTGATTTCTTCGAGGATACATGGTTGGAGAAGCTAAATCTGACGCGGAACTGCTTCGACGTGATTTACGATTACACGGTAGGTGACTGACTGACCTGTGCGGGTTTGCGACTGCACTGAATCAGCGAGTTGAGAAAAGCAAAGCCAAAGAACAAAAATTGCTTCGGTCCGTTCTCTCTTCAACTCATGGGCTAACTTTTTTCTTTTTTTCTCTTCTCTCCACCAGTTTTTCTGCGCGTTGAACCCCTCAATGCGCCCACAATGGGCCCTCAGACACACTCAGCTACTCGCAGATTCACCCCGCGGGCACCTCATCTGCCTTGAATTTCCAAGACACAAGGATCCATCCGTTCAAGGACCTCCGTGGGGTTCAGCCTCGGAGGCTTACCGGGCACATCTGAGCCACCCGGGCGAGGAAATCCCCTACGATGCCAGCCGTCAATGCCAGTTTGACTCCTCAAAGGCCCCAAGCGCACAGGGACTTGAGCGAGTCGCGTATTGGCAACCAGAGCGGACCCATGAAGTTGGGAAGAATGAGAAGGGGGAGGTTCAAGATCGGGTTTCGATATGGCAGCGTCCTCCTCAATCGTCTCTTTAGAGGATCGGCGATTCAGATATTCTCGCAATAGCATCTACCGCGGTTGAACTCGCTCATATCGTGGCTTTCAGTCAGTCCATAATTCCCTGTGTGAATACCAGGGAAGAAATGCTTCACGCGATATATTTGTTTACGAGTGGTTTGTTGGCAAATTCCAACACTGATGCTGGCATTAGCAGGTCTTTGTGGCAGATGATAGGCGATGTTCATTAGCAACGAGCCGCATGGGCTGACTTGGAGATACATATAGTCTGAAGAATAAGTACTGATCTCTTGCAACGTTCCACTATGTGCCTATAAGGAAGCTTGGTTTATTCTATATGCGTCCTTACTCTGCCGCGATATGAAGACTTCTCTTAGTCTTGACAGAGGGAGATTTAGCTACTGACTGTTGAGGACTGCCTGTGTCACGATCAACGATATCCCCATCCATTAAATGATCCATATAAGCACATTACACGATCCTCAAGATTGACAATATGATACAGTAGCGTCAAATGTCTAGCTAGACTGCCTAGACCACGAAAGATTTCCTGTGAGATAAGAATAGCCCATGGAGTGGTGCTGCCTCTTCTTGCTTGTCCTTCAAATCTGCCCCTGTCCTGTTCATGTTGATCCCTTCTTTAAGATTCCTCATCCACCAACCCGGTCAATGAATTAAACGAAGACCTTGGTTTTTTACAATCGCCTGCTCGCGCGGAAACCGCTGGAGGCAAGGAATTTGCACCTCCGACTGTGCTTTGCTAAACTCACTCGCACATAATGAAACTAGCCTCGTCGGCGACAACCCATCCATCATACAACTTGGTATGGATGAACGTCCGGCAACCTTGGCATACTTCAGGAATGCCGTTCCAGGACTGCACAGCGTTGGAGTGATATAACTCCTCACTATCTAATTGCAGGGCTCAATATCCACCTATCTCATGTAATTTCAAGATGTCATGGTCGCCAGTCGTCTGGTAGCTTGAGCAAGAGTGCCGCGGATCATGAGGTTCTTCCTTCATCGAGCGTGCCCAACTCGTTGCTAGGATGAGCCCAACATTGGATCGCAAGAATTCCCGTATGTAAATTGCTTTATGTGTGCTTTGTGAGCGCATTATAATGCTCTCCAAGGCCATATGTATGCCTGTAATAAGCCAACCAAATGACTCGCTTCTTCATCTCCTCTTCGTCGAAATCATCCGCATCGCCGGCTTCAATCTTCTCGATTCTTCCATCGCCTTGGATAACGTTGATGTTGATTCCGTATGCCCTAGCAATAGCCTGTAGCTCAAGCTGTCCACCCCACTCCGCCGTGAGCTTGATCTTCCGGGTATATTGATCAAGCGGTTCCTCCATAAAAGCCTCGAAATCATCCTTGTGATCAACAATAAAATCAGCCGCAACTGCCCGAACCGCCCTGTAGCCATCATGCTTGGGCGATGCTACCGTGTCGATGCGAGACTGTGTCTGGGGCTGGAGGACCATTCTCTGCGGATCTGGTTTCAGACCGAGTCCTGCTTCCTCCAACTGATTGGCAATAGCAGAGTATAAGCAGTGCCCGTCCGGGTTGATCTCTATCTCTTTCAATCCAAGACGTTTGAACACGCCCTCCATCACTTCCCTCTCATTTCCACGGTGATCTACTTGTTTCGCAGCTTCTTCTGCAGCGATCTCCGCCTGAGCCGCTTGTTCTGCCGCGCGACGTGCCAGACGAGCTTTTTGTCGGTTCGGTTTCTTCGTGCGCGGGCCGGAGGCAGTCTCGGAGGCAGGATTCGAGTTCGACGCCGTTGAATCTGAAGGCCTGTCTGTGTCGTCTGTGCCATTCACAGCATTGCTCTTTGTAGTATTCTCATCCTCCGCATCGGAAGCTCGTAAGCTCAGGTCTTCGAAGCCATCAACTGGTTGGCGGGGCTCGCCGTTAAGCTCTGCAATCTCGGCTTGGTGTCGCTCGGAAAGCTCGTGCTGGAGGCGGTCGCATTCTTCGTTGATACCCCGACGGGTTTTCTTCGTCGCTGATTTCTTCTTCTGTGTAATGCGTCCCTGGAGATCTTTCTGTTCCTTGCGGTGGCGAGCTAGTAATTCTTCCATTGTCAAGTCGGAGAGGTGGGGTAAAGATGCAGCAAGAAGGCAAAAATAAGGTCTATATTCTAGAGATGTTGAAACAGAAATGACGCTGAGGCTTAATATGCAAGAAATGTATAGAATCCACTTGACCAGTCAAGAAGTGTTCAGATCAACAATGCCATCTATGAAATCATGGTATGCGTGCTCTCCCAGATACCACAGATTCAAAGCAACATTCAGCGCCCCGCAAAAAAAGCTCGGATTAGTGACAACGGCGATTACGGCTATTTGCCCTGATTGGGGATAGCGTGCGTTTCTCGGTGCCTCTGTTATTCCCAATCCGAATAGCCTCGGTATCCTTCGCCAAGAAGCATTCGGTTGTCGGACAAGCATCGTAAGGAGGAGTATATGAGGAGTGTGGTTCTCTCTATCATGATGTCGAAAGGCTTTTCCACACATCCACCCTAACTCCTACTTAACTCACTCCCCTCTTGTCTTTTTTTTTGTTTCAAGCTAACGGTTTTGCTTCACTGTATCATTATGGATACCCAAAGCCTCTTCAATGTAGAGGTAGGTCTTCTCCTCATAGCCGTTGCTTACCTATTCTGAACAATGGTGCAGGGTAAAGTGGTGCTGGTCACCGGCGGAGCCAAAGGTATTGGCCGTATGATTTCCGAAGGATACGTCACCAATGGTGCGACGGTGTACATTTCGTCCAGAGATGCCAAGGCTTGCGATCAAGCTGTAAAGGAGCTCAATGCGATCGGAAAGGGCAAAGCGTACGCCATCCCGGCCGATTTCTACCGGGAGGAGGAGTGCAAGAGACTTGCTGATGAGATAGCGAAGCGCGAAGGCAGTGAGTTTGATTGACTGATACGAGGAAGCAATCTTCGGGCAGCAAGCTAATCTCCCACACTAAGAGCTCCATGTCCTCGTGAACAACTCCGGGTCCAACTGGGGTGCCCCCTACGATGAGTACCCATCATCCGCATGGACCAGGGTCCTTACCCTCAACCTCCACCGGGTCTTCGACCTCACCAAGCTCCTTACCCCTCTCCTTGAAGCGGCTGGCTCGCCCAGCGATCCAGCTCGCGTCATCAACATTGGCAGCATTGATGGGTTGAGAGTTCCGAGTCTGGAGACATTCGCATACAGCGCTAGCAAGGCAGGCCTGCATCACCTGAGCAGGGTTCTCGCACACCACCTTGGCAAGAGGAATATCACGTTCGTATCTCGCATCCTGATGTAGCACAGGACATAGGCAACTAACATGTTCGATTGGTTTAGATCCAACACTTTGGCTTGCGGCCCGTTTCAGAGCAAGATGATGGCCGCCACTCTGGAGAAGTTTCGTGAGTCGATCGAAGGTTCTATTCCGTTGGGCCGCATTGGTACGCCCCAGGATGTGGCCGGATCTTGCCTGTTCCTCAGCAGCCGGGCCGGTGCGTACATCAATGGCGCGACGATCACGGTCGATGGAGGCAGCTCAATCGCTGCAAAGATGTAAATAGCCAGCATGCAAGGAGGCTAGCGGGTCCTGAGATACAAAAATACATACTGTGTACATTCATGCGCAAATCTTTCGCCTCTTCCAGAAGGTCTACCCGAGCTTATCTTGATCGTATACGCTGGCTGCCTTCAAGCTTGGTACGTCGTGTAGGGATCGCATGCAATGCACCTTAATCATCTGGCAAGTGGGGGTTGCAACAGAGCCCTACAGAAATCCACGTGTTTAACAATAACCTTATGCATGGAGTATGGAGTATTGGAGTATAGGTACAGTATAGGTACATCTCAGGCTGCGAGCCTTTCTGCGCGTAACGAGATCGTCCCTCCAGGACAGAAGCGGGACATGTCGTCGAGACGGGATGGTAGGGGTCTTCTAGACACAGCACCGCATCCCATGCTACCAAAGGAATTGAGTGGAATCACCGATTCCTGTCCACCTGGACCATTGGGCAGACTGATCGTCCCCTCAGGTCCCCTTCTGATATCACATCTCATCAGCACGCCCACAACAGTGGCTTAGATAGTATGTAGATCGCCAAGCTCCGCGTTGTCGTCCCGAAGCTCCCAGTGGACGAAAAAAATTCCCTCTTACAACAACCCATACGAAGCGCAATCGAGGTAAGGGGAAGCATCTCCAAGATCGCGTGGGGTTGCCAACTGACGTGAGATCCGGATGGGATTGGTCTGGGTAAATCCCGCAGCCAACGAGCTGTATACTATAAAACTTGTGATATGTGAATGCAGGTGGACGACGAGATAGGAGTGCGTGCCCCAGTTTCGAGATCTTCTATTGAGCAGAGCAAAAGACCCCCGGGGGGAACCTTTTTACGCTAGTACCTCGATCCTAGGCTGAATCCCCTAGCGCTTACTAGTTACTACAAGCCCGGCCTGTGAGAAGTGACAGCTGAGAGCGCCTAGCTAGTTACCGAGCTTCAATAGTGCGTGGAGCAGATGTGGAGGCCACCAGTGAACTTCATAACCTTGCATTGTGCGTTAAGCTTATTTGGTTCAAGATTATATATATCATGCAAGCTAACCAGGAATAGATGCATATATCATCACCCTGGGAATCCTTGGGATTGCCGTCCTCTATCCCTACGGTAATCTGAGAGCAGTCGACGCATACCTCTTCGGAGTGAGCTCCTCGACGGAGTCGGGACTGAACCCGTTTGTTGGCCCCATTGATCGATCGAGGGGAAGAGGATCGCTAACGAGAAATGTGACGAAATGTAGCGTGGACTTGAAGGAGCTGAAGACCTATCAACAGCTCTTCCTATACTTTGTTCCTATTGTGTCCAACCCCGGCTTTGTGAATGTCCTGGTGGTCATTGTGCGGCTTTACTGGTTCGAGAAACACCTGAAAACGCTCGGTATGTATCTTTGCGCAGGTACTCTGTGGTCATGTCCCATGGAAGCTAATGCTCTGCAGCACCTACCCTTCTTCGGCCAGACTGGCACGAGAAAGATGCAGAGTCACACGCAAAGGTCAATGAGGACTCAAAGGTAGAAAGGTGGGCAACCCCTTGTCGAGCAGCGCATATCGATCTGTCTGACAAACTATTCAGTGAGGCTGTCAGGAGAGGGCAGGGGATGATTACAAACAACGGCATCCCAGGAGATGACAATACAATCCGGAACAAACACATTTCGTTTGCGGACGACTCGAGAGCCTTGTATATTCCTTCACCTCGCGAGCGGGACAGAGGTATGTCGGAAAGCCATGGCGAGCGAGCAGTTCCTATGCTGACAATGACTATGCCATCCGATCACCGAGATCGACGATCATGGTAAGACAGCCAGCACAGCCAGCTCACCATGAGGAACCAGAACGCTGATCAAGCTCCGTTTCCCACCAGGTACTCACAGACGCACCGGTAGTGAAGAGGCGGAAATCGAGTCGATCCACCGTCGCAGTGCTAGCGGTGGCACACCCTTGGAGCGAATCGCTTCCACGATGTCTGCGCTTGGAGCGTATCCTTCGAGATCCCAAGAACGACAAGTTAAAAGGACCGTCTCGCTATCAAAAGACCCCGAGCTAACAGGACTCTCTTCACAAGCAAGCCTCGGTCGCAATTCGCGGTTCTATGACCTAACGACTGAAGATAGGGAGAGGCTGGGCGGTATAGAATACCGCAGCCTCAGGTTGCTTCTAAAGATATCGCTTGGTAGGTCTTCTTTTCTTTTGAAGCCTATATTCGGAAACAGTCTGATGGGTGCGTGCAGGTTACTTTGTAGGGCTACATGTGCTTGGGGTGATCTGCCTTGTGCCTTGGATCCAGCATGCGGATCCCAAGTACAGAGACTATCTGAGGGAATGTGGGCAAGGGAAGATCTGGTGGTAAGTGATCTGTCTGCGTTCATAGCCGAGCCTGCCCACTAAGCCGTCGCTCAGGGCTTTCTATACAGCACAGACGATGGTGGACAACTTGGGGTATTCCCTCACCCCGGACTCGATGATCTCGTTTCGAGATGCGGCATGGCCTATGTTCATCATGAGCTTCCTTGCCTATGCCGGACACACGATGTACCCCTGCTTTCTACGCCTCATCATCTGGGTGACGTTCAAGTCGGTCCCGCGAGACTCATCGTTGAGAGAGCCACTAAGCTTCCTCTTGAATTATCCGCGCCGTTGTTTCACGCTGCTCTTCAGAAGCCGACCGACCTGGGTGCTCTTCGGAATCCTATTCGTCTTGAACTTTGTGGACGTCCTGCTTATCGTGGTTCTCGACCTCCACAATCCCGCCGTCAACACTCTTCCCGGTGGACAGCGTGTCCTGGCGGCGATCTTCCAGGCTGCGTCCTCACGACATACTGGAACGTCCTCCTTTAACCTGGCAGATGTGAACCCGGCAGTCCAGTTCAGCTTGCTGGTCATGATGTACATTTCGATTTTCCCTATCGCGATCAGCATTCGAGCTTCCAACACGTATGAAGAAAGTGCCTTAGGACTGTATCCTTCCGATACCGAGATGGACGAGGACCACGGCGTGAATTACGTGATGGCACATTTGCGCAATCAACTCAGCTTTGATCTCTGGTATATCTTTCTGGGGATTTTCTGCGTCTGTGCCACGGAGGCACGTCGGATCATGGATCCAGCCGAGCCGGTATGCCACTCCCCTCGATCATTTGTTTATGGGAATCTGGTGATTGACCTAGGCAGGCCTTCAACGTGTTTGCTGTATTTTTCGAGGTTGTTTCGGCATAGTAAGTTTCCACTGTGTTGTCTCTGTTGCATTCTCCTGACTAGTCCAGTGGCAATGTTGGTCTTAGCCTGGGGTACCCGGGTGTATCCACCTCCTTCTGCGGTCAATTCAGTGTTTTTAGCAAACTCGTCCTCTGTGCCATGATGGTTCGAGGGCGCCATCGCGGGCTCCCCGTTCAGCTTGATCGTGCCATCTTGCTTCCCGGTGAGAAACTCGTGGGGGACGACCGAGTCGATGCTCGATCTCACTCAGATGACCGGCCAACGATTTTGAATAGCTTCCGCCGGTACCATACTAAATAGCGTGGTGGATTCCGCGGAGTAGGTAAGGTAGGTAGGTAGCGTCAATGATAGTATGATCCTTCGCTAATCTCGGGAAAATCGATAATTGATTAGTCTCGATAGTGTACAGAGAGACTAGATAGATATCTAATAGAACAAACAACAGTTGACTGGTCTTACTCTTTCTTCCTCTGTACAATCCGTACTTAGTGGCAACTTTTTTTTTTTTTTTTTTTTTTTTTAGCTCACGTGGTCGATCTGAGTACTTTTTATAGCCCATCACTTGATCGCACTAATTCGGTGTCTTCTCCTCTAAGCTGATTTGCTGGTGTGTGGTTGGGATGCATTCGGTGGCTCTCTCTCTCCCTACTACCTTACTTCCTTTCATTCTTCATCTTCTTGTTTTCAATTCGACGGTAGCCCCTGTCTGTATCTAAACTATGCCGGCATGTTTCTAAGTTCAATCTCTACTGAATACTGATGCCCCTATCATTATCAATCAATCTCTTTAGTTTTTCTTTATTAGCATTGCGTAGTCATGTATGAGGGGCAATGATGTAGTTAGTGATGGAGATAGTGGAGCGACGACATCATCAGTGATGCCGTCATACCAACAACACTCCCAGAGCGTTTTCTTATCGCTTCATTCAGAGCAATTCAGCCAACTGATGGAGGCACACAGTAAGAAGATCAAGAGGAGGGAAGGGGAAAAAAGAAAAGAGAGAACGTAAAGCTACTAAAGACACTATGATAATAATTGAAACCTGACTATCTCCCCGAGGATAAAAATAAGAAGAAAAAGAAATGGAAAAGGAAAAAGAAAAGAAAAAAGGGACACGGCACGCTGTCATTCTTCCGCTGTCGGTGTGAGTACAGAGAGAGAGAGAGAGAGAAAGAGTTGTTGCGTGTGCGTGTGTGGCCAAACTGTGGAACTCTCTCTCCCTTTACTCACTATCTACTACTGACTACTGACTGACTGTGACTGTACATCCTTTTTTTTTCCCTCCCTTCTTCTCTGCTTTCTTCCCCCTTCGTCATTATTATTTATCTTCGTGAACCGACTTTCTTCTTCCTCTGTCCAAACAGGATAATCTTCAAAAATATCCTCTTCCAACATCATACCCCCCCCCCCCCAACCAAAGTGGTATATCTATCTACTTAAAAGAACTACGCCACGGACATACCTTCGGCTCGGTCATTGCTTTCGCTTTGCCTTGCCTTCAGCCGGACAATCCTTGCTCTGATCTGGACTTTAGCCTTTTCCGAGATCTCTTTTTCCTTTTTCCTTTTTTTTTTTTCCCTTTGTGATTCCCTTCTCAATTGACCGACGATGAGCTCGTCGAACAAACACCAGCAGCGCACGAACTCCCTTGATCCCTTTTCCGATCCCGATATCTACTATGGCGAGGAGGACTCGGTAGCCCGCATCCGCGACCGCAAGCGTGCTTTCTCCTCAGTGAGTGCTCAGGCCGCTTCTGAGAGATAAGACCAGGGACTCGTTAGCTGATAACGCCGGGGATGATGGTAGAATTTGAAAGCATTCAATCGCGACGATATTCAGGATCTCCTGGGGAAGATTCCCGCCAGACGGGGCAGCCATGGTATGTTCCTCCCTCCGCCCCTTGAATAGTCATTTGGGCCAAAACTTGCGGTGACTGACGGAGCGACCGCGCACGTGCCCAACAGATGAGCTATCAGCGCATCCTCGCAAGTTCCTTATCGATGTCGATACAACCCTGCACAGCTTGCTGGAGCGGGAGGATACAGATAGGAATATGCAAATTACAATTGAAGATGCTGGCCCCAAGGTAGGTGCTCGGAGTAACGCCATCATGGACTCAAGTGTATGCCGTTCACGTAATGGTCAACTGACTCGCTGTGCTCAGGTTCTCTCCGTAGGAACCGCCGCTTCGTCTGGATACAACAAATTCGATGTGCGAGGGACATACATGCTGTCGAATCTGCTACAGGAACTCACCATTGCCAAAGATTACGGCCGGAAGCATATCGTCCTTGATGAAGCTCGTCTGAGCGAGAACCCTGTCTCGCGTCTGTCTCGTCTGATCAAGAACTCGTTCTGGAACGCCCTCACCCGCCGCATTGACGGCTCCAACATCGAAGTCGCTGGTCGGGATCCCAAGGACTGGACCGATGATCCGCGGCCTCGAATCTATGTGCCCCCCGGTGCTCCCGAGCAGTTCGAGTACTACAAGGGAATCGCCGAGACGCACCCTGAGCTACGCCTGGATGTGCAGATGCTCAATGCAAACATCACACCTGATTACGTGAAGGATCTCAATTCCAGGCCCGGTCTGCTTGCACTGGCCATGCAGAAGAAAATCAATGAAGCCACACAGAAACCCGAGTATATCGGTGTACCGTTCGTCGTGCCAGGTGGCAGATTTAACGAATTGTATGGATGGGACAGTTATATGGAGTCTCTCGGCTTGTTGGTGAGCAACCGGGTGGATCTGGCCAAGGCCATGGTGATCAACTTCTGCTTCTGCATCAAGCACTACGGCAAGATTTTGAACGCCAACCGCTCGTATTACCTCACCCGGTCTCAACCGCCATTTTTGACGGATATGGCTCTACGCGTGTATGAGCGTATCAAGAGTGAGCCCGATGCCCTGGAGTTCCTTCGCAACGCAACACTGGCTGCGATCAAGGAATACTACAGCGTGTGGACAGCCGAACCCCGTTTCGATGAGGTTTCGGGCCTGTCCCGGTACCGTCCAGAGGGACAGGGCGTCCCTCCCGAGACGGAACCCACTCACTTCACTCACATTCTTACGCCGTATGCTCAGAAGCATGGCATGGAATTCAACGAGTTTGTTCAGGCTTACAATGACGGCAAAGTCAAGGAGCCTGAGCTGGATGAGTACTTCCTGCACGATCGGGCCGTCCGTGAATCCGGCCACGACACGAGCTACCGTCTCGAAAGAGTCTGTGCTAACCTGGCCACGGTCGATCTGAATTCGCTGCTCTACAAATACGAGGTCGATATTGCTCGAATCATCCGGACCTACTTCAAGGACAAGCTTGAGATTCCTCACGAGTTCCGAACCGAATCATCCAAGGACATCGAAAGCGAGTCCTCGTCCGTGTGGGACCGCCGCGCCCGGAGACGCAAGATGAGAATGGATACGTACTTGTGGGACGAGGAGAAGGGTATGTTCTTCGACTACGACACCGTCCTGCAGAAGCGGACCAATTACGAGAGCGCCACGACATTCTGGGCCATGTGGGCCGGTCTCGCTACGCCGCAACAGGCGGCGGAGTTAGTGAGCAAGGCGTTGCCCCGATTTGAGGTCTACGGCGGTCTGGTATCCGGTACGGAAGAGTCCCGTGGTGCTGTAGGGTTGGACCGACCCAATCGGCAATGGGACTTTCCTTACGGATGGGCGCCGCAGCAGATGCTCGCCTGGACGGGATTGCTGCGCTACGGCTACCAGGAGGAAGCCGAGCGACTGGCGTACAAGTGGCTGTTCATGATCACCAAGGCATTTGTTGACTTTAACGGTGTGGTCGTCGAGAAATACGATGTCACCCGGCCGATCGATCCTCACCGAGTGGATGCCGAATACGGTAACCAGGGTGTGGACTTCAAGGGTGCTCCTCGAGAAGGGTATGTTAAATCGAGCCCACATGTGCAGAGCTCTGGGCTAATCTTCTGAACTGCAGGTTTGGCTGGGTCAACGCCAGTTATGTGTACGGGTTGGAAATACTTAACGCACATCAACGGCGTGCTCTGGGAGCCATCACCCCGTGGGAGACATACAACAAAGCGGTGCTCGCTCAGAATGCTTATTAAGCCATCAATCGACCGATGCTATCGACAGACTCCCAAACCCTGCGTCATTCAACGCATTTTTTCCTCCTGCTAGAAGAAGCTTTGTCCGACCCTGGTTGTTCTCGTTTTGCCATTCTCCTTATTTTATCCTAATCATGCGGACTGCCGCCTGTCTTGACAGCATCCTGTTTCAACATCGGAGAATCCGATGCAGGTGATCATCCAGGCCAAATGGAGTTGGGGAGGTTTGTTTTTTCGCGTTGTCGTTTCGTCACTCCTGCGGTTCTAAAATCGTGTCAACGTAACGAAAAAGGAATAGAAAAATCTTTTCCTCTGTTTGATTGCTGCGGTTTTTTTTTTTTTTTTTTTTTTTTTTTCTTTTTTTTTTTCACGTTGGGCTTCCCGTTTTGCGTGTGTGCTGCGAGACATGCTTGTCTCTTGAGCGGGGTTTCGATAGAAGCAGTTAGTTTTATATAGTTCAATTGACGCTGTCGGGTCAAATCAACCTTGCAGAATATATCTGTAGGTCAAGGACTTGCTCAAGACGATGCATACGGAGTGTGGTTTTCGTTTGCGAAAGCGATCGACTGAAGATTCCTATATATATCACACAATCTCACCCTATGCATGAGCAGTGAACACTAGAACATATCTACTACCTGGTACTGGTAGCCAAGCCCATACTCTCCCTGACCCATGGGTTCATTTCAATCCAATGGTCAGATCATGGGAGGTGGGGATACTCCATCAAAGCTGACGAGGACACGGTCGAAGATGATGAGAGACTCCGTATGTCTCTTGTCTGGATACTCCAAGTGGGAGTGGTTGGCTGGTTGCATGTGAAACCCAAGCCCAGCGACGACCCAAAAGCAAAAGCCCAAAGCTAGACTACTTACTAGGTATCTACTATCTACTATCTATCTACGAATATCGCCTTTTCGTCAGACATTGGGATACAGTCAACACCCAGCTCTTTATCTCTCTCTCTCTCTCTCTCTCTCTCTCTCTCTCCAGTCTCTTAAGCTCTAAGCTCTAAGCTATCTATCTACTCCCTAAAATGCAATCCAAACGGCCCAACGCACCCAAAACCCTGCTTTCAAGACGCATGCCTACACAGTAGGCTTTTGATATTGTGCTATCTATCTATAGCTCCAACCCGAAAAAAAAAGGTACACACACACACAAACAATGACGCCGACGATTTTCGTCGACAATAACACGGGTGCGCCAGACGAATTATCGCCTCCTTATTTTCCCGATGTTTCTTGGTTCTCCCGTTCTCGTTCGCTAGACTGTAGACACCCCTAAAAGTAAACCCGTAAAATCCCCCAAGGGACCTACGGAGTAGGTGTAGGTAGTAGTGACCTCTTGGCCGTGACTTGTCTGTGCCCTGTGGAAGACTGGGGGGGGGAGGTGTTTCGGGATGGGTGATTGGGTGTTTGAGTTGAGCCGAGGTTTGTTGCATAAGGTACCTAGGTAAGGTAATCAGGTCTGGCTGATGTGATTTTTTTTTTTTTGGAGCGATGGGATGAAATAGGGATGGAGGGAAAGGGGTTGATTTTTTGATTCTTGGAGGTGGTGAGGATATGAATATTTACTTGATTTAATTTTTTTATTTTATGGAGAGTGTGTTTTCATCTCTATATCCTCTGCAGTCTGCACTCTGTGACCGAAGAGAGCCTGTTGCAAAGTGTAGTGAGGTAGTGTGATATCTAACTACAGAGTTCCTGCCTCAGGCAGAAACCCACTTGGAAATCTATTTAAGCTCTTCCTGGGTACTCGTATGTTTGTGGGGAACAATTACCGGGGTCTAACGGAAATAAATTACAGCCGTGAAAAGAAAAGGACCAAAATGAGTCAGACTCAAGAGTCAAGACTACTCCAAGACTTCGGCACCGACTCCACCGACAGGGTAGCTGAGGTTGTTGCGTTGAATGCAGAGGTTTTTTTTTTTTTTTTTTTTTTTTTTTTTTCGCTATGAAAGAATCCCTAGAATACAAAGAGCATAAAAACAGTCAATATCTGGTTGCTGAGAGCTCCGAATATCGGTGGGAAATGACAATATAGTCGATTCAGGCCTGGTTGATGTCTGAGGTTATGGAAACGAACTAGTAATCGCGGATACTGTCATGTATTGTCACGACGATCAAGCACATGTTGTTGACGTCATTATCTGCTACGCTTTTCAACCCTCTTCAACCGTACCGCAGTTGGTCTCTCGAAATACGCAGAATGGCCTCGAGATAATCAGTCAAAGGTGTCACTGTCGAAAAGAATACAGTCCGGGGAAGCAACTTGTCAATAAGTTCCAGTCTGCGTCTGGAGCTGGTTGTGGCAACTCGATGCATCCAGGGCCTTTGTCCATTAGACCGAGGATCACCAGCGAGTCTCGATCCTCTCTCCCGAACCACCACTAAGCTCGTCCGATGGTCGGGGCTGGCTTGTGAATTCTAGTCCCAGAATTCCTGATGAAAAGAGTCATGGCCACTCAGCGACTGATTCCCCCGCGGTTCCCAGAAAACTCTCTGGGATAAACGGGGCAATAATAGTTCATCTTGCTCATATGGCCGGCCCGCATTGCATTCCTCGTTGTCCCGCTGAGCCGAGCGATTACCGACCATCGACCTTCTGACGCATTCGCGATGGCGCATATCAAATGGAATAAGTACCTGCTGCTTTGGCTTGTGATCCTCGAGCTTTTCGAGTCGTAAAATCCCCCTTTTCCTCCCTCTTTCCTCCCATCTTTTGGGCGTCTGTTCTGTTGTTCTTTTTCTCTTCCGAGTGTATACTACCTTAGAATTTAAACTTTCCTCTACCAAACTTCCCTTTCCCCTCCTCACATCTATTCACAATGGGTTACCTCGAAGACGAAGATCAAAAGTACCTGGACGACGTCCAGGCCGTCAAGGCTTGGTGGACGGACTCGAGATGGAGATACACCAAGCGTCCTTACACCGCGGAGCAGATCGTCGCGAAGCGTGGAAACCTGAAGATCCAGTACCCTTCCAATGACCAGAGCAAGAAGCTGTGGAACATCCTGGAAAGCAACTTCGAGGTATGCGACTCTTGGCTCCGATGACAATCAATTCTCAAGCGCTGACCTTTCTCTCTCTCTCTCTTCCCCCCCCGCAGAAAAAAGTCGCCAGCTACACCTATGGCTGTCTCGAGCCCACAATGCTCACCCAGATGGCCAAGTACCTCGACACCGTCTATGTCTCCGGCTGGCAGAGCTCGTCCACAGCCTCGTCTACCGATGAGCCTTCCCCCGATCTTGCCGATTACCCCATGGTAAGCTCGATTGCAGTTCTGGCCGGGCATGCCCTCTCGTCGTCAGCCGCTAACCCACGGTCCAGAACACTGTCCCCAACAAGGTCAACCAGCTCTTCCTCGCTCAGCTGTTCCATGACCGGAAACAGCGCGAGGAGCGCATCACAACTCCTAAGGACCAGCGCTCGAAACTCGCCAACATCGATTACCTGCGTCCCATCATTGCCGATGCTGATACCGGTCACGGTGGTCTCACTGCTGTCATGAAGCTGACCAAGCTGTTCATCGAGAGAGGTGCTGCTGGTATCCACATTGAGGACCAGGCCCCTGGTACCAAGAAGTGTGGCCACATGGCTGGAAAGGTCCTCGTCCCTATCAGCGAGCACATCAACCGTCTGGTTGCCATCCGTGCCCAGGCCGATATCATGGGTGAGTGACCACACCTGCAAAACCTGTCATATCTTCGCAACAATCGTCTGACTCATTACTTCAGGAACCGATCTCCTTGCCGTTGCCCGTACCGACTCCGAAGCCGCCACCCTCATCACCTCAACCATCGACCACCGTGATCACGGCTTCATTCTCGGCTCGACCAACCCCAACCTCCAGCCCCTGGCCGACCTCATGGTCGCCGCCGAGCAAGCCGGAAAGAGCGGTGCCGAGCTCCAGGCTATTGAGGATCAGTGGACCGCTCAGGCTGGCCTGAAGCTGTTCAACGAGGCTGTCGTCGACGCCATCAAGCAGGGTTCTCAGGGCAACACGGACGCTCTGATCAAGGAGTACCTGACTGCCGCCAAGGGCAAGAGCAACCGCGAGGCTCGTGCGATCGCCAAGGGCATCACCGGCACTGACATCCATTGGGATTGGGATGCTCCTCGTACCCGTGAGGGTTACTACCGCTACCAGGGAGGCACCCAGTGCGCCATCAACCGTGCTGTTGCCTATGCTCCTTTCGCCGATCTGATCTGGATGGAGAGCAAGCTCCCTGACTACGCCCAGGCCAAGGAGTTCGCCGACGGTGTGCACGCCGTCTGGCCCGAGCAGAAGTAAGTCTCAGCACCATTGCTTGAAACGGGGATCTTCAAACTAACCACGAACTCGATAGGCTCGCATACAACTTGTCGCCTTCCTTCAACTGGAAGAAGGCCATGCCCCGTGAGGAGCAGGAGACCTACATCAAGCGTCTCGGCGCTCTGGGCTATGCCTGGCAGTTCATCACCCTGGCCGGTCTGCACACCACCGCCCTCATCTCCCACCAGTTCGCCAAGGCCTACTCGCAGCACGGAATGCGCGCGTACGGCGAGCTGGTGCAGGAGCCCGAGATGGAACAAGGCGTAGACGTCGTTACTCACCAGAAGTGGAGTGGTGCCAACTATGTTGATAACCTCCTGAAGATGGTCACTGGCGGTGTCAGCAGCACAGCAGCCATGGGCAAGGGTGTGACCGAGGACCAGTTCAAGCACTGAGGAAGTTGGGATCCTTTTTGACGCCCTTATACCTTTTCGCTTTATTTTTTTTTTCTTTTTTTTTTGTTGCGTCATGACCGACGCGTCAGAGTCTTGCTCTGTACAGTAGACTGTACGCATTGGGATCTTTGGAGTTTTTTTTTTTATTGTTTTGACAAGTCATTTTCATCGGAAGAGCCCGATACCTGGACAGTTAGCATCAAGAGTCATTATCTGCAATCAATTTTTCATCATGAACCACATTGAATTCTGAAGTCCCTGAAGCTTCTTCCAGTATGTTTTATTTTTTATTTTTTTTTTCTTTCTCGAAAAAGGTCGTAGTCATCAATGTACCATGTGTGACCAAATCCCTATATAGCGCTTCAAAAGGGTCTCTCCTCTCGCACTTGGCATCTGTGCTCCTCCAGTCGATTTATCAGTGGTCGAAGGGGGAAAAAAAGGGCCTTAGACGGCTCAATAATTGCTCCGAATAATGACTTGACACTTGACGGATTAAGGGAGGCTTGCGAGGCTGCCGATCATTCGGTTGACAGGCTTGTGGAATATGGAGGTTTTCCCGCGGACTGTTTAATCCTTCAAATCAGCCTCCATGACTGTCACTCGCATCATCATTTGTACATCCATGGTAGTCTCTCTCCGTGATTGCTGCTTATGTTTTCAATCATTCAATGGAATTGATTCGTTCTAGCCCGATAGGTCAGTGCAACAGAAAAAAAGAAAAAAAAACATGGACGGAGTTGAAAAGTTGCCGCGGTTCAGCGTCCAGAACGGATGAGGAGGGGGGAAATGAATTGAAGCTTTGACAGGTGACGATCTGGGGGTCCGTCATGAAGATGAATGAGCCCACTTAGAATCGTCGTCAAGGCAGGCTCCTGGGAATCTGGATAATAATTTCCCGAGTGCAAATAGACTATAGTACGGGCCTTTAAATTGCCTGACTTTGTATTTAAATAATCCCCAGCAGCGCAGCTCTTCTCATTCACACATTGATTGTCATTTGATTGTGGTGATCTCCCGTCGCTGTATAGCCTCTTCTCCGCCCGGGTGTCGGCCGCGAATTCCATTCTCCGTTACAACGTCACCGACCCCCTTTTTTCTTTTTCTTTCTCGTTCTCCTTTTCTTTCCTTTTCACCATGGGTGCATCGAACATTCCAGACCTTCAATTTACTCCCATTGAGGTTATCCAGGAGCGCGCGTCAACCCTCCGCAAGACCTTTCTCGAACACAAGACGCGCGATGTCGAGTTTCGCTTGAAACAGCTCCGCAAGCTCTACTGGGCGTGAGTGATTCGCTCCCCATCCCTTCCGCGGAAATGCCCTAGCTAACTCAATTGCTTTGGCTCTTAGTGTCAAGGATAATGAGGAGAAAATCGTCGAGGCCCTAGCACAGGACTTGGGGAGGCCGCGCTTCGAGTCCGAGGTCGCCGAGAGTGGATGGGTGCAGAACGACATTGTCTTTGTGAGCCGGAATCTGCACAAGTGGATGAAGGAAGAGAAGGCCGAGGATATCGATCTGTCGTTCAAGCTCATGAATCCCAAGATCCGCAAGGATCCCCTGGGATGCGTCCTGGTCATCGGGTAGGTGAAGCTGGTCGCTTCGGGCTGTCTTGCTGAAAGGTCATACCCACTAATTCTTTTGGTGTGAATACAGTGCATTCAACTTTCCCTTCCAGTTGACTCTCGGACCTGTCATCGGCGCTATTGCCGCTGGTAATACCGTTGTGATCAAACCCAGCGAGAATGCTCCCAAATGTGCCGTCGTCATTCAGCAAATCGTGGAGGCGTCCCTCGATCCCTCCTGCTACACGGTCATCCAGGGAGGCGTGCCGGAGGTCCAGGCTTTGTTGGCGGGAAAGTGGGATAAGATCTTCTTCACGGGAGGCGCCACCGTCGGTCGTATCATCGCCAAGGCAGCCGCTCCCAACCTGACGCCCGTCGTGCTGGAACTGGGTGGCATCAACCCAGCAATCATCACCAAGACGGCCAATCCGCGCCTCGTCGCCCGTCGCATGCTATGGGGTAAACACCTGAACGCCGGCCAGATCTGCACGTCCCAGAACTACCTGTTGGTCGACAGGGCCATCCTCCCTGCCGTCATCGAGGAATTCAAAAAGGCCTACAAGGAGTTCTACCCCCAGGGAGCCAAGGCATCGCCGGATTACTCACGGATTATCAACGAGGGCGCCTTCCAGAAACTCAAGACCATGATCGACAATTCCAAGGGCAAGATCCTCATGGGAGGAACCATGGACGAAAAGGACCTCTTCATCGAGCCGACCCTTGTGCAAGTCGACTCGCCCGACGACTCGCTCATCATCCAGGAGAGCTTTGGCCCGTTGATCCCCATTCTCCCCGTCGACAACCTCGACGAGGCTGTCAACATCGCCAACGGCATCCAGAGCACGCCACTGGGTGTCTATCCCTTCGGCAACAAGGCCGATACCGAAAAGAGTAAGTCCGACCACCTGCCCCGTCATTATGTCTTGATCCCCAGCAACTGATGCATCTCACCCTCAAAACAGTCCTCGCTTTGACCCGCTCCGGCGGCGCGGCTGTCAACGACGCCGCCCTACACATCCCCACGCTCGCCTTCGGCGGCGTCGGCGAGAGCGGCTACGGCGCCTACAGAGGCAGAGCCAGCTTCGACGCCTTCGTCCACCGTCGCCCCATCACCACCAGCCCCAGCTGGCTCGAAGCCATCCTTGCAATCCGGTACCCGCCGTACGCCGGCAAACTCAGCAAGTTAAAGGCCACCAGCACCCTGGCCCCCGACTTCGACCGCAACGGCGATAAGATCCGCTTCGGCTGGCTGCGCATGTTCCTGACGCTTGGCGGAGGCACCGCAAAGGCCGGCGCTGGTAGGGCCGCGGTTGTCGCAGTAGGTGAGTGAACTCGCTTTCTTTCTTTTTTTTTTACTCCCCATCTTCGAGCCCATTACGCTTTTCCTGCCCCTTTGCATGTCTTGTGCCTGTCAAGTATCGCTATTCTCAACTTCTCACTCTTTTGCGTTCGGCAGACTGAGAAGAAAGAAGAATGAACTTCACCTCTGCGCGTCAGATGTGAGACGTGACCGCCAAGTCTACCTGATTAGTCGTGCTCCGCATTTCCCTTCTTATATGCTCTCACCGTTCCTTTTGTATTTTGTTTTTTTTTTTTATTATTTTTATTTTCTTTCTCTGATTTTGGATACCCCATTGCTCGGTGATACCCTTCCCATCTATTGCAATCGAAATTCGATATATACGTCGACTTGATGGTGATTTATTTACTCACGTTGTTTGTTTACAGTGGCCTACATCATAATGCAGGTTTATGAACGACGGGCCTCGAAACTCTAAAAATAAGGGTTTCATGGTCTAGTCGGAAACTGTTGTTCTTACATTCATTCATGTGTTGTTATCTTATCGTTTAAATTTGGTTGGGACGGTGCTATTGTATAGTTATAGCTTCAATGACTAAATTTGGTTTGGTTTGGTTTGGTTTGTCATGAAGTTATATTTTATAAACACGGTGATATATCATGACTCGTTGCAGGACGTCTTAGATTTATGTCCTCGTAACTCGACAAATGGGGGTGGTCAACATCTTGTTTCAACACCCTTCTTGCTAATACACAGGTATTTAACACCTTTATATGGTTTGACTCCTTCGCCGAGGCCGCGACTGCGCCGCGGGTCGACATTCAGACTGTCGACCTTGACCCCCGAAGGAAGCCAACCTCGGACGGAGAATGACACGGAGGCGGAATTGGGCATCAGACTGGCGTTGATCTGGGCTTTGGTTTTACGGGGCGGCGTGTAGAAGATCGAGGAAGGTGAGGGCGCAGGAGGGGCAGGTGACGATGCTGACGGTGGTTGTGGTGCTGGACTTTGCGGCTTCGATGGATCGGGGGAGGAGGACTGGGGCAGACTGTCCATGTCTGAGGCAACGAGCGGGTTGGTGGTGGCGGATTTGGATGATTTCTTGGTCTTTGTTGTCTTCTTCTTTTTCTTGGTCTTGCGTTTCCGCGTACCCACTGCGCCGGTCTCCGCGTCCGCGGTCTGGTAGGATGTGGCTGCATCGGCGTCGTAGTAGCCCCGCAAGAGATTCGCGTCGGCGTCGGCGTCGGCGCCTTCAGCGTCGTCGTCGTAATCATCCTCCGCGGTTTGGTGTCCGAGAACGGTGCAGCGGAGAGTCGCCGTGCCCGAGACGGTTCCGGCCTCTTTCGTCGGCACGCGCCATTCAAGGGTATCGCTACCTGGTGTGAACATGGCCTCGCCGCGACTTGCCTGCATGTCGGTGATGCTCCGGACTGACTTGGGAATTGGTATCGTCACCACAACCTCGTCTAGGACGGGCGATGAGGGGCTCCCGCTTCCTCCAAGGAATGATGGTGTAGATGTGCCGGATCCGCCCCGTCCCATCCCGGGACGGCTGGTTGATGAATATCCAGGAAAGCTGGTGTTGAGAGTAAGACGGACTTCGAAGTCAGATCCAGTCGGTCCGAGTGATTTCCGCATGTCGACAAAGGCGGGCAAAAACACCTTCTCCATATGTGTAGGCGGCTCATCGAGACTGGGATCGACTGAAAGAAGATCTACCTCATATCCGGCAAGAATGAACCGCCCGTCGGGAGGCACAAAGCTGAGTTCCCCAGGTCGCTCCCTCCATCTAGCTAAACGGACACAGGGGTGAAACACGGGTAGATCTAGTTTCCGTCCAATGGCTTGTGGGCCGCCAGGTGTGGTCAAGTTGAGGATCAGATCGGGCACACCGGATATCTTCGCTGTAAACGCGATAGTTCCTGATACCAAAGCCGATAGTAATCTTCCAGATGGAGCAATAATTACTGAGAGGGATTCAATTATATCGACGTATAGCTCGTTCGAAGTGTGTCGTACACCGGCTTTCCGCCATGGAATTGCAGGACCCTGGGCAACATTCGCAGCCGAGAGCGATTGCTTTAGGGGATTCGGTGGTCCTAAGATGGGTGTAGACGATCTGTCCCGCATGATCTGATCAGCACCAAGTCCCCAACATTTATCTAGATCTCAAAATACCATCAGAAAACGGAAATGAAAACCTACCCTGGCAGTCCAACACCTCCAAGCAACTTCCCCATCCAACCCGGCATCTCGACAACTTCCTGCAGCGCATTTGGCTCTGTGTTGCATACGATGCCCGCATCGCACATTTCATGGAGCAACTGTGCAACTACATCGTAGTTTGCCTGTATCTTGGATGAGATCAACGGCGCCCCGACAAAGTCCTCAAGGATATCAACGAGCCGGTGCAGGAATTCCAGCACAAGCAGTGGCTCCGTGTCAACCTCGGAAAGCGCTAGAAATAACAGATTTGACTGCACTATGGAGAATACCGTCACTGGCGGAGTGGTGTTCGGGATATAGAGAACCGACGGGCGTGGGGCTGGGTGGGCGAGGTAGAGGGGCAGAACAGCTGCCGCCGAGGGTGGACGGGAGCGATATACATGCTCGACGAGAGGGCTACTAGAGAGCTCGAACAGTCAGTATTCGCAAACTCCTAGAACGGGTTTCTTTGAAGACTAGACTCGTCTTACTTGTGCTCATCATAGATATAGAGCGCGTCAATCTCCCCGGTCATCCTGCCAATATGTCGCTTGTCTCAATGGGTGGGGGGAGCAACAGCGGAGATCAGGTACCATCGCGAGTTGACGACATTCAGAAAGTCCCCGTTATTTCTGCCACTGATTGCCGCCTAGATGCTTAATTCGATCATGTGTTTGCGCGGATGAAGTTATTCGAGGAACTCGAAGTTCTCATCTGTTGATTACTCAAGAGAAATTGGCTCAGTGGATCTGAACTGGTTTCGATTCGGTCCTACAATTGCTCCATACCGAGCAATAAGATTACAATCAGCTATGGCTCCCTCAGATAACCAAAGTTCTTGGGAAGTCCAGTCCAAAGATGCAAAACGTGTTCTGGCAGAGGATCAGTATGATGACTGCCTGGCTTGCAGGATCACAGGTTAGTGATTTCTCTCTGAAGTTCAGATGGATATTACTCTGTTGATGGCCTACCGCTCACTTGCTATCTGCTAGGTTCTGCCGCCTTTATTGGTCTTGGAGTATACAGCTACTATACTGGAATGAACAACCTACGGAAGCAGGAGCTGACTATCATGCGGAGCGCGACGAAATACAAGATGGGATCTCGAAAATTGGGCATTGCGAGCATCTCCGCAACATTGGTGGGCATGGGAATATGGAGGGCGCTGAACTGAGCTATCCGAAGCGTTGTTGTGAAAATCTGCAAGATCTTGATGTCGATAATGTACCATATGTTTCAATAACTGAACAAAAAAAAAGGTAATAAGATGTATATGTCTGTAGATTAATGAAGCCCATATATATACGATTCAGGTGTCACAATAGCTGCCTCTGGGTATCGCCATATCTGATATCCTCTATAGTTGAAATCCATATAACAAAGAAAAATAAGAAAGAAGTAATGGGAGGTAGACAGGATGAGATAGGATGATGTTTAAGAGAAGGAGAAATAGAAGAAATGCATAGAGCAATAAGAAAAAAAAAATCACAGGTAGTACTCCCACAAATGCACCGAAGATCCAAAGTGTCAAACAACCGCTGCGTGACCATAAGAATATTGAATTCGTCCCATCGTCGGCAATATATCCCCTAGGTGAAGCGGCCGCGTTTGCCGCCTCCAAATATATCCTTACTGCCCAATTCCGATAAGTCAAAAAAATCGGGAAACGGGAGTTTCCTCTTTGAACCTAACCCAACGGATGGGTCGCGTGGGGAAGTTCGAAGATTCGATCGTGACAGGTTGTTCTGGCGGTTTTGCTGACGAGAGTTCCGAGGTAGGACAGACACACTGACGGGTGCTGAGTCCTGAGACGATGCAGAAGAATTATCCGAGGCTTGCATATCAACATCGGGTTCCTGATACTGAGGGAAAGAAGGTCCTGCGGTGAAGGTGAAGACGGTGGGTTTTTCGAGAGTGTTGGAGTCGCTGACTATTGGGTTCGAAGGCACCGGGGCCTGCTGTTGCGGCTCTGGAGCAGCGGGCACGTCCCGCTGAGGCGAGGTCAACTTCGATGTTTGTCGAGGAGCTTCCGATTCGGTCTGTTCTTTACGAACGGGCACATGAGGAGTGCTTCTAGTCTTATCGGAGTCGCCACGCTCATCGTCGTCGCTAGGTGTGCCCAAACCGTCACTCCTCTCCGTAGCCCATTGTCGAACCCTCCATCCTTCACCATCGCCGAGACCCAAATTCTCCTTGTCCAAAAAGTGAAGAAGATCTTCAATTGCTTCCTGGTAGCCTGCTTGTCTCGCCTGTGCTTGTTCTAAGACAGCATTCTTGTAGAGGTTGGTGACAGACAGGGCAGCAGCTTTGAATGATTGTAGGAGTTGTTCGGGAGGCTGCGGTCGGGGTGTCGAGCTCGGTAAAGAGGTGTTCAGTGATCTCATGGAGTCCATGGTGAGTATAACTGCAGTCGGTGCAGCCTACTAGATGTCTGGAAGCAAAGTGTACTTTCAGGGCCACTTGGAGGGGTGAGGTGAACCGTGCTCCGTAGACGAGATCCAATCAAATTCCAGTATAATAGCTGTAAGGTAGACTTTAAAGGGGTTGACACTGAAGCCAATAACTGAGAAGCAGAAATTGAGACAAAGCAAAGAAAGAAGCAAAGGGGAGGGAGTGTAGAACTGCGGGCACCAGCAGGTGATGATGGACTGTGATGATGCTCTTGTGCAGGTGATCTTTCTTTCTTTCTTTCTGTCTTTGCTTTGTCCCGGTAACGTGACCCACCGCGGGGAAACATCTCTTCCGCGCCAGTATGACTCAGAAATGAATCAGCAGAGGGTTCGCGTTTCTCAGCCAATCAGCGCGTGTTCTCGCCGCGCTCCGACGATGAAAGTCCATTTGCCATCCCAGCGCGACAGGTGAGCTTCTTCTTGTCCTTCAATCATCTTCCTTCATTGTTCACTTCCTGTTCTGTCTATCCGGTTCGAGTCGCGGCGATCCACCATCGAACCATTATCAAAGCTGCAGGTCGTGAGTTATTTATCAAATCGCCTTTCACCTGTCGCGATCAACTCGAAGCACCCTCGAGTCGTGCTCTACTTCGTTGGAAGTAATTGCGCTCAGTGCGCGGCGAACGAGAATGGCTCCCTCGCAAGTTCCCGACTCAGACACGCCATCTCAGGCAGATACTCCAATGACAGACGGAAATGAAGACCCTGTCACGTCTGTCCCAGTAGACAATGCCGACGCAGAGATGACGGTATGTGGAAATTCTGTGCTTTCTTGCTTCTTGCATGTCCAGCATTACTGCAGCGCGTAATGCTGATACTTCGTTGCTCTAGGGCTACCAGGATACTCCAGACTACACGGTAATTGCGTCTCGGTTGATCTGCATGTGAAGCAATCCTTTATTGACAGCTGGGAATCAGGACTCAGAAACAAATCCGAACACAACAGCAAGCAGTGTTGCAGGCGATGCAGCTCCCATTGATGGACGAAGAAGAAGATCTGAGGCATTCCAAATGCGAAAGAACATGTTCGGCAAGAAGCATGGACGCCTGGACGAGTCGAAGGTAGGTTTTCTTCCAAGATCTTGCTACGCCGGTATAGGCACTCACAATAACCAATTATCTAGGAAGATGATTCCATTCGCAGATTCCGTTATCTTCTCGGATTGACCGATCTCTTCCGCCACTTCATCGAGACCAACCCTAATCCCAGGATCAAGGAGATTATGGCGGAGATTGACCGACAGAACGCCGAAGAAGAGACCAAGGCCAAGAAGAAGGGGTCGTCGCGTACAGGAGGGGCAGGCAGCGACAGACGTCGCCGGACAGAACAAGAGGAAGATGCGGAACTTCTGAAAGATGAAAAATCTGGCGCTGAAACAGTGACTGTGTTCCGAGAGTCGCCCCCTTTCATTCATGGTGAAATGCGCGACTATCAGGTTGCAGGGTTGAACTGGCTGGTTTCTCTGCATGAGAACGGTATCTCCGGTATTCTGGCTGACGAGATGGGTTTGGGCAAGACTCTTCAAACCATCTCTTTCCTCGGATACTTGCGACATGTTTGCGACATTACTGGGCCTCATCTTGTCGCTGTCCCCAAATCCACCCTCGATAATTGGAAGCGTGAATTTCACAAGTGGACCCCTGAAGTCAACGTCCTCGTGCTCCAGGGTGACAAAGAAGAGCGCCACAAGCTCATCAATGAGCGACTCCTAGACGAAGATTTTGACGTTTGCATTACCAGCTACGAGATGGTTCTTCGGGAAAAGGCGCACCTCAAGAAATTCGCCTGGGAATACATCATTATTGACGAGGCGCATCGGATCAAGAACGAGGAGTCCTCACTTGCTCAGATCATTCGCGTCTTCAACTCTCGTAACCGGCTGTTAATTACAGGCACTCCTCTGCAGAACAACCTCCACGAACTTTGGGCTCTTCTTAATTTCCTCCTGCCTGATGTCTTTGGTGACTCGGAAGCTTTTGACCAATGGTTTTCCGGTCAAGACGGTGACCAAGATACCGTTGTTCAGCAGCTTCATCGCGTGCTGCGACCTTTCCTACTCCGCCGTGTGAAGAGTGATGTCGAAAAAAGCCTGCTTCCCAAGAAGGAGGTCAACCTCTACGTCCCTATGTCCGAAATGCAGATCAAATGGTATCAGAAGATTCTCGAGAAAGACATCGACGCAGTCAATGGCGCTGCCGGAAAACGCGAGTCAAAGACACGTCTGTTGAATATTGTCATGCAACTGCGCAAGTGCTGCAATCATCCGTATCTCTTTGAAGGTGCCGAACCGGGTCCTCCGTATACTACCGATGAGCATCTCGTATTCAACTCTGGCAAAATGGTCATTCTTGACAAACTGCTTGCGCGTATGCAAAGGCAGGGAAGTCGCGTGCTCATTTTCTCCCAGATGAGTCGAGTGCTGGATATTCTTGAAGACTACTGTGTTTTCAGAGACTATAAGTATTGCCGGATAGACGGTACGACGGCTCATGAGGACCGGATCGCCGCGATTGACGATTACAACAAACCGGGCTCTGAGAAGTTCATTTTCCTCCTTACCACGAGAGCAGGAGGACTCGGTATCAACTTGACTACTGCGGATATTGTCGTCCTGTATGACAGTGATTGGAACCCTCAGGCTGATCTACAGGCCATGGACCGTGCCCATCGTATTGGTCAGACCAAGCAAGTGGTGGTTTTCCGATTCATCACAGAAGACGCCATTGAAGAAAAGGTTCTGGAACGTGCGGCACAGAAGCTGCGCTTAGATCAACTTGTTATCCAGCAAGGCCGTGCACAACAACAGGTGAAGAACGCTGCTTCAAAGGATGAATTGCTTGGCATGATCCAGCATGGAGCTGCCAACGTCTTCAACACAAAAGGGGCCACCAGCACATTATCCAACGATAAGCAGCTTTCGGATGATGATATCGATGCCATCTTGCGCAAAGGTGAAGAGCGGACGGCAGAGCTGAACAAGAAGTATGAAAAACTGGGCATTGATGACTTGCAGAAGTTCAGTTCTGAAAGCGCCTACGAATGGAACGGTAAAGACTTCACAGAGCGTAAGAAGGACATTGGCATCAACTGGATTAACCCCGCGAAGCGTGAACGGAAGGAGCAGTTCTACTCCATCGATAAATACTATCGTCAAGCCCTGGCTACCGGCGGCAGGACAGCTGAACCGAAGCCAAAGGTCCCTCGCGCGCCTAAGCAGATTACCATCCACGATTGGCAATTCTTCCCACCCGGTCTTCAGGAATTGCAGGAGAAAGAAACTGCTTATTTCCACAAAGAGATTGGATATAAGGCACAGCTTCCCGAGGGTCCCGATGAGGAGCTCAGTGAGCGTGAGGCTGAGCGCGATCTCGAGCAGCAAGAGATTGACAATGCGGTGCCATTGACGGAAGAAGAGCAAGCAGAAAAGGCTCGGATGTCCGAGGAGGGCTTCTCGACATGGAATCGCCGTGATTTCCAACAATTCATAAACGGATCCGCTAAATTCGGACGTACCGATTATAAGGGAATCGCCACCGAGGTGGACAGTAAAGAGCCCGATGAAGTCGAGGAGTATGCCAAAGTCTTCTGGAAGCGGTACACTGAGATCCAGGATTATCCCAAGTACCTGCGTGTCATTGAACAGGGTGAAGAAAAGCTGCGGAAGATGAACCATCAACGCAAAATGCTCCGCAAGAAGATGGAGATGTACCGTGTTCCTCTTCAACAACTCAAGATTAACTACACGGTGTCAACGACAAACAAAAAGGTCTATACCGAAGAAGAGGACCGATTTTTGCTTGTGATGTTGGACAAGTACGGGGTTGATGGCGATGATCTTTATGAGAAGATCCGGGACGAGATCCGGGAGTCCCCTCTTTTCCGTTTCGATTGGTTCTTCCTCAGCCGAACACCAGTTGAAATTGGCCGTCGGTGCACCACCCTTTTGAACACTGTCGCCAAAGAATTCGAAGTGGGAACAAACGGTGAGGCCGGCAAGGGTCGTGGACGTGACCGTGAGGAAGAGGAGGAAGAGATTGAAGACGTTGGTGCGCCAGCCAAGAAGAAGACCAAGAACGGCGCAGTGGTGAGTTGTCCCTCCTGATTGGCGCAGTCTTGGATTCATTAACTGACTTGACTTTTGCACAGAACAAACAGGTCAAGGCTGTCAAAGGTGGCAGCAAAGCCAATTCCACCTCCACGTCACGAGCAGCCAGTGTGTCATCAACTACTGCATCCAAGTCCAAGAGCAAGAAGAAGTGATCCCGCGCTATCTTCTGACGATCTAGCTGGATCGATTGAAATTTCTCTTATGACTATTCTGTAGCTTATCTGAAGGTTCATTGGCCATGGAAGGGGTTGGTATGTTATCGAGTATCTTGGTATGGCGTTGGCGATAGATGTCTTCAATCTGTGGCGGTTCTCTTTTTTCTCCATTTATCTTCTTTTTCTCTGGACTGTATAACATTTACTCTGGCTGCCAGGATTATGATGCAGATGCAAATTGAAAGAGATATCGAATACTTTGTTAGTTGTCTCCTATGGCAGTTTATTCAATGCCATCAACGGCAGAGCAGGATGGTCAATACGTTTGAACCCGAATTGATCAACGGTCACTGGTCATCGATCAAGTGCGATCCATAAGCTTCAACATCTTAAAAAGCATACACAACGATAATCTACACGTTTAACTGATTCAAGGAGTTGACACACTGGTCAAGACAGGTTCAATATATTGGTACATGTACTATACAAGGTATATACAGCTCATATCTAGCATGCAGCATCTTCGTCATTTGGGTGATTTATTCGAGATCTCCGAGACTGCAAGAGGCATCCGTAGAAACATTTCCATCAGAATCGCCGCAGCAACGCTCACGTTGAGACTGTCCACTCTAGCGGGATCCGAGTCGGTTCCCCATTCAGTCGGGGCTCTTGCACCAGGGATGCTCACAATCGAGTCGGCCTGGGACTTTATATGCGGGCTTAGCCCGAACCCTTCGCTGCCCAGCATTAGAACACTGGGTGCCTGCGTGAGAGGATTCCGGGTCATGGCCATGTCGAAATTATCAAGATATGTCGCACCGAGCACGGGAGCATCGGCAGCGTAGAACTGCCATCCGTTGGCCTTGGATTGCTGAATGAAGTCCACTTCATTGGTGACTTTGAGCATGGGCATGTTCTCTGCTGCCCCAGCGGAGGCTTTGATTGTCACAGGGGACAAGGGCGCACAGTTTCGACCAGCGAAAACAATAGCGTCAATTCCGAGATAGTATGCAGAGCGAATGATGCCTCCAAGATTCCCTTTGTCGACGATGCCGTCAAGCAGGATTATAACTGGGTACCTCCGGCGGTTGGGGGGGTGTCGGATTTCAATACGATCATTCGTGCTGTTGACCAGTGCTTCCTCCCGCGATTGAGCTGCCAAGGTCACGCGGAACTCATTCACGTCCAGAGATGGGACGGCGCAAAGACTCTTGATGGGCAATACTGGCAGAGGAGAGGCATCCAGTATACATCCGTTATGGGGTCGGCCAGAGCTCATCTGGTCAAATAGCCGGTCCCATCCGGCATATGCCATCTTCACTTTGATGTTTTTCGACAGCGCGAGCTTGCGCAATTTGGATCTGTTGGATCCCAACTCATCGGTATCGCCCTGATATATGTACAGCCTATACATCTGACGTCGACCACAACGAAGGGCCGCCTCCACGGCGCTTGTTCCGTAGAGGAATTGGGATGCAGGGGTCGCATGTGATATAAAATCTGGGACTTTGATATGATGCTTGAGAAACTCGGGCATCGTTTCTGTGAACCGATGGACACCTCTCTTGAGCTTCATCCGCCCAGCGCGCTTCATTTTAGGTGGATCCTCCTCCTTAGATGCTTCCACCTTTGACCCTGGCCAGGTCGATTTCGGCATTTTTGGATCCGGTACGAACTTCATCCCTTGGAATTTGCCCGTCTTGATGAATTCCTCCCTGTCAAAAGCAGAATGCTTCCCGTCCTTGCCGCTGCCTGCTTGGGTGTCTGATTGAGCATCCCGCTTCTTAACACGGCGTTTGCTGAAGTCATTGTCCCTGGAGCTCCTTCGCGGGATGATCTTGTCTGCGGCTCTCGATGTACGAAAGGGCCCTTCATCCGCTACTCGAGATTTGCGGATACCGCGACCAATAGCTGAGTTCAAGGAGGCATGGCGGATGGAGCACAGGGGAATCGAAGGAGTTCTCGATGGAAAAAGACGCGTCGGAAGGGGTCTGAAGGCGGAAGACAACAACATTTCAGGGTGACGATGCAACTGGACAATCGAGGACTTTATACAGGGTGCTAGTGAGGCATAGTCAAGAATAATCAACCACTCTTAATGAAGACTGGGTGAAGCTGCATCAGACCGCATCAACCTGACAGATCGGAATATCTTTTTTTTTTTCCCGGTCTGGGGCAAAATCCGATAAGATAAGCGCATCATCATTGTTCCAGAGCACCTCGCGTCTCACGCGTCAGTCAGTTTAATTGAATGAGCTTCCAGACAATATGATCCAGAGGCTTCATTTTTGGTGAGGGACCTATTGTGCTCTTGGTGAAACATCCTGGATCTTACACCCTCCCCTGTGTTCCTCCTTGAACTTATTCACTGCTTGTTCTCCTATGCAAATGTGTTCTTGTCTTTTCTGTTCTTAATCTTCATTCCTCGCCGCTGAACCATCCCCCATTCGAATTCAGAACAACGAGATCGAGTCACCGACATAATGGCGGCTTTTCGTGGGAATACATATCACTCCAATGATGGCAGTGATAATGAAGATCTTGTTGCAAATCTGCTAGCGAAGTTCAATAGTTCAACAACAACACATGCCCAAGAATCAAGAGTACCGTCTACACCCCAGCGCGCGCTGATGCCGACCTCAACTACACCTCAACCTCAAACCCCTCCAGCCATGCAACGCCTTTCTCCTCCAGTTGAAAAGCTCCGTGAGATGCGGCTCACAGCGGTGGAAGTCCCCCAGATTGATAATATGGAGGATTATAGTTATCTTCCTGGCCATTTTGCAGTCCGCTACATCATTGGCGAAATCCCACACCCGGAAAAAGAGCCCTCGTACCGGGTGCGACTGCGAAGCGGCGAATTGGAGACAGTAATTTGCCCCTCAACGTTCTCTCTCTCTACTATCACTCCTTCCTGAATGCTAATGATCATCAATAGATTACTTTCTCGCGTCTTCAAGAGCTCAAAAACGGCCCAGCAGCCTTACTTCATTTCCAAACTGCCGACGATCGTAGTTCAAACATAGATGAGGTTTCCTCACGGTCTCACAGGAATCGTAATTACCGTGACTTATCTCGATCAGCATCTCATATATCGCTTCAGTCGTCAGAAGATAGCAGTGGCGGATCCGGAACCATTGGTCGACGGTCTCGACGCGTGAAGAATACCAAATTCACAGAATTCTTCGGCCCCCTTAGTAGCGACGACGAGATAGCGAAAGAGGACACAGCGTCAAGTGAGGATATCATCATGTCTTCACTGGCCACTTCAAAGAACCGCCGTCTTCGGAGGCGAGCTAGGGACAGCACGTCTCATCAAGTAAGCACCTCAAGTTCAGAAAGTGATTATACTGAGCATCAGGGCACACGCTTCTCAACTCGAAAGCGGAATGTTATGCACCGGAATTTGCGTGAAAGACTGGAAGATGACATCTCTGAAAATGAAGCTAGTTCTAAAGAGAAGTTCTATGGAGCCAAGGAGGTCTTCCATGAGGTTCCTTTAGATGATGCGTTTCGACTCCGCCATCATCAAACCTGCGAGGCCTGTCAAGGTGAAGGCGACGATTTTTCTAGAGGTCCACTGGTTTTCTGTCAAGGATGTACCAGCGCTTATCACCATGACTGCCTGGGATCACGGTCAACTCGAGACCATCTTGTCACAAAAATTGCTGATGATCAATTCGTTCTTCAATGTCGTCGTTGTGTAGGCCTCGCTCATGCCAAGGATCTTGTCTCGCCGCATCAAGGCTGTTGCACTGAATGCAACGAGCAAGGCAAAATGTGCAAACCTCTTCGGCAGCGTTTGACACCCAAGCAGGAACAGCTAATCCGCCAGGAGAATGCGGGCAAGGACCCACTCACTCCTGTGGATATGGTGCTTGTGAATAATGTTAACAATGTGCTTTTCCGATGTACAACATGCCACAGGGCCTTCCACTTTGAACACCTCCCTCCTATCTCTGATACAGCCGATGACCCTGCAACTGCACGTTTCGAAGAATACTCCCTCTACTGGAAATGTCATGACTGCTCGTCAGTACCAGGTGAGATTGGCGCATTGGTTGCCTGGCGGCCGGTTGATCCTAAGGACCCGCATATGACGAAGGAAGCGGACAAGGAATACTTGATCAAATGGAAGGGCTACTCTTACCATCACACTTCGTGGATGTCGGGTAGCTGGGTCTTCGGTGTTGCAAATCCCCATATGCGGAGGGCATTTCTGAGATCTGAAAAGAACACAAAACCCCATATGACGACAGAAGAAGCCATCCCCGAAGACTTTCTGAAGGTTGACATCGTCTTCGACGTTTACTACTCCGATGATGTTGAGGATCGGAGCCTGGAATCAGACCTCGAGAGAATAAATAAAGTGTCCAGGGCCTATGTCAAATATAAAGGCTTGCCCTACGAAGATGCGGAATGGGACTCGCCACCTGATACTAGTCAGACGGAGCGATGGGACGATTTCAAAGCTGCCTATGAGGACTGGGTAAAGCGTGACTACATACACACACCGGACGCGAATTCACTTCGAAAATATCTTGCTCACGTTCGAACGCAAAATTTCAAGACCAAAATCGTTAGGGACACTCAGCCTACAACAATGACCGGCGGGCAGATGATGGACTATCAGAAAGATGGTGTCAATTGGCTCTACTACATGTGGTTCAAAAATCAAAATGCTATCCTTGCCGATGAGATGGGGCTGGGAAAGACCATCCAGGTCATTGGCTTTCTCGCAACTCTGGTCGAATACCATAAGTGCTGGCCCTTCCTTGTCGTGGTGCCGAACTCAACTTGTCCCAACTGGCGAAAGGAGATCAAGACATGGGTTCCCTCAATCCGTGTCGTCACATACTACGGATCAGCTCTCGCTCGTAAGCTGGCCCAAGAACATGAAATGTTCTCGCAAGGTGAGCCAGATCTTCGATGCCATGTTGTAGTCACCTCTTACGAGACCATGGTCGATGATGCATCTCGTCGGGTGCTACAAAAGATCCCATGGGCAGGTCTGATCGTCGATGAAGGGCAGCGTTTAAAGAATGACAAAAGCCAGTTGTACGAGTCGCTGTCACGCTTCAAAATTCCCTTTAAAGTGCTCCTCACCGGTACACCTCTGCAGAACAATATCCGCGAACTCTTCAACCTTCTGCAATTCTGCGATCCAAGCAAGGTCGCTGGGCAGTTGGAGGAGAAGTATGGCACACTTTCGAAGGAGAATATCCCTGAACTCCACAACATGATACGCCCATTTTTCCTCCGCCGAACTAAAGCACAAGTTCTCAATTTTCTCCCTCCAATGGTCCAGATCATTGTGCCAGTGTCCATGTCCATCCTTCAGAAGAAACTCTACAAATCCATCTTGGCGAAGAACCCGCAGTTGATCAAGGCTATCTTCCAAAGGAATGATGGTCCCCAAGGTATCAAACAGGCTGAACGCCACAATCTGAACAATATTCTGATGCAGCTTCGGAAATGCCTGTGCCATCCTTTTGTGTACAGCGAAGCGATTGAGGAACGCACCTCTAACGCTACTGTGTCTCAGAGGCATCTAACTGAAGCCTCAGGGAAGCTCCAGCTCCTCCAAATCATGCTTCCGAAGCTCAAAGAGCGAGGCCATAGGGTTCTCATTTTCAGTCAGTTCCTCGATAACTTAGACATTGTCGAGGATTTTCTGGATGGCCTTGGGCTTCTGCATCGCCGTCTTGATGGGCGGATGAATTCCTTGGAAAAGCAAAAGCGGATTGACGAGTACAACGCTGAAAATTCGCCATATTTTGCGTTCCTTCTATCTACAAGATCAGGGGGTGTCGGAATCAACCTCGCCACCGCAGACACAGTCATCATCATGGATCCGGATTTCAATCCTCACCAAGACATGCAGGCGCTGTCCCGCGCCCACCGTATCGGTCAGAAGAACAAAGTTCTTGTCTTCCAGCTCATGACTCGTGGTAGTGTTGAAGAGAAAATCATGCAGATTGGCAAGAAGAAGATGGTCTTGGATCATGTTTTGATTGACCGAATGATCTCAGAGGAGGACGATGGACGCGATCTGGAATCCATCCTTCGCCATGGGGCTCAAGCACTGTTTGATGACGACAATTCGGGAGATGTCCATTACGACTCTGAGTCTGTTGATAAACTTCTCGATCGGAGTCAAGCAGAGCAGGCGAAAACGTCAGATGAAACTGCTCCGGAGTCTCAATTCAGTTTTGCGCACATCTGGGCAAATGACAATCAGAATCTGGATGGTCAGCTCCAAGAAACAGAAGGTGAGGATCCCGTCATCAACAATACTGTGTGGGAGAAGATTCTGCAAGAACGTGAGCAAGCTGCGGCAGAAGAGGCTCGCAAAAAGGCAGAGACCCTGGGTCGTGGAAAACGAAAGCGTGCGGCGGTGGACTACGGAAACGAGGCGCCAGAGGCGTCGCCTGTGAAGGTACGTCAAGAAGCCGACGGTGAATACAAGGCGGACGATGCCGTAGCATCAGAATCCGACCACGACTCCGCAATGGATACTGGTGGAATGGAACGGCCCGCCAAGAAACCCAAAGGTATTATAGCTTCCCACTCCTTTTTCGTCTCATTGGGTACTAGCCAGGTCACAGTGCGTTCATTCAAGCGGGTTGTTGCCGAAGACGTGGACAGCCTTGCAAATGGCGCTGGGACCATGGACGGCAATGTGGAAGCACGTCATCCAACATGCTTTATCTGCAATATGCCTCATCCACGCGGTTCCTGCCGCCTGAGGATGGCAGGCGTCGAACATTGCGGTCTTTGTGGGCTCGCGCATTTCGGAGTCGGCCGTACCTGCCCCCATCTTCACTCCGAGCTGCAAGTGGCAAGGATGCTCGACGCCCTGAAGCAAAGCACGGAGGCCCCTGAGCTCGTCGAGAAAGCCAAGAAATACGTGCAAGGGATCCGCGGTAGCCTCGCACAGCGCAGGAGGCAGTTAGCCAGTAGGGCTGCAGCGACGGGTCACCCCAGTGATCAGGTTCCTGGTGCAGCTGCCATTGGCACAGTCCCTGCTCGATCTCCCATGGTCGATCTGACTGCGAGCCGCGCCCCAACACTCGGACTGAGTCAGAATGGCCCGAGATACTCGATGTCGGGACGATGATTCCCCATCCTGCGTTCGTTTGTTCTTCCTTTCTTGATATCAATCGATTGGCTCGGGCTGCTTCTAGGAGAGGCGTCTTCAAACTCATTCATAGCGTAAAGTTGTTTTTGCTTTTTTTCCCCAGGATGTATTCTAGTCTCAGATGCTCTAAGCATCCAAATAAACATATATTTGGTGACTACACGCCGTCATTGACCCCGATGAAATCAACTGGGGGGCTCCCACAGATACAATTTCAGACGTGTTTGAGAGACCACGCATTTAATCTGTATCACGGTCTTGTACTAACGTCATTGCCCTTCATCCACAAGGTATCAACACAACCACAGCATATGATCTAACAGGAAAATCAGGGGCATTGCGCCAGTATGAAGCCGTCCTTTCCCTTCCAGAAGGCCGTTGGAAGTCACCATAGGAGAGAAAGGACCGAAAAAGCAAAAAAGCACAGAAGGGGAAGAGCAAGCTGCAGCCATCCGCGCGACTGTTGTACTGGTCCCAACTCCCAACGCGATCTGGGATGGAGGCAAACACACAACTTGCGCTTCCTTTATCCAAAGAACTAAGCTTAAAGCGTTGTTTTCTTTCTCTCTTTTTTTCTTAGAAAAAAAAACTTATTATTTCTTTCTTTTGGATCTTAAAAGAAGTGGGCTTTCTTTTTTTCCCTTTATCTTTTCTTTTCTTCTGGAAGACCTCATTCGATACAGTCTTTCTTGTACTCCACGCCTTGTATCTAGACTTTGGATAACCTCATCCTCTTATATCGGCCGTTTGGATGGCTTCTTTCCCATCTTTCTAGATTTTTGCCTCTTTCAGCCTTATATACACTGTCTGCCTTTAGTCAGTAGATTCATCCAAGTTAATCACAAAAGATAGAGAGAAAGAGAGAGAGAGGTGTGCTGCTTCAGACCCCACCAGCTCAACAGTGAATGTCCAGCTCGCTTCTCATCGCACACACAACACCTGAATCTCTTGCGAGTAATTCACTGAACAACAGGTGCAAGAAAGATCCTCTCTACTCGCCTCCTCTCCCTCCTCTCTTTTCCCCTCTTCCTCCTCACCAACTTACCAACACTCTCTTCCACCATCTTGTCAAACCATCACACTTACACCTGGTTCCTTGGGTTTGATCCAAACACACAAACCTCGTGAGATCATTGCACCTCTAAACGTTTAAATACTTCACATAACACAGAAACCAGACTCATGAGAACAGACCTCGACATCATGACGGCGCCGCTTCGTCCACAGTACTTCTGCGCCAGACCTAATGGTACTCTCGTCCCTCTTGTTGCAGTCGACGAGCTACCCGGCCATGTCAACATCCGTGGTGCTCCGCGTGTTCTCTCGCCAGGAGACACGCAGGGTATGACCAGTCTTGGTACTGTGGCCCCTCGCTGCCAGTACTATATTGTGGATGGTGCTGCCCCCTCATATATCCGCTACCACCAGACCGGTAATGGCAGTGGAAATGGAAATGGCAACGGCTCCGGCCAGCGCGGCAGAGGCTATGAGAACCAGGTAGCGGCTCCAAGATACGTGCCTGAGGAGAATGGCATGGGCGCTCAGCGTCTCGCTTCGCAGACCATGTATCAGCCGAGCAACACTCAGAACTGGGTGATGGCCAACCCACCCGCTAAACATGGTTGGCTGGTCCCCGCAAATGTAGGTGCGGGTGCTGGACACGCGGCTGCCAATTCTGCTGGAAACAATAGACAGGTGGGTCAATTCTGTGCATACAGCAAGCCAGTCCGTTCAGGGAGATGGGCCAAACTGACAATAACATAGAGTGGTCATCCGAAGAAAGAATACTGTTCTTACTGGATCCGTCATGGCGAGTGTGACTATCAGCAGCAAGGTAAGTCCAGCTGCTTGAATAGATGGTTCGTTGACAGTATGCAAGCTGACTGGAACGTACAGGCTGTCTTTTCAAGCACGAGATGCCTACCGATCGCGCCATGCTCGAGAAGCTGGGGCTCCGGGATATCCCTCGCTGGTACCGCGACAAGTACGGCGTCCCAAGCATCCTCTCTGCTGGAGGCAACCAGTCCCGTGACTCGCGTGCTCAGACCAACAGTGGCCAGGGCCACGATGACAGTCAAGAACGTGGTGCTCTTAAGGCCACTCACCATGCAGCTCGTCTGGCGCTCAATGCAGCGGCTGAGAAGGTGGATGCCGAAAAGACCAGCAAGAGCAAGAGCGCTGCTCTTATGCCTCTCGCCCTCCCCGGCAAACCGATGCTTTCCTCGAATGCGAGCTCTCCTCGGGGCCCTGTATCCTCTCGCGGATCCAAACAGGCCTCCAACGTACAGATGCAGAGCCTCGCATCCAGTGTTCGCGGTCAAGCTCCTCAAGCCCAGGCACATACCTCCAGCCCCCAAAACCGCATCCCTACTGCGCACAACCAGACTTCCAAGAAGATCGATCTGCTCTCGTTTGACCCTGCCCCTGATTATGCGTCTCTTGAACTGAACTGTGCCAGCCAAAGAGAGGTGAACGGCTCCGAGGCCAAGGAGCGCGTGAAGCGTGAGGAGTTCCTGCGTAACTTGCATGGAATGTTTATTAGCACCACTGCGCCTGCCAATGCCAGCTCGATTACCAGCCCGGTCGACTTTCTGGCGACCCAGAACCGCACCAAGCGCTCGCAGCCAAAGTCTCGTCGCCTGTACCAGCCACGAACCGACATGCCAAACATGAACATGGACACGGATGGGCTGGGGACTAGCAAGATGCTCCGCCCCAGCGCAATCCTCTACACCGCCGCGGAGGCAATCGCCAAAGAGACTGGCGTGAATCCCCTTCTCGCGAGCCCCGGCACCGGCTTCATCCACGGAAGTGTTCGATCCTCCGAATCCCCCATCCGCGGCGCCTCCTCGACCCAGTCTTGCGCTTCGTCGTCTGAACCTAGCCCTCGTGTCTACGGCGGCCGCATCAAGAACGAAGGCGAGGCGAAGCCCCTGCTCCCTCCCATCGGTACCTTCACCCACAGAAACCCTGCCATTCTCAAGCGCCCTGCCGTCACCTCCGCCGAGGATCTTTTCGACATGGGCATGGGACGTGCGAAGTAAGCTATAGAAGAGAGAGAAGCACGTTACAGCCCTGCTGGCTTGAACGACTGTTCTGTCTCTGGCCGTCACGTTTCACCTCAGTTTGCAGTAGGTTCCCTTACCTATGTATTGACGACGGAATGTGTTTCTTTTCTATTCTTCCCTTACGGCACAAGCCAAGCTGGTCTCAAGGCTTGTATCATATTCCCTCGCCCACGGTTAAATATACCCCGCCGCTCATGGAGGGAGGGGCACTTTTGATGGATGGAATGGTCTTGCGTGTTGAAATGAGTTCGCCTGGATACCGATAGCGGATTGTCAGCGTCTGCCGCTTCATCCTTTCTTTCCTTTTCTTTTCTTTATTTGCACCTTTTTCTTTCGGCCGATTCTAAATACGAACCAGGAGCGGATGCAGGATTGAACTGCTGGAGTTGGGAGGTTCTGAACGAACAGCGCCAAGTTGAGGTGTTGAGATTGGGCTTGAGCTTTTTTGTTCTCGTGACTTTCTCGTCGGCGGCTCTCTTGGAGTCCCATCTTGGTCTCTATTATAATGACGGTTGACCTGTATACCAGATAAAAAATCGCCAAAAAAAAAAAGAAAGAGAAAGATAGGGATCTAACGGCCGAATGGAATGAACTTTGATGACTGTCGCTCTTGGTTTCTTTGTAGCGTGGACTCACTTCGGTTTCAGTATACGACCTACAGCAAGCCAACACACGGTGGACTGGCCATGTTTGGATTGCTGTGATACAGACAAAGTAAGAAAAGTGCCAATGGTAAATATTGTACATTGAGATAAGGAATATAGTCTATACGACCGTGTGACAGTTACGCCCGCCCTGAATATTTTCAAACTCAAACCACGCAAATAAGACATCCATCGAATACATGAACCGACCCAGTGGATCGCCTGTCCTTAGCGTACCCTCTTCTTCATTCCCTTGCCTGAGAGCTTGACGGCGACCTTCTCCCGCTCCTCAGCGGCCCTAGCGCTCAAGGCGGGATTCAGGGATGGCAAGGATCGGCTGGCCAGGGCAACGACCGCGTTGCCGTCCACGATCGACTGTCGTTCTTGCTCGCGAGCCAGTCTCTCCCTCCGTCTGGCGGCGAGCTGCTTCTTCCGCTCCTCTGTCATCACCCAGGATTCGGGGAAGCGGAGCTGGCGCTTGGGCTTGTGATGGCGAAGGTCAAGGGGGATGTCGGCGAAGGAGTCCCCTTCCTTAGCTTCCTTGACCAGGGTGTTGATGAGATCACCTAGGTATCGCTTGTTCTCGGCGCGGGTGGTGAATTTCTCGCAGGACATTCGTACAATGTCCGTGTCGGGGTTGTAGCGGGGTCCGACGAGTTTGAGGAAGGTCTGGCGCTGGGCCTCGGAGAGGTGCTTGGGGACCAGATCTTTGCTGGCCACTTCGACGACAACTTTGGCCTCGGCCGGATGTTGTTCACCCATGTACGTAGTGTAGCGGAAACGAAGGATGTGAGTTTCAGGAGGGAGGGTGAATGGTTGGGCGAGTTCTGTATTACGAGGCAATTAGCTTCCACTCAATTATGTTGTCCCAGGGGCTCAGTCCTTACTGCTCAATAATGGCATATCCCAAGCTGTAATGCGAGCATATTCACGGATCTCGCGGTGCAGTTCAACTTCCGCATGGGCCATGGAGGTGATTTCGTCGTCGTGGAAATCCTCGTCGCCGTCCTCGACGAGAGCGAATTCATCGTCTTCTTCTTCGGCCCAGAATCCCTTGTTCTTCTCCGGTAAATCCTCGAATCGCAGCCCTACCTCCTTCTCCAGGTCGCGCACGCTCTTGTCGATCTCCGCAAATGCGGCGGCTCGCTTCGAATGGTCGTTGAATTCCTGGACCAGGCGGCGTTGCTCGGCGTCAAAAAGCTCCCGCTCCTCAGGAGACAGCATGTCATACATCGAGCGCTCCTCCTTGCTGAGCATATCTGGCGAGTAGTCGGGCATATCAGGATAGTCCTCCGGCGAAAGCTCTCGCTCCTGAGGGACTGGCGGGTCTTCCGGCAAGAACCTCAAGGGCGTGACGGCGAACGACCGGGATTGGATAGCCACTGGGCGTCTCCGGGCAAAAGAGAAGGCCGAGCGGCCCAGAAACCGTGCGACAGAGGCCATTGCGCGCGAGAGTGGCCGTTGGAAGATCAATCGATGTCCGCTTGGGATTTGGATGTCGGAGATGTTTTCTGCGGATGGGAACTTCGCATGCGGCGCTAGTGCGCATCGGGACTAGCTCACATAGTACCATATCAGCGCCCGTGCCTTGAGGCTATCTGTATAACTATCATCTTTCGTCATGATGGTTGATATCTGGCCTTGATGCTGGTCAAGATTGAATTATTTCAGAGCTGAAATGCTGCCGCTGCCCAGGCAAGGCACTATTCAACCTCATAGCCGGAGATGAGTGCTGAGAAATTTGACTTAACAGCCATGGCACTACAGAAACCACAGAATCGAAAGACCTGCCTTGTAACAGTGGGGGCGACAGCCTCATTCGAGGAACTTATTCGGGCCGTCTTGGATATAAAGTTCCTGGAGACTCTGATCGCATTTCACTACACACACTTAATCGTTCAATTTGGCAAAAATGAGGCCATCTTCGATGACTTCTGCCAGCGTCATCCGCCTGATGACCAACTTCGCCGCGATCTAAACATCACTGGATTTGCGTACAAGCAATCCGGGATGAGCGCTGAATTTTCGCAGGCCCAGGGAGATGTAACAGAAGGCAGAAGTCTTGGACTGGTCATCAGCCACGCAGGTATCATTTCCTCTCTCTTGAGCTCTCTACAATTTCCCGAATCCTGAGAACTGACTTCAAGTGTCGTCAGGATCTGGTACCATCCTCGATGTGTTGCGACTTGGGATTCCTTTGGTTGTTGTCCCAAATCCTTCTCTTCAGGATAACCATCAGGAGGAGCTAGCGCGCGAATTACAGAAGCAGGGATATGTCCTTGCTAGCCATTATAAGTAGGCTCTGGCCTTTCTTTTGGGATGATTCTCTGTTAACGTATCTAGGAATCTTGTGCCTGCTATATCCCAAGCCGAGGAACTACGGGCTCGCATGTTGACGTGGCCGCCTGTTCGCGGTCCTGGTCAGAAAGATCTGCCGACGCTTGGGCAAGTGGTGGCTGACGAGATGGGCTTTGTGGATTGATCGTGCTCGATACCATGTTAATCCTCTGTTGCATTCATGTTCGCTGGGACATGCAGTCCTGGGGTTGCGTCTGTTGTGATCAGATGGGCTCTACTCTACGGAGTAGATTATGTGCATATAAGGCTTCTGGATTGCTAGCCAGCTAAGATACCGCTACTTGGATATATTAGAAAACAACGATCAAACAGTTGCAATCGAGATATTATCATGAAATTGCACTGGAGACAAGTTCAGTGCGCCGTAGTCGTGATGTAGCCAGAATCGAGTGCCCCATACGAAGTATGAAGTTGGCCCAAGCTTCTTGTTGACGGGAGACTTTAGCGGACGCGAAATCGCGGCGTTCAACTTCTCCCTGAATAACAACAACCCAATCAAAACGACCGCCAACAGCAAGCAGTAATTGAACCAGCCTATCTACGAATATTTAACCTGCGATTCTCCTTCTAACGGTCTTACGTGTTACAACCCGCCAGATAGGCCGTGGGGCCATTCTCCACAACTAATCGCACTTCTCTCACCATCCAGACCGACTCCGTTTCCCCCCCTTCAAAACACAGCACTTTTAAGACTCTCACAATGGCCGAGGCAACACTTCACAACGCCCCGATTGTCATTGACAACGGCAGTGGGACAATCCGCGCCGGATTCGCCGGAGAAGAAATCCCATCATGTTACTTCCCTTCGTTCGTCGGGCGACCCAAACACCCCCGAGTGATGGCGGGCGGGCTCGAAGGGGACGTGTTTATCGGGCAGCGGGCGCAGGAGCTGCGCGGGCTGCTCAAGATCCGGTACCCGCTGGAACACGGGATCGTGACGGATTGGGACGACATGGAGAAGATCTGGCACTACGTGTACGAGAACGAGCTGAAGACGCTGCCGGAGGAACACCCGGTGCTCCTGACGGAGCCGCCGCTGAACCCGCGCAAGAACCGCGACGTGGCGGCCCAGATCATGTTCGAGACGTTTAACGTGCCGGCGCTGTATACGTCCATCCAGGCGGTGCTGTCGCTGTATGCGTCAGGGCGCACGACGGGCGTGGTCCTCGACTCCGGGGACGGGGTCTCTCATGCGGTGCCGGTGTTTGAGGGCTTCGCGATCCCGAACAGTATACGCCGGATTGATGTGGCGGGGCGGGATGTTACGGAGCAGTTGCAGCTGCTACTTCGGAAGAACGGACACGTGCTGCATACGAGCGCGGAGAAGGAGGTGGTGCGCATGATCAAGGAGAAGGTCTGCTACGTGTCGTTGGATCCGAAGCGCGAGGAGAAGGACTGGATGAACAGCTATCACAAGTCGGAGGCAAAGTCTGTTGACTACGCATTGCCTGATGGGCATAAGATCAAGGTATTTTTCTTCCGTGTCGCCCCCGCGACGGTGTGTTAGCTCGTGCTGACCACACGAAACAAAAGATTGGACAAGAACGCTACCGAGCCCCCGAGATCCTGTTCGAACCCGAACTCATCGGCCTGGAATATCCGGGCGTGCACCAGATCGTGCAGGACGCCATCACACGCACAGACCTCGATCTCCGCAAATCGTTATACCTCAACATCGTACTGTCGGGCGGATCAACCCTGTGCAAGAACTTCCCGGACCGGCTGATGCGCGAGATCAAGCGGCTCGCCGTTGAGGACATGAAGATCCGCATCTCCGCGCCCGCCGAGCGCAAGTACACGACCTGGATCGGCGGCGGCATCCTCGCGGGACTCAGCACATTCCGCAAGGTGAGCCCCCCCTGCGTAGTACCCCATGTCCAAATTCCCCCAGCTAACCAGTTCCGAAACAGATGTGGGTGAGCGCAGACGAATGGCACGAAGACCCGGAGATCATTCATCGGAAATTCGCCTAGAACCCACGTACCTCCATTCTGTTCCGAGTGCATGTGCATGTGCCCAGCACTCAGTATCCTCCCTCCGCTTGACCCCCAACTCCCACCTTGTTTGTTTCCGCCATCTGGCCGAGAACAAAACAGACGAAACCACCAACTTTCATCCCGAAGCCTCAACAGCACCTACCCATTGCCGCGGCCTTTGATACCCCTTCTCTTCCCCCCTGCCTCCTGCCTCCCAGCTTCCCCCGTCTTCGCACAAGCCAGCCATTGATGCAGATCCATGAACTCAGCCATGCAACACCGTCTAGTCTAGTTTTCAACACTCTTCCGTACGGGGGGGAGGCACGGATATGGCCACGCCGCGCCACTATCTGCCGCAACAGATCGGTCCAGTCCATAACAAACCCGCCCCTCCCTCTCTCACTCACTTGGGAGTAGGAGTTCTATCGTGGACTGACTGAGTGCCATGCTGGAATCCCCTTCCTTCGTTTCCTTTCTTCCCTATTATCAAATCCTATCTTCTTTTTTTTTTTTTTTTCTTGTGGTCTGGCCGGTAGATCGGGAGTTGGAGTTAGATGTGTACATGCATGCATACATACATATTTTTTACTACTACTACTACTACTACTACTACTACTACCTGCTGCTGCTATATGGAGGAGTTCATGTTGGAAATATAGACGGGTGTCTGTGTCTATCTGTCGGATGCTGTACTGCACTTACTTCGTCACACGTTCCACGTTCCATGCTACACCGAATAGATATCCAATGTGATCTGGAGAATCGTGTGCCAAAGCCAACGTCAAAGTCAAAGTCAAAGTCCCACTGTTAACGGCTAGTATCCAGAATTTCAGATGGTATGATCTGTCTGCTAGTGTTATGTTGGCCAGACAGGTATTTGGTAAATTTAGGATTGACATACGACTACGACTACAGTGGATACTAATAGGAACGATAGTAGAAGAGGAGTGATGACTCATCGCTGAGTTTGAGTTCCAATTGTGGTGCCATGTGGCAGGAGAGGGATGTAGTAAGCTAGCTAAGATACATGAGGAGAGAGAAGAGATGGCACGGGGTGCTCCACAGGTGAATATTCTGTAGACGGCCCAAATGCCGATATTGATGCCGATTCGATTCCAGAATGCGGGAGTGGCACAAGAGACAGGCATGTTTAACAGGTAGGGTGAATGTTGGATTGAAGATCCTTTGGGAATCTCAAGCAGACAATTAAAAAAAAAAAAAAGTCAAAAAAAAGCACAGATGCCGGTTGGATCGACGAGCAAATGGGGTATCGAGCCGACAGAATCATGTTGAAAAGCAAATAGACGGACGGTATGGTATGGCGCCGAGACAAGTTGAGAAGTGTTGAAGATTAAGAGAAAGATATTTCCCCCCAAGGTGACGATAGTCGAAAAGCAAAACTTTTTTTTGATGTTTGGTCATTCAGTCGTGATGTTCGTGAAACGCAGCGCAGCGCGTGTACGGTAGCCGGAGCAAGTGATGCTCGACGTCTAGGCCATGCCCCTGATCTTCCCCCAGCCCTTCTCCAACCCGCGGAGAGCCTTGTCACGAGCTCGCTCGGCAGCCGAACCGGTACTGCCCCCTGATGCGGTGCTAGTGGAGGAGAACTTGCGGGACAGAACGCTGCCGCCGCTGCCGTTGCTGGCACTATCACTGAACATCATGTTGCCGGCGCCACCACGGCCGACGTGGTAGACGGGGGCGGCGCGACGGAGCTCACGCTCCAATTCTTCGTCGAAGCTGAAGATGGCGCGCTCGCTGCTGACGTGCACGTTGCCGGCGCCGCCGCGGCCAGAGGTGTAGGCCTTGGGGATACGCGAGTCGAGGCGGGTCAGGGACGCGGGTCCGGTGGCCGTCTGCGAGTCGGTGGTCTTGGTGTTCTTCAGGTTGATGACGTTGCCTGCACCGCCGCGGGCTGTATGCAGCGCTGGCCGGCTGGTGTGAGGAACGGAGGGGTGCGGTTCGATCACGCGGTAGTTCATTGCGGCCGGCATGATGGAAAAGATGGTATTATGGAGATGGTGTTGCAAGGAGAGTAGAATGCGATTGACTCGATGGCCAATTGTCAACACAAGTCCATCTAAAGGAGGTGTGATGTTGTTGGTGAACGTCTAGTATAGGAACTGACGGAATCGCAGAATCGCAGAATGGCAGCGGGGATGGTTCGACGCAGCACGACGCTTGAATAGCGATTAAGGAGTATAAGAGACGCGAAGGGACTCGAAGCGAGCTAGTAGGTGGGAAGAGATTTTCGGTGTGTTGTGGGACGTGTTCTTGTAGATGGAGACAAAGGTAGTACTATGAAGCAGTGACCCAAACATCGTGGCGGGGAAGGTTTTATATACTCATTAGCCAGTTACTGGTAGAAAGAAGCCTAGTAGGTACCCAGTTAGCTCAGAGGCGGGAAAGAAAACATCACTTGCCCCTTCAACCCTTGTGCCGTCACGGACCTTCCAGAATTGCACCATTTGGGGGGAGTTTTTTGGGAGCTGGGCCAGGCACACGATTGATGGTCAGTTGGTCACACGCTGCTGTCCCAGTGGTTCTGGTGGTTCTGGTGGTTTTGGTGGTTGCAGTGGAGAGAGAGAGCCCTTAGGTAAGCCCCGACAGTATGCGCCCATTGCGGTCGTGCTTCAAAAAGCGGCAGCCAAATATTGCTGCTGACTCACAGTGACCATAACCAATCACCCAACAAGACTCTCAGCCTGTGTCCGAGTGATTTGCCGTCATTGGCTGCATCTTTCCCAACTGGCACGGAGTTTTTCCGCTGCTTTTAGTTCTTTCTTTCTTTTTTTTTTTTTTCTTTTTTTTTTTCCCTCTCTATTTTCTCTTTCTTTATTTGGAGATCATCTGACATCCACTCTGTCTTGTCCGCGTCGTGGCAAAACGTAACAGAAACCCCCTCGTGAACCAATCATGCGGGCAGAGGATATTTTCTGGTAATGGAAATTGCTGGATGCTCCATCACGAGTCGGTCCAGCTGTCACGATGAAAAAAAGCCAGCAGGTTCTAGCCAAGTGGTAACATTACAGGCTTACAGCTTTTCCCATCATTGCCAGGTGTGGATGACGAAGAAGTTAGACTCCGTCACCGTCTTTTCACTTTGGAATTTTTGATCAGGCTGATTGTCTGGCGTTCGGAGTACGGTAGATCGAACTCTGTCACTACTAGATAGAAGTCAGATAGAAGATAGAACCCCGAAATTATAGTATTCTCGTAGTCGTGGCATCTTTAATTGCGATGATCGCAGTACTGCATGACCGGATATGTGAAATGACTTTGGGGGGGGGGGGGTGTGTAACATGTCCCATCAGTTGTTGGAGTGTAATCCCACTGTATCGGTTGTCAGAACAGAAAGAGAGAGAAAAAAAAAATAAAAAAAAAAAAAAGCCCCCGCATGTACAATTGCATCATTTTCCTGCTGTCGAGTTGATTGTTAACGTTGGGACTTGGCAGTATCCAGATCCATCCTTTAGTTTCGGCATGGATGAATCATTGGACATGCCAATTCTGTAACCAGTATCAACAACTACCTAGTACCTACGGAGTACACGGCTACTCCAGAGTCCAGAGTCCAGAGTCCAGAGTCCAGACACTGGAGTAGACCAGAATCAAATCACTCATACCACAGATGAGTAATGGAACGATCTTTCTGTTCATTATTATTCAAAGGATTGTCTGTACGTTGGACTTGGCGCCGATCTAGCTAGTCTCCTCTGGGTTTAGTGTCTGGATTCAGGGGAGATCATCGAGAACACAGAAATGAAAACAGAATCAGAATTTTCCTGGCTGGCTTGCCCTGGCAGCCCTGGTTTGGTTCATCGTCACCTCACTTCCAGTTCCGAGTCTTCTTGAACAACACAGTCAATCCTCCCCAACTCCCTTGGATATTACTTCCTATACAACGGTAATCTTGCTCATCCTCTTGAATGCGCTGAAACTACTACTGAACGGTTACTACGGAGTAATGTCTAAATTTTCTGACCGCAAATTGATCATATGCGCTAACCCGATTCGATCAGCTTTCCCCAGACTACTCAACTATAAGTAGTTAAGTACACAGTAATACTCCGTACTAAATACTGAATAATGCATTCAGGGCTGACTGCAACGGTGGATCACCGGATCGTATGGAGAAAAAAAAAAATGACGCACCAAAAATCAAAATTTTCCTGTTCTATTTTTCTCTTCAGCCCACTTGGTTTTAACCTTGCGCCATGAGTGAAAATTCTGATACTTGAGTCAAGTCAACCTAGGAGATGAGATACACCTCATCTTGCGCTTCCGCTATTCCGTACACTTGAACCTTCGATTATTGGTCTCTGCGCCGAGGCACCAGTTGACCTCCCGTCGACATAACCGGTCGTGTTAAGGTCATTCCCCCCCTGGCCTTAGGCTTAGCAGTTAGTCCTTACTCCTTAGTCCTTACTCCTTCCACCTTCCACCTTCCACCTTCCAATTCCATCTACCCCGGATTTTGCCAGCATATCAGCCTCACCCTCTCGGCCACTATTCAGCATCCCGTGATAGCCTTCATAGGCTCATACTCATGACCGTAAGAAGCTCCATACAAATGAGAAATCGGACTTCCAAGTCACACGGTGACCGCAATTAGACACTTTCACTTTGCTTCGTGTCAATCCCACCATAATGACCGGATGAGCACTTTATCCCACCGTGAGTGTGGGGTAATCCATCTTAGTCGCTGTAGTCGGTACTTGGTAGTCTGTTTATACATGAAGCCGAACTCTGTTCCTCAAGCCCAACACTTAGTACAAAGTCTACAACTACAAGTCTAGGTCGTAAGTTGCAACTGACTATCTATCTACCCCATATCTACTCCCTCCTCACTCCTCCCTTACCCCATATCCTCCTCTCAGCCGACCATCACCTTCCATTCCCCCTTCCCCAATAGACTACTGGCCATCAGTGCACTAGTCATTCATGCCTTCATAATTGTATTTGTATGATTTGAGACGGAGTACATTTCGGTCGGACCTCCACCGAGAAAGCAAATCAACATTAACAATAGACAAACAGTTACAGGAGCAATAAAACCCCCCCCCCCAGAGTACGTACTGACGGTACTAAATTCCGTATGCATGCATCCCATCCCATCCCATCCAATGCGCCATTTCTTTTCTCCCCCTGCGTCAGTCTGCAATCGCCAATTTGCAGTCGACTTGCGCGGCCACACCACGATGGATTTATTACCTAAAACTGTGTAGATCAGAGAAGACTACCTACGGAGTATAGACCGTCTTGCCTAGCTACCTACTGTACTCGGCATGTACTGTGTATAGATATATATTACTCAGACCCCGGTTGACGCCGGTTGGGACTGGCCCTGGGTACCTGGCTAAGAACTCTTGATCCGACTGGCCATAAAGTCTACAGGGGGAATAAGGCTCGTTGCTAGCTTGCTACCCGCTGTTTGTCATCAGTCACGTCATGGCGGAGCGGTGTTGTCGGGTTTTGCGTGATTTATGCAGTGGTTTCGCTCATGGGGTGGTTCACTTGTACTTGCCTTGTAGGGGGTCCTTGTCTAAAGGTTGGAGGTAAGGACCTTTGGGGGGGGGGCATCTGGGACAAGTCCTTCTCGTGTAGAATGCGATCGTACAAACATACGACGATGATAGGTTGGAGTCTGTGGTCACAATTAATAGAATCTTCATCATATGGAAGAGCAAGGATCAACATGAAACACAAGGCAGACACAACTGGTCAAAGCAACCCCCCCAAAGCCAGTTCAAACACGTATACAACAACAAAGTACATGGTACACTATATTCATCTGCTTTGATAGACACGGAACCACCCAAACTCCCAGTACGCCTCTGAGAATTCCCGCGCGTTGCCGGAAACATACTCCTCGCACGTCGCTGGGCAGTTGTACAAATCCGAATACACCTCGGGCTGGGCGCCCATCTCACCGCACAGATCGATGTTGATGATGATACTCTGGTTTCGGAAGTACTGAGGCGTGAAGCAATTAGTACTGGGGAAGTCGGCGAGGGGAGTCCCCCAGCTGGACGGGTCAGGACTGTAGTGGGGTTTCACAAGGTCCTCTGGTATAGAGGAACGAGGGAACATCCAGACCCGAATCCCTGCGTGTTGCAATTCAACCGCATAGACCTAGCATTACGTTAGAAGTCATCTTATGAGAAGATGACCGGAAAGAGCGACTTACACCTCCGCCATTCTCATTGAACTCCGGGCCATATGTAGCCGGTGGAGCTTGCACATCGCATCCCACCGTGCCGTGCTGATCGTCGCACGTCGAGTGCAGCGCCTTTCCCGTCTGCTTGCGCCGTCCCTTGACGCTGCAGCCCTGGGTAGTGTGCAGCGTGACCGTGTTCCCCTCCGTTCCCCCATTCGTTGTCTCCAGCACATCAATCTCCCCGTTCAGCGGCCAGTTGTATGTATCTGCCAGCCATAGTGCAGGCCACGTTCCGCAGCCATAGGGGGTATGGATGATGTCAAAGAGAAACAAACCGCTATGATACGTTTTTCGAGACTCAAGGCGGACGGACTTTCGCCCCCGTGGTGCGTGACTGGTCTTGTTGTCCACCCTGATAATCACAGAAGATTCCGTGGCCTGAGTCAAGCTCATGGTTTCAGCCGTGGTTTGGTTGACATACCTAGAGATTGTGAGTTCCCACTCAGCAAGACAAACCAAAATCAAGGGGTCTTACTCGACAAATCCCAGGGTAGGGTCCTCGTCCGTAAAGTACCAGAAATTGTCAAAGAAGGGATGTCTGCTGAACTCATCCACCAGGACATAGTCAATGTGCCCATAGTCAGGATACTGGCTGTAAATGTAGCCTAGAGTAGGTCCTGCTATCAAGCTCAAGAAGAAGGTAACTAGCGTCACAACAAGTGCGATTACTATCATCCTTTTTCGCCCTTTCCGAGGCTTCCAGCATGGTCGACGCGCGGAACGACTCTGTTGAGCTGGGGGCTGGTATGTGTATATCTCCTGCGATGGCTCGATAGTCTCCGCCTTGTGGAGCTTGTGCACTGTCACATGTGCAGTTTCAGGATAGGATATGTTGTGTTCTGCCATTGCTAATGATTTCTGAGATAGATGTGTTTGAGTCTTGTGGATATGATCAGTGCACAATTGCAAGGCATTCTTATCCTCTGAGGCAGAGGGATTGTATCCATTGACGCCATCATGAATCGAATAAGGCATCAGTGCAAAGTGAAGGTAGCCAGCGGAGCCATAAGATGAGATCCTTGGGACTATGAGATGCTCAACCGGATGGGGGATTGGTCCCAAATCGGTTCAGGCAGAAACATGAGCAGAGCTTCAATTTAGGACAACCTCCCGTATTTTGATGAGGCATAAGCCGAGAATTGCAACATTGCCACGCTCGAATGATGCCCATTTAATGTATGTTGACCTCCTGAAGACTCCTGGCTGCCTGAGAAGAAGGTCACTTTGCTTTGATTGACCCATGGTCAAACAGAGCTATATATAGCTCTGCCATACTCTCAAAGAATGAGCTCATGCTTGGAAAAGGAGGTCATCGTTGTAGAACTCAGAGAGCCAGCTTTCATAACTCCTGTATGAATGAAGAGTACAAAAAGTTCATCAAGCTGCAACTCTGAAAATGAAGTTACTGATGGTCAGTCATAGTTCGGAGATGAACACGGAGATGCCTTTGTGCCTGAGGATCGCTGGGTTCTGCCACCTCCCACCGCCTTGATAACCTCCGCTGTATGGATCTCTCCGCCAGCAGCTAAAATCTACATGCGACTGTTCAATTTGTATTCTCGCGGACTGTCGTTGACAGAATCTCTGTATCATTACGCGCACTTCCGGGCGGCTTGCACACTCGCTACTTTCTGTACTCAACAAGTGGGTACCGGCACAGCTTAAGACTTCGACGCGCCACGCGCTTATTGAGCGCCGATTTCACGTTCGCCTGTGCATTTGCAGAGCAATAGCTCCAAGCGTTCAAAATGCCGAAATATAAGTACCCCCGTCTTCAAGTTGGATGAAGACTCAGACTGACATTCACTGTACTCTTCTGTAGGTCTCCGCTGTTCCCATTTAACACGTCTTGGCCGCCGCTCTCCCGCCGTCCAAGCGCATTCGAACTCAATCCGTCCATGAAAGACCTCGTCGCAAGCTGCATATGCTGACTATGCCTTGGATAGGTGATTACTGCGATGTATATCTCACGCACGATTCGATGAGTGTGCGCAAAGCCCACAATTCGGGTCGCAACCATCTGAGGAACGTGGTGGAATACTATCAGCGTACGGCATTCCCCTCGAGTCAGACTAGACTCCCACGCAGCGAACACAGCTAACACCCCTCGACAGAAATCGGACAGGAAAAAGCACAATCTGTCATCGACTCGATCACGTCGTCATACGCGGCTGAGGGCCAGGCAGTCCCCAACCCTGCAATGGTTCCTCCGGGGGCCTTCCCTCCGTTCGGATTCCCAGGTGCGTTGAGAGCTACGCTTGTCTCGTCCCGCGTCGCCTGACAGGCGCGGGACCATAATCGCCCTTACCCACAGCGTCCTAACCAGATCGTCCAGGTCAACTACCTCCTCCCCCGTTCGGCATCCCTCCACCAGGCGCCCCGAATGCCCCAGGCATGCCAATGCGTACGTATCCGCCCACCCTTACCCGAAAAACCAAAAAAACCCCCAACCCCAGCTGACTGAACTGAACCCTTCCCCAGCCCCCGGCGGTAGAGGCCTCCCCTTCCCGCCCCCATTCCTTCCAGCAGGCTCCGGCGCCGCTCCACCAGGCGGTCTTCCCCCACCGCCTCTCCCCAACATGCCCCCCGGCGGCCCCGGACAGGGCTTTCCCCCCGTCCCACCACCAGGCGGCTTTCCGCCGACCTTCCAGATCCCGCCTCCTGGCGGCCCAGGCCAGGGTTTCCCGCCTATGCCGCTGCCGAACCAGCCCGGTTTCAGCCCCAGCCCTGGGCCCGGTGTAACGGGCCCGCCTGCACCGCCGGGACTCGGCCCGTCGGGGTTTTCGGGACCTCCGCCGGGACTGGGTGAGAAGCGATGAGTGAGAGCTTTGTATTTTGCTTTTTTTTTTTTTTGTATCTGTTTACATCTCAAAGATCTGATTTTCTTTTCTTTTTTTTTCTTTTTTTTTTTGTTGTGTCCTTTATATTTGAGCGTGTTCTAAAAGGCAAAGGCTTGTTGTTATACGATATCGGCATGGTCATTCCGTAGGGGGAGAACCCCGTCCCGCCGTGGATGATAAGAAAGAAATCATTAATGCACCCTCTTGAAAAAATATCCTCATTCTCACCGGTATGCGACAGTGCAATGTGCAATGTGCAAGCTACACAGCGATCTACACATACAAGACACCTGCGTTCAGCACGATGGAACACCTGCGCGGTCACACGCAAGCTCTAGCATTATGATTCCTGTCAGAGGGTCGATACATGAAACCGCCAGATGGTACATGGTACACCATAGGAGCTCGGCGGAGACCCGAGAGTCCCTGGAAGGATAATTGCAAATCAAACTGAGAAAGAGACCACAAACCCAGGTTCCGATACCCAGATCCCATGCTTCAGAACGCCAGCTGTAATTGCAAGGGAAAAGAAAAGAAAAGGGTAAAAAAAAAAGGAGCCATCCTCATAAGGATATAATGAGAGCAATAGGGAAGAGAAGAAAGGGAATTTTGAGAGAGTATATCACAGGGAAGCAGAAAAGGGAATGGAGGGTTAGGGGAAATGATACGAGGCAGAAAAGCAAAAAATAGTCGAATAATATGATATCAAAGCTAGGATAGCACGAATGGCCAGCCCACTCCCGCGCTTACGCCATAACTTCATTTCAAGCAAGGCTGAGAAAAAAAAAAAAAAAAAAAACAGTCATAGTGAGATCTTCCTTCAATGATCGTACCCCGCTCCTCTCTGCCACGGGCTCGCGTTGTGTTGAGCTCGGTATGGTACGGGTGATGGGGATCGTCCGTAGCTAGGGGGTCCCCGTCCGTCGCCGGGACTGGGGAATAGAGGTACCGATGGGTCAACCGGTGATACATGCGCTGGGCGGTGCGGTGCTTCCTGCGAGGGTTGGAGGGTTTGCCGTCCAATGCTGGCACCGTTGCCGCTAGAGAAGGACCCGTCGTCATCGTCAAAGGGCGATTTGTTGTACGAGGGGTCCTTGACATCACCACGGGCAGTGGCGCCTAGAGCATCCAGCTCCGTGGTCAGCTGACTATGCGACTTGATGAACGAGCCGCGGTCGTCCCTCATCGGCTGGTAGCGAGTGTCGGGGTTCTTCGATACGATGGCGTAAATGGATGCGATCAGCACCAGGATCAGGAGGATCAATGCGAAGACTGCATTGTACACAAAGAAGATGACGCCCATCACACCCGTCACGAGTCCTGGTTGGTTGAAGACTTCCGAAAAGAACAGCAGGAAGATCGCATTGACAAAGTTGATGGCGGCAATGGTGATGTTGTAGATGTTCGTCTTCTTGTCCATCCAGGGGCGCAAAACGCTCACTGCAATGAGCATAGCGGCCTCGATGATGACAAGCGCGACCGTCTGTACGATTGGCGCAGGTTGACTCAGACCAATGAACATACCTTTGATGAGAAGATACACCAGGACCGGCACAACGAAGTAGTAGGCAGTGGCCCGGTATTGCACGTAGAGGAATCCCCACTTGTTCAAGCATGAGGGATCCGAGTACAGGACGTATGCTGGGTTCTTGTGCATGACGACTGAACGTTTCGCCAGAAGAATAACCTTGAAAGCAGCCCATCCCAGGGCGCCGAGCACCGAGAGGAACATGATTACTGCCAGGACCACCTCAGCAGCGGAATCATGTCGGGTGAATTCCCAGAGACACAACACGCACATCTGAGGGAAGCCGATCAGGGTCAGCCGGAAGAGGATGCCTCGCGCGACGACTTTCCAGCCGTTTCGGAAATCGGAGAACTTGTCACTCTTCATCCGGCCATTCTTGGCTAGAATCTCGCACCCTGCCTTGAAGAGAGCGACGATGACCATGACTATAAAGACAAAGAAGACAAAGAAGATGAGACCAGTCAGGAAGATATTGGTCTGTTCGATTTTGGCCGTGAATCCAACACGTTGTATACCGCGCACAACGATGTTCGAGGAAGTTGCTGTCTCGGTGGCGGCGTCGGCCCGTTTCGCGAGCGCACCGGCGCCTCTCTTCATCAGATTTGTGGCAGTATCGATGGAACGCTTCTTGCGCTTCAAAACCTCGACTGAGGTGGTGGACAACTCGGAAAGGATGGTGGACGGAGTACCACCGGTGGATCGTTGATACCAGGTACAGAGAGTTTCCAAAAAGCCGATGTGGATGATTCCCATACTCCATTGGAAGTTCTGCGTCCAGGCTTCGACGATCGGGGGCATGTGGACGGAGACCATGCCGAACATCGCCTGAGACTGCATGAAGCCAAAGAGGGAAAGCGCGTTGGCTGCGACATGAGCGGCAGTGTTGGAGTGCCCCAAGCCTGATGTGATCGCAGAAGCGGCGAGACCCAATCCTGAAATGATGGCCGTCGTCCATCCAACGCCCTTCTGGTAAACCGTCTTGCCGTTGGACAGACTGGCTTCGATGCAGGTGATACTCTTGCCGGTCTCGGTGGAGTTGATATAGATACGTACTTTGGCATCCAGATCGGGAACGGTGTAGGCAATACCTAGGAGATAGGTTAGCGGGACTTTGGTCGACCCAGGCTAGCACCAGTGTTCCTTACCTGGAATTTTGGCCGCCACATCTTCGGGGACAACGACATTGGCGCTGGGCACATCGATCGGACCGGCGTTCATGGGGCAGAGGCCCGGCAAGTTCATCGTACAAGGATCCAACTCCTTCCGCAAGGCTTCGTATCCATAGGCAGTGAGAATCAACTCGGCCTTGACTTTACCAGAGATCGCAGCGACACCATCGAAGCTGAAGGCTAGCGACCGGTTGTTGGGGGTGAAGGTGACGCTGAAAAAGGTGGCTGTGAAGTTCTGACTGTCTTGACAGAGGTTCAAAGCATTCGATTCGATGAGTTTCGTCGCCGACACTAGCGGTGTTGTGAGAAAGGCGACGAATACGCTGAGGAGGAGCGATATTAACCGCATGGTGGCAGATTGATATCAATCGGAATGTTCTTTTGGCTGGGGAGGAATGAAGGAGTTGTCAATGGAGGGGAATAGATTCGATTTGAAAAAGGAGGAATGATGGCTGTCGAATGGGAGAGGTGGTACTCCAGAGTACCAACTGAGGGACCGGCCGGATGCGGAAATCTTGTATGAACCAAAGGTTGTATTGGACTGGTGAGCTGTTGAACCTAGTCGGAAGCGAGGGGAATGGTCCAAATGGTAGAGGACCGAAGTCTATTCCAGGAAGTATGATCTGCGTATATCGAGTTTTTGGTCATTGAACGACAGTCCAGAGCATAGATCGATAACAACCGGCGCGGATCTTTGGTGTCAGGCGACGACGAGGGAAAGGATTGGTTGTATGACTGATACGTCGATGGTGTAACGATCGGAGAATACGTCGCAAGGAATGAATGACGATTCTCAAGAAAGCAGAAAAAAAATAAAAAAACAACAGAGTATACAAAAATGAATGTAGTGAACGACAGTATTCAGGTGTGATGTTGGTTGATGAATCTGAAGTGAGTGGGACGGCGACACACAGGTTAAGTTAGTGTATGGGCCAAAAAAAGAGAGTAAAACAACTAGGGGGGGAAGGACGGGCGTTTCGTCGAGAGGGATGATTTGAGGCCGTCGTTCTCGCGCCGTCTCTTTCAGTCTCTCTTTCTCTTCTCTTCTCTTCTCTTCTCTTTCTCTCTTCGGTCTCCCTCTCCAACACTCAAACTGTGTGGGTCGGGGATGGGAAGTGTAAAGAAGGAAAGAAACAGAAACAGAAACGAGGGAAGTAGAATGAAGAAGAGAGATGAGACGAGATTCGATTACAGCAGACAGAGAGAACGGGGGGGAAAAGAGACCAGCAGGAATGCCCGTGAAACACCCTCGAGCGCTGAGTCAGCAGGGGGGTTGTTTGAGACAGTGACCAATGAACACTGGTCAATGCGATGGATGAGATTGAAAGTGGTTCAGAGGACAATCCAGGCACAGCACGGTTGGATTCGATCTATGTAGAATTGCAGATCGATAGTCTCGTAGTCGTGGTGGTTGTGTGGTATGTAAGGGTAGTAGGTACCTATTAGTATTGGGGATGTGAGAGGCAGTTCGTGTCAAAGAGTCGTAAATCGTAACAGAGAAGCGAGAGTCATTCATCCAAAGGAAATACAAGGGTGCAGAGACATGAGATGATAAAGTGGAAGCCTGATTGTTATTAATGAGAAGACCTACTATGTACTCATAACAATGAGGAGAACCAGATTTCATTCTTATGACGACTTGGAAAGGGCATATCATCTTGGCTTCCCAGATGCCTCTTAGTAGTAGCGTAAGGTAGGTACTAGGTATCTGTGTATGGTAGTGCTGTAAGCCTGTAATTGTGTAATAATAGGTAATAATAACTAATATTTACCGTTATGGAATGCGCCTAAGTTTCCTTGGTAGTCGGTAGTTGGTACTGGGTGCTAGTCTGGTAGATACTTCCATTCTTATGGACTATGTAGGCTACACTACTCCGTACTGTGTAAGGTACTAACGTCTAACCAGCCCCCGTAGTGACCCTCAGTTCCCAATGAATGCACGCGCGTCCCTCAGGGGCGTCATTAGCATGAAGCCAGATCCAAATAACTACTGCTCTTCATTCGCTGTGCCTGATCGCGCTTCTGCTACGTCGGCGGCACCAGATGTCATCCTGGTCTTTAGTCTCTCTCTCTCTCTCTTCAGTCTTCATTCATGCATTCTTCAATTCTAGTCTTGCCTCTTCAAAGCTGAGAGAATCCTCCTGTACCTGCCTCAGGACGGGCGACTACCGAGTTAGTAGTAGGTGGTCTACCTACAGTCCTAGAGATGATCATTATGGCTAGGATGTTCTTTGATGGTAACAAATCAATGATCCCAAGGATTGCGAAATTAGGTACTCGGCATCCATGGTGTTTGGAAGCATCAGTGGAACTTGGACCAGTCCCATTGTTCTCGCTAAGGCACTGCGCATCGTTACTCTACTCCGTAGAGGTTGAACAAACCCATCAATCACCCAGCCACTTCCATGGTCAATTGGTCACTACAGAGTCGGGTTGACCTAATCAGGCTTCCCACGCCATTATGAATTATTGCCAGCATGTGGCCCGTGGACTTATTATTATTATAAATGTATGATCCAGTTGCCATTACTATTAATAGTTTCCCGCCACCCCAAAGTCTGATGGATCATGGGGGCGATTCTACGTCCCAGCTCCCACGAACTGACCGATTTTAAGCTAGTCCTTGGTGGAGAATATGAGAAATATCTGCATTCTGCCATGAATACCGGGAAGATCAGAGGTTGTCGTTGTCCTTCAAGGATAATAATATACAAGGTAAAAAATGTCATCTCCATTGTGACAACTGACAACCATCTAATCTAGCGCCCTGTGTCAGGTCAAAGGGGATCAAAAGGATAGTTATCGAACATGGAACAATGCACAGCCTCCCAGGGACCCTTGGCGCAATTAGCCATCCCTTCTGCATGTGTGGGATTTCAGTTTTATCAGCATTTTGCAATGATACGCCCACCCTACCTATACTAATCTACCGCATGGAGCACAATAATATGCTACGAATCCTCCGTACAGATCTTCAACTCCAGCACACCGACTAGTTCAACGGAAGAGCTGTCCCAGCCGTGCTGAAAATCAAGCATTGTTGCGCGGCAGACTTCATCCCTGATCGACACCGGAGACTGGAGGCTGGAGTCGATCACTCCCACTGGAATGCGCGCCATGACGTCTCAGCTCATGGATCATCTAGTATCCTCCGCTGTTTGCTCTGGGGACTCGTCATGCGATTACACAGTTTGCGACAGTCAATTTGATGGAGAATCTACTCGTTACATATCGATTCAGTTCCAAGCCCAGAGACCGCCGCAGACAAAACTGCGCATTGTACGCATACATAGTTATGTTTCAGGAACACAAAACTAACATTTAGAAGCGGAGCATCAATCAATCCATGGCAGCGAATGACTAACTATTTTGGGAGATCTGTGTCTTGCCTCCAGGGGGCATACTATGTACACACGATCTCTCAATCACTCATGTGCCAAGCTAAATTCTGCTGATATAGCTAGTGGTCAAGATGTTCTTTGGCTCGCTCGGGCAAGACAAAGATGCGATTGGAGTCAAGTCATCTAACTAAAACCCTTAGTTCATAACGGATTGCGCTTTTGGCACTCGACGACGTGATCTGAATACCTCCACATGTGTCCGACGCAAGTGGCCATTGGGATTTGTTGAAATGCGGAGACATCGCGAAAACCTGTGCCTGTGCCGGGACGACTTCATCTGACAAGCATCCACCCTGAGGAGAACCGCCATCGATTGATCTTACTTGAAGAACACACGCTACAATGCATCAGCTAGGCATCCAGATTTCACTTCATCTAGAATCTGAAATGGAAGGCAAAGCCTCTTCAATCTCAGCACAGCCGCAGTCCAAGAAACTAGGTCGTTGAGGGTTTGGCTGTCAAAAGGGGTAGTGCTACTGCTTACAAGGGGTATGAGGTTGGGTCTTGCGACCTCCATTCATGAGACTTGTGTGTCTTGATGAAACATGTTCATGTCTACCACATCTTGAATCTGATACTATCGGATGTCAGAATTTCCAACTTACCCTTGAGGGAGAGCGCAGACCATCTTATAGCATCCCTTGAAAGGTCAAAGCCGACCGGTTCATGGCCTTTGCAATACCAATTGAGATTCACTCATGGGCACAAGCAGTGCTCAGTCCAAGTACTCCCTTCTAATCATTCTCTCAGCCAGTCAATTTGTTTTCGAATGTTCAAATCTGTAAGAGTGCTACATGTAGTTCTGGTCGTCCAGTAGGTGGAACTGGAAGATGATCGATGGCCCACCTATACCTAGCCTCTGTCATGAGACAATACCATAGCTCAGTCACTTACTGCTTCAATCTGATCAAATATGTATTATTGCACTGATTCATTGACATGAATCGCCAGTTCACACAGTACTCTGTAAACACTTTCAAAGCAGGTTGATGCCTTAAAAGACAGGCATATAACATGCTGACACATCACCCTACCCTATCAACACTATCACCACGTGACGTGAAATCTACAGTGGAGCGGCCCCAAGAAAAAAAAAAAAGCAAAGATCCAAAAGAGAGAAAAAAAAAGCTAAGGCAGAGGGAAACCGAACCACCAATTCCACAATTCCAACCCACCTCCAATCCTCAACTCAGAGAACGGCTCAGTCCTCCACCACATAGGAGCGCGATCAAGATGCCGGGCCCTGTGGATACGGCGAAGTCGATCACGAAGAAGCGGAAGAGAAAGCACGGTGGGAACGGACGCGCGACGGCCGAGACCGCAGACGATGCGAGTCCCCTACCCGCCGCTGAGAACGGGGCCGTGACCGAATCTTCTGCGAAGAAGGAGGTCAAGGCGGATAAGAAGAGCGGGAAGGAGAAGGAGAAGGCGCTGAAGAAGCGGAAAGTGAGCCACTCGTCTAGTGACGAGGAAGAGGAGGAGGAGGACGACGAAGCGGCCACTTCTGGTCCCGTGGATGAGGCCAGCGACGACGAGGCTGAGGTAGAGGAGGATGGATCGGATAATGAGGATGGGGACGCTGAGGATAAGAACGACGCAGAGGCTGCGGATCTGCCCTCGATGGATGCCGTTCGGCTGCCGACGGTCGACGGCGAGCCTCAGAAGTTCACAGAGCTGGGGTTGTCGGAGAAGACATTGAAAGCCATCAATGAGATGGGCTTCGAGACCATGACTGAGATTCAACGGCGGACCATCCCTCCTCTACTGGCGGGCCGTGATGTTCTGGGTGCTGCGAAGACGGGATCCGGAAAGACCTTGTCGTTTTTGATTCCTGCGGTGGAGATGCTGAGTGCCCTGCGGTTCAAGCCTAGAAACGGTAAGACTTTTGGCAATTTTTTTGTGGCTATGGATTGAATGCTGACCCCGTCATCAGGTACTGGTGTCCTTGTCGTCTCTCCCACTCGTGAGCTCGCGCTGCAGATCTTTGGTGTCGCAAGGGAATTGTGCCAGCACCAGTAAGCGAATCATGAGATTAGCTGTTACTTTGTTTGACAGAGGCTGACTTGTTCTTTCAGCTCCCAGACATACGGTATCGTCATTGGCGGTGCCAACCGCAGAGCCGAAGCGGAGAAGCTCATGAAGGGTGTCAACCTTCTCATTGCGACGCCCGGACGTCTCCTGGATCACCTGCAGAACACCCAAGGGTTTGTCTTCAAGAACCTAAAGACACTTGTCATCGATGAGGCGGATCGGATTCTGGAAGTCGGTTTCGAAGACGAAATGCGTCAGATCGTCAAGATCCTGCCCTCGGAGGAGAGACAGACCATGCTGTTCTCAGCCACCCAGACAACCAAGGTCGAGGATCTGGCGCGCATTTCGCTCCGACCGGGCCCCCTGTACATCAACGTGGATCATCGCAAGGAGCACAGCACGGTCGAGGGACTGGAACAAGGCTACGTCATTTGCGAAGCCGACAAGCGTTTCCTGCTTCTGTTCTCCTTCCTGAAGCGCAACCTCAAGAAGAAGATCATTGTCTTCTTCTCGAGTTGCAACTGCGTCAAATACCACGCCGAACTCCTCAACTACATCGACCTGCCGGTGCTCGAGCTGCACGGCAAGCAGAAGCAACAGAAACGTACCAACACTTTCTTCGAATTCTGCAACGCCAAACAGGGTACCCTGATCTGTACCGACGTGGCCGCCAGAGGTTTGGATGTAAGTCTCCCTTTTGACTGGTTCCCACCACCAATCAGTGGCTAACTGTCGGTATGAATAGATCCCCGCCGTTGACTGGATCATCCAGTTCGACCCCCCAGATGACCCGAGAGACTACATCCACCGAGTCGGTCGTACAGCCCGTGGCGCCAACGCCAAGGGCCGCAGCCTGATGTTCCTGCAGCCGTCCGAGGTCGGCTTCCTCAAGCACCTGAAAGAAGCCCGCGTGCCCGTCGTCGAGTTCGAGTTCCCGGCCTCGAAGATCGTCAACGTGCAGTCCCAGCTCGAGAAGCTCATCGGCCAGAACTACTACCTCAACAAGGTGCGTTGCCCCTATCCCCTTCCCCTTCCCTCCATTCATTCATTCATTCATGTAATATCCCGATGCTAACTCAATCGCCACAGTCCGCCAAAGAAGGCTACCGCTCCTACCTGCAGGCCTACGCCTCGCACTCCCTCCGCTCTGTCTTCGACGTGCACAAGCTCGACCTCGTCAAGGTCGCCAAGGGCTTTGGCTTCTCCACCCCTCCGCGCATCGACATCCAGCTGGGCGCCAGCCTGAGCCGCGACAAGAAGCAGCAGCAGCAGGGGCGGCGCAACTACGGCAGCCAGCCCAATGGTAAAGGCTTGAAGTTCAAGCGCAAGTACGAGGACTAAATGCGGCGCGTCTGGCCGGCGAGTGTGAGTTCTCCTTGCAGAGGGAGGAAAGCGGAGGGGGAGGAACAAGCACAAAAAAGCATAATCGGTGATTCTTGTTGTGAATAGGCGTCATATCATCTTCGGAGTGTGGGCGTTTTTATATGACCTTTGTGGATATAGTATCTTTGTCTACATACTCTATCATGCTATTATACTCGTATTACGTACCATGTGACTTGCGTCTCTATATGCTTTGTAGGCTGGCCTGTTCGCCTCATAGGCCCTGCGTGCATCAGACCAGCCGTGTCATGACCGTGGTCATACATTATTTCGATATATATACTCTCAGATACTGTCGATAGTGATCCCCTGAGCACCGCAGAGCTCCCGGAACGGACCTGCCCTCGCCAGCAGTTCCCCGGGGTGACCTGCCTCAAGAATCTGACCATCGCCCAGGACCACCACCACATCACTGTACAGAATCGTCCTCAGACGGTGCGCAACTGTGATGATGGTCTTGTCCGCAAACTCGGCGCGGATCACCCGCTGCATGAGCTCATCCGTGGCCCAGTCGACATTACTCGTCGCCTCGTCGAGGACGAGGATCGTGCCGCGCCGGAGCATCGCCCGCGCCAGGCAGAAGAGCTGCTGCTGGCCGTGCGAGAGCGCCAGGGCGTCGATGTCGGCGTCGAGCCCGCCGCAGTTCTGGACGTGCGGCCACAGCCCGACCTTCGCAAGGGCGGCGATGATATGGCTGTCGTCTGCGACGGAGTCGGACCCGCCCGGCGCCGCGTTAAACCGGACGGTGCCCGGGAGCAGGAACGGATCCTGTGGGATGGCGATCAGCCGCGTTCGCACTGTCTTGCGGGATATGCTGCGCAGGTCGACTCCGTCGACGGCGATACTGCCGCGGTGGAGTTCGATCATGCGGAACAGCGCGGCGGCCGCATATTCCGACTTTCTGGCCAGGGCGGATGCTCAGGGAGAGACCCTGAAGGACGTTGTGGTTTGTGTCGCCTGTGTAGGAAGCCGTGGTATCTTGGAACTCCACCGCGCCGCGATCAGGTCAGTCATCTGGTGGCTGTGTGAGAGAGCTGGGGTCTGCTTCTTCCGAGACGGCCGTCTCCGCGAATTCCTTGACTCGCGACACAGCCTGTAACGATGTCTCCAGGTCCGTGTAGAAAAATATGAACTGCGCCAGGCTCTGGCTGAAACCAAGGATGTTGAGCATCGCGACACCAAGACGGCCCCCGCTGGTGCTGCTTGGCAGATTCGTGACGAGACCAACTAGTAGGACGGCCAGTGCGGCAACTATGAGATCCAGCACGAGATTCAGCCAGCGCTGGATGCAGTACAGAAGGTAGACTGGGCGCTGAGAGGCATCCAGCCGCTCCTGATTACGCCGTTCGAATCTCTCCTGCCAGCCCAGCGCGCGGATGGTCGGCAGACCTTCCAAGGTCTCGGAAATGCTGGAGAACAAAGGTGATTTCTGTTCCAGGTCGAGTAAGCGAAGCTGTCTCGAAGTCCGCAGGTAGAAGCGCTGTAAGACCCAGGTAGTGCCGAGGCAGAAGGGAATTGCAACGGCCATGTAGGTAGACCCGATTGCAATGAGAACAATCTGCGCCAGCGCCTGGAAAGCCATCGGCGTTGCCTGCATCATGGACACGGGCAGGCGACTGTTGATCAGCGACATGTCCTGACTGAACCGGTTGAGGGTCATTCCCGAGTCCACGGTTGAGAAAAACGACGTTGGCGCGTGGATAACGGCATCAAGGAGCTGCCAGTGCAGTCTCGCTGCTGAGATAGGCACGATTGAAATCATCATGCACCAGATTGTTGTAGCGTAGTTCACGATGGCCCCTGCAGCCAGCGCAAAGTAGACCGCAAGGAAGGACCCATCCTGAGGACTCTTCGATTCTGTCCACCACTGGACCCAGATCTGAGTGAAGCTGGTGCAGACCACATACGCTAGGCTTGTCGTGAGAAACACCAACGCACGATACCATCCAATAGACTTGAGGTAGTACACCAAGACGGCTGAATCGGATACAGGTTTGCTTTCTAGACTCGTTGTAGCAGCAGCATGTGGCAATGACGGTGCTGTCCTCATTCTAGCTTTGCTTGAGGGGATTGTATGTGAAGCTGATTCCAAACTGTGATCTGCTGCCTTGAAGGTGCTGGGAGGGCAATCAGCTAATAAACGTTGGACAGCGCCATCTCGTGTTATTAGGTCTACAAACGACCCTTGTTGTTCAATATGCCCTTCCGAGCCCAAGACAATGATATTATCCGCAGATTGGAGATGTTGCACCGAATGTGTGACCAGGATAACTGTTGTGCCAAAGTGCCAAAAGACTCCCATCTTGGACAGGAGACGATCAAAGACCAACTCCTCAGTCCGCGCATCGAGCGCACTCAATGTATCGTCCAGCACCACCAACGGTGCTCGGGTATAGACAGCGCGAGCCAGAGCCAGCCGCTGCTTCTGTCCGCCGCTGAGACTAATTCCTCGGCTCCCAACAACGGTATCATCACGGTCAGGTAGCTGTTCTATGTCTTCATCTAGTGCGCAGGACCATATCACCCTCTTATACCAGGCCTCGTCGTATGGTGATTGGTTAAGGATATTCTCCCTGACAGATGCATTGATGAGCCAAGGTGACTGTTGACAAAAGGCGGTTGAGCAGTGGTCAATCATGACCTTGCCGCTGGAAATTTTGATTTCACCAAGAAGGGCATTGAGCAATGTAGTCTTTCCACAGCCGACAGGGCCGGTAATCACATTCAAGAGACCTTTCCTGATCTCAAGACTCTGATTCCGAAGGATTCCTGTTGCCCCTAGCAGGCCATAGCCAACATTTCTGTCACGGTCTACATCCGAAAGCTGAACATAGTTGACCACACTCGCTAGGAGGAGCGGCTGGCAATACTTGAAGCCAATCAATGCAATACGGGGTAACACCGGGGAGAGCAAGGGCCATTTCAGTGTGACTGCAGTCGTCATTAGCAGCGCATATTGCCTCGTCTGCTTGGCTGGTTGACGTTAGCACTGCTGCTGCTGTTCTAGCAGCCCACCTGCCTGCTTACTCTTCATCCAGACTTTCTCTATGGCAGTGCCTAATTTTGCCGAATTCATATCTGATGCAAGCGGATATAAGTCATCGAACCGCAGGGTATTCTTGTATCCGGTGAGAAAAAGCCGATTCAACCACCAGAAAACTGTGCGATTATATATACTGCTTGTTGTTTCAGGTGGCAGCTTCATCCCCTGTGCTTGCAGGAACGCTCGTTTCTCTCGTCCTTCCAGAACTGTGATGATTAGCTTGAATGTCATCTCCGCAGTAGACACAGCTGCAAGTGGAGTATGAGTGTTACGAAGCCATAAAGATCGAACTTGGACGGCATCAAAAAGCACTGAAAAGAAAAGATAGATGCTTAGCAGCGTGGACGGTCTGACTGATCGCTGATGCTCAAAGTGGGAGAGAAGAGCGAGCACAAGCGCAGCAATGAGTGAGAAAACAGCTGCTGGGATGGATGCGGACGTCTGTAGGGACGTTTTTGAAGACCATAGTGGAAGTAGCGACAGTTGAATGATAACCAGGGAGACGATAGTGCCCTGGTAATGTTTGAAAGGTCCGTCAGTCGTACTCCAACACAAGCGACCAAAATGCTCAATTACCAGTTTGATGAGATGGCTCCTTGACTCGACAATAACTACTGGGGCTCGAAGGAGCTGCCACAATCGAGGACCACTGACAAGCAGAAACAAGACTGATGGTATGATTGAAAGCCAGATCTGCTCAAACTAAATGGTCAAGTCGAACCGTCCATAACAACCGGCTGGCAGCGTCGGTCCCCAGGACTGGTCCGCTTGTATACATGATACTGATAGCATTGTGCTTTGAGGGGCAATGGATAGAGACCGATAATTATGCAATCAATGCTGTTTGATAGATAGACTAGCATTATTCGAAGATGACTGTTATTGTCGACATCACGTTGATTCTGGAAGGGTCGTGGGAAGCCAGTGGTGGTGGTGGTAGGGAAATCGGACTTTTGCTTAATTAGGCATTGTCCTGAGTCACAACTGATTACAAGAGAAAAACTAACTCAGGTGTCAAAGCCTCGAGCACGCAGTAGATGCAGCCATACAGGGATACAACCCCTGCTAGAAGCATTTTAGATCAAAGAGATAAGCCTCTGTTCATTAAAATGCTTAGCACTTCAGTAGATAGGCTTCTATCTAGTTATCACGCGGGTATTTCTGCGTTTCTCCCCCTCTCTAGTCCAGTTCGTTTCGCCAATTCCTACATATTAGCTAGGTCATCCCCAGGTAGGAGCTGTTGTCAATCTAATCATCAGTATTCTAGATATCCTGGAGCCGACTGCCAGAGCGAACGAGACCAAGTGCCATCGACCATCAATAGACCTCTTTCTTCCATCTGAACAAGTCACCGATCACACCCTTTCCTGTTGCAGAAAGACGTACGACGGTAATGGAAGTATCCCCGGGTACCTTGGATACGGCCGTGTCGGCCATAAAGCAAGTTCCTGTATGCCTGTAGAGACTGAAGTCTGACGATGGGAGCATCTTATGCTTTCGAGGATCAACGAAGTGCATTTTCTGATGGCCACGATAGCGTCTCAGGGCAGTACCATTTCAGTCGTAAGTGAGCATCATTACAACCTTTGAGAAGAACCAGTAGTAGTTCTGCGCAAGCTGCGTAGATTGTGGACAGACTTGCTGGCCACCGAACTGAAGCGGAATTGTATTGCCTAGCTCAAGGAGGTTGTCAATGGCTACCAGAAAACAGCAAAGACGGTGGGTTGGACGAGTCTATGGAAGTGCATCATGTTGGATCAAGCCTGGCTCGACTCCCTGGGATCATTGCGACAGCGAGTAATGCACAGAACACCACTCTTGCGAGTCTGCGCGGCGGATGTGCTCGATTCCCGGATTCTATATTTGGCATCGATCGGTGGTGTCGGTGCAAGGTGTACATGTAAGGTACAGTTCTTGCCTCTGGTGGCTCAATATCATGCAAGTGTGTTAGAGTGCACATGAAGAATGTTGCCTTTTTTGTGCCTAAAGGGCTAAAGGGTGCTAGTCTCTACTCCGTAGGCGTTGAGGTTGATCAAGGTATGAGGTGATAGAGAGTAGTATGGGACGTTCCAGGGGGAGCTATACTTGCTAGAGTACTCGTTACCATGGTACTCACGAAATGCCGTTTGAACACCTCAATCCATGGAACTCGAACTCTGGCAAAAGTCCAACGAAACTTCTCCGGATAATATGATCAACTCGTGTATGAGCCGAAAGCCTTTCCTGCTGTTGGAAGTGCTGAAAATTTCCATCCAGTCTATGCAGACAAGATGGAAAGAAACCAGTGGCTGGGAATCTCGGCCGCGGTGGCTGGGGATCGGTATAGGTACTACAAAGAACCAATCACATCACTCAGCACCGACTAAAGGAAGCGCGTCGGGAGTTTTGACCAGACACGATGTGCCTTTCACTTCTTATATTATTATTGGTGTGAGAGAACCAGGAGCCGGCTGTAAAGGCTACCAATAAACGAGCCGAGCAAGCCTCGGGAGTGAAGGTGGGATGTGATGAGTTGGCAGCCATCACACCCAATGATGCCGAAGACACAAGGTCGCTACCTACTGTAAGATAGGTAACTTTAGTTCTGAAGCAAGTTACTGACTAAGTACTAACTGACTGATGATTAGATAGACATTATTGAGATGATCACTATGTACTGAGGGCTAACCTTCTTGACCTAGGTTAACCTGTTCAGTGCCATCGCCAGTGGTTCCTGGAGAGCGGGTCTTGATCCCGCACTGACTGTGGATACTACTTAGAACTTGGATCCTGTTTGTACAGAGTACGGAGTTGACTGTCCAGACTCCAGAAAAGCAGCGGTGTCATGACTTGTTCGTTGTGACAGATTGCCATCTATCTAGAAGCATTCCTGGAAGGGTTCCGTTTCGTGCCTCATGGCAGCCATCGCACTCGGAATCCAACTCCAGATCTTGAGCCTTGTCATCGTCCATGTTTCATCCCTCTGTCTCACACGTTGGACCAGCACAGGGCTGGACAAGTACAGATGACGCATCACTGTGAGCGAAACGATTCTCGTGAGGAGCTGATTTCAGACCATTATTTGTTAGCGAGCAGTCGGTGATGTGTATCCTTTCTGTTTCAAAAAATGCAACATATCCTGAACAACCAGGAGTCTGTTACAGACTGACATCCAGATCCAGAGCAAGGACAGCTTGGGTTTTGACACGATTGACAGGAAACGGAGACTCTGTTGATCTTATAGAGGTTCAACCGTTCAAGGTTACTCTAGCAATGCCCTCAAACTAAGACGGATTATTGCCCAGCCACCTTGCAGGGTGATGAGATTGGGCGTCACCTTATGCTTCTCCCAATCAGGACTCGGACGGGAGCTTTACTGGGGGCGGTTGATTACCACCTTGCCTGATGGATTTGCTCCGAGAGGGCCATGAGGATTGGAAAGACTTGTGTATTCAATAGTGGAAAGAAGCATGCAATAGAAACTCCGGACCAGACGAGACGAGACGTAGATGAGAAATGATTCTTGGAAAATAGTGGTTGTTGGAAAGTTGGTTTCCCATGAAGACTAACGAGCGAACTTCCAGCTAAAAAGTACCTGAGGCTTATCCGTCCGTCTTTCCAGCCTTCTTTTTTTCTCCCTCATCCTCCTTTCTCTTTTCATCCTCTCTGTTTGATCAATCAGTGTTTGTTTGACTGTCTTCATTGATTTTTCCCCCCCTCCCCTTTTCGGATTGCTTGCTTGCTTGCTCGCTTTCTTTTCTCTAACAAGTGCCATGATCATGATCGCAGTTTAGATGCCAAATCTCCCCCTCAGATTCGGTCTGGCGGTTGGGCTTCCTTATCGCATACATACATACATACATACGGCCGGACAGCTGAGGCTTTGCTGTACATTGAACACTGTACAGTAAGGCGACTGCATCTCCAGCAGATCTGGTCGCTATTGCTGGCTTCTTGCATCTTCGATTCCTCTAATTCTTCTTCTGTTACTGCTACCACCACTACTACTACTCCACTATTACTTCCTGCTGCTGCTGCTGCTGCTATTCACACCCTTCTGGACACTTTTTCTCTGCGCTGGTACGCTATGACTCGTCTCCTTGTCTGAACCGTGTTCTTTTCTTTTTGATCTCTGTGATACCAACTCCTGTAACAGATTCACTTCTGTCTTTCCCTCCCTCTACTCTACTCCCGACCCACGGCCACCCCACCATTCACTACCACTATTACTACTGCTACTATCTACTGTCTCTACACCGTCCTTCCTGCATCGATTTCATTTTTGTCATAATAACCCATCCTTCAGCACTTTGAATATCCCTGTTCAAGCCCTCATCATTTACCTTTTCACTCACTACCTCAATTGCCTCGTTCGTTACCCTTACACTCCTTCCCTAACCACCCTTTCCCCAAAACGGAAGGACTCAACAGGCAGACACAGACTATGATCTTGTGTGGCTGAAGACCTCTCTTGATCCTGGCTCTCCTCTTCCAAGATGGGTGTCGACACCCGCAGACCGATCCTGCCCGCCCCCACGGAGTCTCTTGTCGACACCACGGGCGGCAGTACAACAGGAACTGATTTGGCCACTGACATCTCTCGACGCACAGACAAGACGTCGTACTCGATCCCAGACGACGGGAGTCCCGTAACCATTTCTACCCGGTGGAGGCACCGCGACCGCGGTGACGATTCCAAACTGTCGCGCTCGTCGCATCACTCCCAGACCTCCCTTCTGATCGAGTACTTCGAGGGAGGGAAGGGTTCTGGTTCTTTGACCTCGCGGCCAAGCGTCCGTGTTCGAGTGACCCCCTCGTCTGCTCGGAAGCTGAAGGAACAGAAAGATCATATTCAGATCTCCGAGTCGAGCGGGAACCGCAGGCCTGTCTACACCCGCCGCATCTCATTCAGCTCTCCGTCGAAGCAGAAGAACCTGGTAGAACCGGATGATAACAGTGTCTCGTCCTCGAACTCTGCCATCGATGAGAACCAGAACTCGTCTCGACACCTCCCGGTGGAAATCGAGTTCTTGAATCGGGACCAGGGCAGTGAGCTCTCCAGTGTCTCGCGCGACAGGTACATCCCGGCGACGTCGGATATCTCGTCGATGCCCGCGGATAGCCTGCTCGAAGCCTCCTCTGCTGCTCCCCGACGGAAAAGAAGCTCAAGCCTTGACCGAAAAAAGGGCCACAACTCCAAGGGCTACCTCAAAACTCCATCTCGTCAGAGAAGCCGCAGCCTGAGCACCGAGCGGATCGCTCATCGGGTAGCCGAAAAGCTGAGCAACGACGCACCTGAAACCTCTACCAGCAAGAAGAGCAAGGTCTACCGGGACGACGACATGGTGAGTCCAGAGTCCAGTCTGCTGAGCGCCTCCGCGGTGTCCTCGCACCGGAAGTCAGGAGACCAGTACTCGTTCCGATCGGGCACATCCAAATCATCTATCAACAACCCGAAGTTGCTAGAAACGGTTGAAGATGCGATCAGGAGACTGATTTTGCCCGAGCTGAAAGAACTCAAGAAGGACCAGAAGGTCATTTCCAATACCAACAAGTTCGAACGGGACCTCAATGCCTCCTACACCTCCTCTGCTAGCTCTCCATCCCGCGATGAGCTGGGTCGACGCCTCTCCAAGCATGCCAGTGCGCCTGATGTGATGAAACCGAAGGTGGTCCTCAACAAAGACAGCAAAGACGAAGGGATCGTGCTATCGGGAGACCCAAATCCGACCCAGAAAGAACGCAGGGCAAGCAAAGACAATGAAAAGAAGTTGGAGCCACCGTACGCCGTATGGGCCAACCGCCCTGAGCTGACTGAACAAGATAAACTCCGGCGCCAGAAAAGCAAAGGACTGCGTGACGCGGAGAAGGCCGGGATTGTGGGGACTGCTCTGACAGCAGCCGCCTTGCAACGGCATGAGTCACAATCCAGCATCGATCCGAACGAAGACAGAAGAAGTGAGGACAGAAATCATCCCGCAGGAGGCATCAATGAAACGGAGCTGGTCTTCCAAAGACACAAGGTGGCACCCATGCCGCTGAGAAGTGCAGTCGAAACGGAGTTAACGCGAGACTCCTTGCTATCTCAACAAACTGCAGGGACCGCGCTCCCGCACGAAGAAGCCACACTCTACGATGTTCCTCGGGTGTCACCCTTGCGCGTTGCGTCTCCCGCCTCTCGCACCCCGAACCGCACTCCGTTGGACACGCGAAACGAGTTGGCGTTGAAGCACAGCAATCTTTCGCGTCACAACCTATCGATTAATAGTGCTTCTGATCCTGCCCTTCGTGATCGAGATCACTCGCCAGTCAGCGAGGCCGCGGCTGGAGCTATCGCCGCGGCCAATCTTCTCGATCCTCATTCAAGCCGCCAGGATTCCGATTTCACCGATGATCCTCGCCGTCGCACTCTCAGTCCTATTCAGAGCGTAGCGAGCAACCAGAGTGACCATTATCTCCAGCAGTATCCGGTGCAACATGATGATTATGAGTATCCCGAGAGTGAAAGAGCGCTGGAGCCACGGCTCTCGATCGAATCACTTTCGTCTGCCCCGAGCACCAGCCTAGCAAGGTCTACTCGACCGGACGGGATGGCGAGTCATAGCGGTATCTTAAGACACCGAGACGATGACGATCACGAGCTAGGCTATGAGGAGACCCCGACCCTGTCACCCCGAAATGAGAACTGGCACGAAGATTCCGAGTTGTACGATCCCAACTACCGGCACTCGATGGCGGAGACCGCCGACAGCGATGGTAAACGACTGACCAACTACACGGATAACAGTGAAGTCAGCTATATGCAGAAGATCAGCCAGGGCCAACGTGTAGCCCAAGGTATTGGTGCGAATCCTCAATTCGTTCAACCCCTTGCTGTTGAATCGGCGGTGGCCTCGCTCCTCGATCCGTCCATCCTGGACACCAAATCCAACCAGTCCGGAGTGCCTCCGCAACAGAACCTGCCTCAGATGAAGTCGCTGGAACAGATCCCTCAAGCATCTCGTCAAGGAAGCCCTCTCAAGCAGCGTCAAGACGCAGCCAGCCCAGATGAGACTTCTTTCTCAAGGAGAATGGGTGCTACCTCGCCTCCGCAGAGTGTAACCCAGTCGCTTGAAGGCCGGACCGAATCGCCCAATTTCTACGCAAACGAACATCGGAGCGTGGAGAGCCCCCTTCCCGAGAATCGCGAGATGAGCCCCGATTCGGAATCTGAGATCAATACCAATCCATCCATCATCCAAGGTCCTGCCCCAGGAAGCAACTGGGCCTATAACCAGACACCGCCCAAAGCGGATCACTCTCCCTACTACCATGAGGGCGCCGATGCGGCTGCTGGCAGCGCTGGCCTAGGCTTGGGTTACAACAAAGACTATTACGCAGCTGAGGACTATGGACCCGACGACTATTTCGATCAACCATACGCTGGCGGTCAGATGTTTGGCACGCCGTTGGGTGCCAAAGATGAGGGCTACGTATCGGCTGCTAACCCTCTGTCCCCGGGAGCTGATACTCCCGAACCGGTCGGCAAGGGATTCGGTGGACTTGATGCTGGTGGCATGGGTCTGTTTGACACACCTCTCCGGGCAGATGATCCGACAGGTCCTTCCCACCACAGGAACCTCAGTGGCTACTCCCACGGTATTGGTTCGCCTTTGTATGATAGCGCAACTGGAAGAGGCATCGATAGGATTCAGTCGAAGGATATTGTTGCCCTCATGGACCACGTGAGTCTTTTTTTCTTTTCTTTTTTCTTTCACTTTCTTGTCGAGATTCTCACTAACCACCGCCACTAGCTTACTGTTCGCGATGCTCAGCGCAATGCTCGAGATACCGAGATTCTGGTGACACTCGTCAAGAGTGCAGCAGAGATGCGCAACTCATTCGAGGAAATGAAGAAATTCATTGCTCTACAGGATGGCATGATCATGGATGCCAGCGACCGGCAGCACGAACGGACATACAAAGCGATTGGTGGACCACGCCCACTGCCTGCCAGTGTTGCGAGAAGTTTCCGCCAGTCCGCAGATGACGGCGAAGACTTGCGATCGAAACGAAAGAATCTGTTCAAGCGAGCACTGAAGGGTTTGAGTCTGAAGTCTTCCAATGATCTTACCAAGATTGAGGAGATGCTGGAACAGCTACTGGAAGAGGTCGAAGCTCTGCGTGCAGTCCAGGATGATAGTCGATACGCTCGCAGTGGCAGGGCGCCCAGTGTTGACCCGGAAGGCTATGAGCCAGAGGGTTTCGCCGGCTCTGGTTCTCCTGGAACTCATTCGGGCTACCTATCCACCTCGTCTCGGCCTCTGCAGGAGGCCCGTGGCAATGGACAAGCCAGAGGTCTTGAGCACCGCGTCAGCACCGTCCCCGAGGGCGATGAAGACATGGATCTCGACGAGCGCGGGGAGTTCCTCAGTCCCAATTTGCCGTCCCAGGAGAATGCAGAGCCGCGTCGCGAAAGGGCCGATTCCTTGCCTCTGTCCACATCCCCTCGTGTACCAGTGGCTTCGGGAGCCCTCAGCAACGAGACCAGCCCCAAGACAACTGAAAAGGCACGGAAACACAAGTCAAGCAGCTCGTCCTTCTTCCCCAAGATCTCTCGTTGGTCCAAGACCACGGCGTCTTCCATGGGAGACAACATCCGCAACAGCATCCAACCCGGACGCAAGGACCGCCCGTACTATGATACTTCTCGATCCGGATCGGACGTTGCACATGGGGCCGCATACAAGGCCGGTGACTGGTACGATCCGCACGGCGATGACCGGCTGCGTTCCAACTATACCCTGAACGATCAGCAGCAGCAGGAGAATCGGCCTCCGTCGCCCCTTGTCCCATCCCAAGTCTCGGAAGCTCCGAAATATCGCGCTCACCGCGGCAGTCTCGATCTCCAGCATCCCCAGCCACGCCAAGGTCCAACGGGGCGCTACCAGAACCAACTAGAATCACAGGCGCAGGTGTATGGAGCGCCCATGATTGGGGCAACATCTGATCAATGGGGGTCCAATCCCAGCCTGTCCGCGGTCAACCCCAATCAGAATCGGTTCAGTGCCGCCAGCCGGCTCTCCCCGATCTCTGATGCTGGCTACTCGCAGACAAGTTCACGAACCGGACAACAGGGACCACCAAGACCGCCAAAGGTCAAGGACGAAGGTCCTCTCATCCCGGAGCGGTCTCCCAAAGTCAAGGAGGATGAGCGAGCGTATACGGACCGTGTTGCCTCTCAGGTAAGTTCGAGGACGCCTCAGCCATGCCGCATGAAATCAAGACTGACCCTATCATCTGCAGAGCTCTATCGTGCGTTCTCCACGCGCCACGCCCTCTCCGCGCAAACCCACGGGACCCCGGCCTCTCACATCCGGCAACCAATACAGCCCTGCGCGGAGAAAGAGAAGCGAATACCGCGCGAGCCCTGATCAAGTTGATGACGAGCATGACTATTGATATTTGATCATGAGCCGATCGCGACTTGAATAATCACCGAGGGGTCGAAGTCCCTCAGATTTGATTCAATCTAACGACCTTAATGACCCACGGCAGCTAAACATTTTGCCTGATGCTAATTTAAGTTTGTCACGCCTGATGATCCAGCGTTCCTGCATACCACATGCGAGCGACTCTTGCTCCATCCGTTATGCTTTCTATTCTTTTTTTCCTTGGTGGAATGGAAGGGGGGGGGGGGGGGGGGGGCGGGGGACAACTTCCGTGAGGCCATTCTCCGACTGTAATTGAGAGGGGGAGGGCTATTGGTAATTGGCTTTTATTCTATTTGCTTCTATCATTTTGGATCATTCATGGGAATAAGGGTCATTCATCATTAGCTCGTTATCCAAA